ACAGAGGAGCAGAGGACAGTTCCAGACACAGCTGGAGTCTTCTGCTGTTTACAAGAGCCCTGATTTAGCCTGGGACTGGTCATTCATTATCCTAAGTCAATAATGAGATCACATTTAGGACAGATTCAATATAAAACCATGGGAGGGACAGTCCATTTCCCACAATTTCAAAGGCACTGACCATTTCAAGAGAAACGACTTATCAATAATTGGTCAAAAAGTAACTTATACTATATAATATGCAAAATTTACCCCTGAGAGCTTTAAGTCATATCATATTCTTACCTTTACAAAAAATACTTGGAGTTGTGTTTTGTTTCATTCACACATGACTGAGTAACACTTTATTATTATTTTGTCTACATCTCCAAAGCTGGAAATGCTCTGTTCCAATTTGTGATGTAATTACGCTGTAGTTTTGAAGTTAACAGCTGCATTTCATGTTTAGTTCAGTAGAGATTGGCAATTCCAGGTCTGAAATAATCCAAATAATTCCAGTGAAGATGTATGGAGTTTAAAAACACAGCGGAGCACTTCCTTTATTACAGCATGACATCATAAGGTGGAATAGAGTGTTTTCTGCTTGAGAAAGAGAGAGAGGGAAAAAAAAACATCTTAAATATGTATGTTAGGACCTGGTATCATTAAGAAGTTGTCGATACGATACATACTTAGATACATAGGCCACAATACGATCTGCTTTTCGATACAGCGAGCTTCCGAATCAATCCGATTCAATACGATATATTTCACATCGATTCAATATGGTTTAGTGAAAAACAAAGGCTAAGTCACGGCTCTGATACTAAAAGTCGACTAAATCTGTGCAGAGTTAATATGAAAAACAACCATTTTACTTAAAACTGTGAAAATGCAACTCTTACAACTCTGACTGCAGCTCTTACACAAATGAATTCAGTAAAATATACCTAAAATGTCTCTTGATGATATATTAATACAGCAGCCCACCATATCGATATTGTATCAGGACATTAAATGATACGATATATCGATATTTAGATATTTTTATACACCCCTAATGTACGTATATGTTTTTGATGAGGAAACAACATCAGAAAATAACATAATATGGGCCCTTTAATTTGAGTTTACAGTGGTCCCTCATTTACCGCTGGGGTTACGTTCTAAAAATAACCCACAATAGGTGAAATCCGCTAAGTAGCCAGCTTTATTTTTTACAATTATTATATCTGTTTTAAGACTGTAAAACCCCTCACCACACACTTTATACACTTTTCTCAGACAGGACAGTTAAACCGTTTTTGCATTCTTCTTAAACACTTTTTAGCCAGATTTTAGCCAGAGAGAAAAATTGGTTTGAGAGGGGAGTGAAAGAAGCGATTCTGGTTAAGAAAGAGAACTCTCTAAACAGAAATGGAGGCCTCAGACACCATCTATCTCCTATTTACAACTCCATCCTCAAACCTTATTCAAAAGAAACAAGAGAACAATAGGTGTAGCCAGGTCAGGTTCAGAGGTGTGGAAGCCCCATTATGGCCATTAATTGTTATGCTAATTAAACCCCACACCCTGTACAGGTCAATAGGCCTAACTAACTAACAGAAACTGTAAACAAGTAGGTGTGTTAGTTTCAGTTAGTTAGTTCCTCCCTACAGACAGATATAAGATAAGATAAGATAAGATATGCCTTTATTAGTCCCACAGTGGGTAAATTCCAGTGTAAGGAAGTGTCCACCAGCATTCTGACCAGAAATGAAGAAGCAGCTTGGATGAGCTGTGAAACGTCTTCAACCAAACTAACTTTTGTAACGTCGTCAAACTGAATTTTTCTCCTCATCCTTCTTAAAACTTATTGCTGTTGTTGTCCTTATGTTATTTTCCTGCTTCTTTGTGTAACAAACCGAAGATTAATTTATTCCGTAATGGCGCTCTACAGCTGTGTAACTTCTACCTTCCTTCAGCATGTCCAGAAGTCCAACTTTCTGTGTGATGGTTTACATCTTCCTCTGCCTTTAGGTGCGACTGCAGGAGCCTTTGTCGGTGCAGAACGTTTCGTCGACATTGTGGGTTTTGTAGGGAGAAAACTTGCAGCACTTACATACAGCACTTCAGAATCACACTGCAAGAGATCGAACGTTTACGTAAATTTGGCAAACTGAACGCATTCTGTACTGTACAGGAGACACAGCACGGAGGAGACAGATTGACAATAGTCTACAGTCCCTTAGTCAATGAGGACGCAGGCGGATGAACACAATGCACGTTCATACATTGTAAAAAAAAAAAAAAAAAAAAAAAAAAAGCATGCTAAATTGCACAAAAAATAAATCTGAGAAACAGCGAGGCCGTGAAAGGTGAACCGCGTTATAGTGAGGGACGACTGTATCCCATTTTGTTGTATTTGGACATTTATTTATCTTTTTCCAGAATTCTGAACCAAATCCTGAACCAAAAGAGGTTGAAGGTTCCAGACTACACACAGTAATAACATGTACAGTATTTGAAAATCACATGTTTCTCAAACTTTTTCTAACCAAGAACCAATAAAGATAATATTTGGCTTTCGGAGTACCATGAAATCTAAAACCCAGACTTTATTATGTCTAAATTAGGTCTAAAAATGGCCCCAAAACATTATAAATTTGTCTCTATATAAACAAACACTTAAACTGCAGAAAAAGACATCTTAGATCGCCCGCAGATTCGCACACCTGCACACTCCAACAGTTTAAACCATGACACTGCACTAAAATCCTCGTTCATCAACATTTATACGACATTTGGCTGAAGTTTACAGTTAAAGATGGACATGGACTGACTTGTTGCTGATGCTGTAGAGGTGGGCATGTATTGATCTGAGTCTTTTCACATCTGTCACACTCTCTCTCTCTCGATAATCTCTCCCTCTTATTTCTTTTGCTTGCTCTTCTTCATCTTCTCTGCCTCTTTCTCTCTCTCTCTTCTCTCTCTGCAATCAGCCCCTCACCCCTGCAGGACCGTGGGGGTAAATTTATGCCATACTTGTTTATTTTTGGTAACTTGTTTTGCATGTTTTCAGGCTCTTGCGTCACTCAGATCACTAATGTTTGAGACGATGGGAGAAACAGCTGCGCAACTATTGAAATACTGATTTGATACTTGAAGCTACTTGAATTAAGAACATTTTATCCTGATTTGAGTAAATTTCACTTAACAAGTAAATTAATGTACCAGTGGAACAAGACTTTTTGTACAGCTAGGGACAATGAAGAGAAGAAAAACAGCTAATCTCAAATAAAATCTTGTGTTGTTTGAATTAAGAAAAACACTACAATAATTTTACTTTTCAAGATGGATCTACTCACATAAATTCAATGTACTTTTAACGTACCTAGATATTACTTTTGTTGTGTTTTCAAACTATATCTCCATTTTCTATCATTTTAAAGAGGACTATAGTGCTTTTATTAAATCAATGTATATTTTTGCTCTTTGATATTATAATATATTGTGTGAACTAGTGTGTCCAAAAAAAGGCCCTTGTGGATCAATAAAGTCTGAAAAAGTCTAAGTCTAAACTGTGTGCAGCAGTTTGGGAACAGTCTTTAGTTAATAAATGTGGATGGATATCTCATTTTGAAACTCCTTGCCAACTCCTTATTTGATTAATGCGAGCTGTAATATATTATAAATTAAAGTCTTATCCTAAAGCTGTTCAGAGTGAGTGAGTGCTTGTCTAGAGAAGATGAAATTTAGCTGGTGAAATATTAGATGGTTTGGCTCCCTCTTCAGGTCACAAACTACAAATACATGTTTTTTATCTACTTGATTTCTTGCAGTCATATGTGAACAAGGTAAAAGGCTAAATTTAAAATGTAAAAAAGCAAAAAAAAAAAAACAACAACAAAAAAACACTTGTGACCAAGACTTTGACAGAACAAAATATGGGCATAAACTGTATTATTGTTTGTATAATAATTATGATTTACTTGTTAAATTATGCAGAATAATAATTAATACATTAATAATACAATTACACATGACATGATGGCATAATAACTTACATTTATTAACATGTACACAATTGTAACAGTTTAGAAATACAAAAGACTAATTTGTACAAAAATGTTACGGTACTGGTGCGAGATCAAACACTAGGAGTACATGTAGGGTGCGTCCAAAGGTTAATGTGAATATATTACAAAGTGCATGAAGTACTGACTAAACTAAACTGTTACATAAATCACTATGTTTATTTATTTACAATCTGCATCTTATTATTTTGTGTTTTCAATGTGCAAATATTGTATAAAAATGCTGCATTATCAAATGGCTTATATATGGCAAAATTAACAGACTTCAATGCTCTTTAAAGGGGCACTAGGTAACTTTTCTGATTGTGGGTTCATCACTTGCTTGTCACCATGGCGATGTTATTGCTTTGACTAAAATGCTCCACAATATGGCATTAAGTGTTATTGTAATAATAAAATAAAAACACTGGAGGAAAACATTTATAAACATGAATCTCCACAAAACTGTAATAACTTGTAGATAGTTACTGTGGTAGAATAAGTTTAATTTTAAAGTCATACTGCGGAAAATTTCAGCTCTAGCAATAACATCTCCATGGTGACAGGCAGGCGGCAGACTCTCCACCAGAAAAGTTCACCTTTACAAGTGCGTTGTGTAACTTTTCTATTGGAGGGTCCGTCAGATGTTTTACTCCATGGAGATGTTATTGCTTTGTCTGGAATGTTTCATATTATGGCATTAAACGTTTCTGTCTTCATGTAGACTAAACAAGACCAAGGTACAGGTCAGATCTATGGAGAGGCAACCCACTCACAGTCAGAATGCCTGTTTTTCTAGTTGTTTTTGAGCAATAAAACCACCTGTAATTTAATAAATATAAAGTAGAGCTGTCATACTGTGGAACTTTCCAGGCAGAGTGATGACATCTCCATAGAAACAAGCAGGTGACGGACCCTCCACCAAAAAGTTACGCAGTTCACCTTTAAGTTCCTCAGGCTCTGCTCTTTAGGTTCTTACGGCTCGGTTTCGGGGCAGGAAGTTCATGGAGACGAATTGCTCTTTCTCCACGGGCTGCTGGGACAGGTCGTTGGTCTGGGGCAGGAGGTCCAGAGTGAGGCCCTCGTGTGGACACACCGAGTACTGCGACAGGAGCGTCACCAGGACCGACTTCATCATCACCATGGCAACGTGCTTCCCCACACAGGAGCGGGGTCCCGAGCCGAAGGGCTGGAAGAATCGTCGAGGAGCCTAAGGGAAACAGAATATATAGTGAGTTTAAAAAGAACTGTAGAGAAGTTTTAATATTTAGGAATACAAAATAATATATTTCAAACAGAAAACAAGGGGAAAAGATAATGTAAAAAGCTTATTCATGTTTGCAAATAGATGTAAATGCTTGCTATAGTTCAAATAAATAGTTTTGGCTTTAACAAATCTGTGGACAACTAATTATGGGTTTAGGTGACATAATTATAGTCATGCATAGTTTTAACACTGAGCAATGATTGTTATGTAAAATATACAATATCAGCTGATGTAATAAAATAATTAAAAATAAAATAATTAATTAAATAATATAATAACATAATAACATGCAAATAATAATGGAAATGTAAAATGTTTTAACAACAAACTGACACTGTCATTAAAGAAGGATTAAAGGAAACACTAAAATAAGGACTTTAACATCTTTTTACTGTTTCCATCTGCCCGTGTTGATGTTACTTACATTTTTCTTAAAGTGTTCCAAGCTGAATTCATTGGGATTCATGAAGAACTCTGTCCTGTGCATGCGCCCTGTGTTCAGGATGATGTTTGTCCCCTTTGGCACACTGTAGCCGTCAATGACATCATCAGCCAGCGTCCGCCTCATGGAAAAGTCCACAACGGGGTGAAATCTCAGGCCTTCGTTTATAAAAGCGTCCATCACCGGCAGATTCGGCAAGTCTGAGTTTTGGAGCTGCCTCTTACCTTGAGGAGAGAACAGACTTAGACTTAGACAAACTTTATTGATCCATGAGGGTAGCTCACACATCACAATATAATATAATAACAAAGAGCGAAAGTATAAATGTTAACAATAACGGATGTTGTATTTTCACACCACTAGGTCTATTTATGCTACTGTTGTCAGACCAGAGAGGCCAGGTGAGTCTGAACAAAGGCCAGGTGAGTCTGAACAAAGCAGGTGGGTCTGAACAAAGGCCAGGTGAGTCTGAACAAAGGCCAGGTGAGTCTGAACAAAGCAGGTGAGTCTGAACAAAGGCCAGGTGAGTCTGAACAAAGACCAGGTGAGTCTGAACAAAGGCCAGGTGAGGGGAAGGGGAAACAGGTTTCATATCTGCAATCTACTGCTGAATTAAATTAGATAAATGTCCGGGTAATCCCTCAGTTGTCCAGGTATGATCCATAACTTTTGTCCAGTAGACAGAATTAAATAAAGTTATAGAAAATAGCTTTAACGGTACACTATGTAACCTTTTGTGTTTGTGCGCTTGTCACCAGTGTTATAACTTTGCCTGGAATGTTCTGCAGTTTGGCACTAATCTATCTTGAACTACATGCGCTGTTTCAATAAAAAGAAAAAGAAAAAAAAAAAAAAAAACTTGAACACATGTATTAATAATGTTAGTTGGCTTGCCTCTCCACAGACCTGACATGTACAGTACTGTAACTTGGCCTCTGTGTATCACCTAGGCATCACTAGGGCTGGTTATCATTAAGAAGTTAAATACAGTTCAAGTGAGTTCAAGTGATGCTAAAAGTCTTTAAGCCACCTCTTGTGCAAAGTTAATATGAAACACACCCATTTTACTCATCAAAACAGTGAAAATGTCAAATGTGTTGCACAAAAAAGTTTCCTTCCTCTGAACAAGCAACAAAACTGTAGCTCTGTAACAAAATACTTTACAAAATAAAAAAAAAAAAAAAAAACTCTGGTCAGTATGTTGATACAGTAGACCCTGATGTCGATACTGTATCATCACATTAAATTATACAATTGATATTTTGATATTTTTGCACACCCCTAGTCATCACCATAGCTTAAGACAGTTTAATTTCATATTGTGAAAAATTCTAGGCAAAGCGAGAGAAGCTGAAGTTACATTGTGCACCTTTAATGCAATCCATAAAAAAATAACAGGTTTAATTTTGACTTATGAAATCATAAACTGCTCGTACTGACTAAGAATGAACCCAGTTAATGACTTAATGAGACATTTTCTTACCTATGACAGTGTCTAGCTCCTGCAGTAGCTGTAGCTCCACTAGGGGGTGCTGTTTGAGAAGCAGCAGCATAAAGAAGAGGCTGATGGAGAGAGTGTCTGGAGCCGCGATGACCATCTCCAACACGCACTGCCTCACGTTATCACCAGACAGCTCCCCGTGGTTCTACAAACACAGAGGGACACTATTATGCACAAGGGAGTACCACTTTACCTTAATTAGCCTCAATAAAGTGTGAATAATGTCTTAAAGTCTTATTTTGTAAAGCACTTGGAATTACTTTGTGTACAAATTGTGCTCTACATATATATTTGCCTTGACTTACTTTAAATAAACCATAACAAAAGATTAAATAATGAATATTACTTGGAGTTATAGGGTGTATTAATGTTGTCAGAGAAGTTATTATGCTATTTTTATATTATATTATATAATTTTATTTTAATTATTATTATTAAATATGTGTATCTATTTCCATGGAAACCAGGAGGAAATTTGCCACCAGGCCAAGGTCTGATCTGTGGAGAGGCTACTGTGCTCACCTAAATTGGACCTAAATGTAAAATGTAACTTACAAAAACAAACAAACAAAAAAACAACAAAACTGTATCATTTCCACAAATATGATAAAATAAAAGAGCTGTGGGTCTGACCTGTGCAAAGATGAGGTCTGCAGCGAAGTTAATATGGTCCAGTTTATCGGCCTGCTCCATGGACCTGCGCTTCTGTTGGAGCAGCTCCTCTATGGCGTCCTGCAGCTCCTGACTGACATGAAATACATAATGCATCCAAACATTTCCTTATTTATGATCATTTATAATAGAACAAACATATAAAATAGTATAAAGCTAAAGGTGCTCACGCTGCAGACTTGTGTTTCTTGTGGATCCAGTCCAGTCTGAAGTAAATGTCTGGTTTGATCAGAACTGCCTGCCAAGTCTCAAAATACTTGTGGATCTTGTGCAGCAGCTCCTTCTCTGCAAAACAAATAAATAAGATGCATGATTTTGATTTAAAGTGACATAAACATGACTGTCCCCAGATGAGAGATATCAGGACATGTTCAAATTAACTATAGCTTTTACTGATTGCAAATAAGATTTATTCTTAATTACAAAAACATATTAATTTGGTCAAGGTCTCAAGATGATTATCTAATCAGAAAGAAGAAATGAGTCGCTCATTTGGGTTTCCAGTTTCAATGCTGAAATCAAGAACCTCATCAAATCATTAATCAGTGCTAGTGCAGTCTCTGCAGCTCAGAGAGTGAATTCTGAAGGGTCTATGAGGTATGGCCTGTCCTGAAAAACTTCCTCTATCTGCAGGTTTAGGCACTGGAAACCCAGGTTAAGTTGTGATTGTTCCTATTACCTAAAATAGTAAGAGCGCAGGAAACATATAGCTCCTGCAGAAATTCAATATATATCAAATCTATATCAAATCTATATCAAAATATAGTGCCTAAATCAAAATGTATACAATCCATCAACAGCATTATCTGTCCAACAAAATAAAGATGCAAGTAATTTACCATTGATGGGCACATCCAGGAACAGTCTGTTGGAGATGTCGACCACAGTGGCACGCAGAAACCTCATGACGTCCACACGCTCCAGCAGCCCCTGAGGGTCAGAGGTCAGGTCCTTTAGCTCCTCCAGGTGAGTCTGAGTGGATGAGGCACAGATGTCGACTGTGTGCTGCATACCAGGACCTGTCAGAGCTGTCAATACAAACATTATCATTAATGACTAACACTTTTCCTATTGATAACACTGAACTAAAAGGTAGTGACTGTATTACAACAAAAAAATGCATTTTATCAATATGAATTTCAGCTGCCCCCATCTCTATTAAATATTATTGACCAATAGAATGATGTTATCTGAAACCCAGCAATACATGGCATTCTTTCAAGTTATTCTTTCATGGTGTAACTTGCTTTGCTTGTCTCGATTCAGATATGGAAGACATGTTGATAGGCATAGGGTGATTATTTTTTTTACAAGAACAGGACAACACAGGACAGCACGTAACAACAGCTTGAGATCACCTCAGACAAGATTGTACTTAAACATCTGATTTGATAGGACTAAAACCGGAACAATCCAAGTTTTGTGATAAGGGTCACGTTTGATGGAAATATGATATGTATGGTTCAACTAAACATGTATACTATAGAATAAACTGACCACATTTTAGAAACCAATGATTAAATAACTCAATATTACAAACAGATTAATATCAGCTTTGGCTTGTTAAAGGAGTGATATACTGTGTACACTGGGGCAAAAAAAGCTGAAAAAAATACCTTATTATAATTTTTCTGACAATCTTTGCAATATAATTTTGCAGTTAGGGTTTTAATAATAGAATTCTGCTTAAAGTTCACATTCTAAACAATTCCAAACAATTGACAAAAAGACTGAAATGTAAACTGACAAACTAATATTCAGATCTAAATTACAGGGTTAGCAGTTTTTATGCAGAATAAAACAGGATATTTTGTTGTTTATGGCGGTACTTCAAAATGACAGCCTCAAATTATGATTAGACTGTGATTAATTTTGCAGCTCTTGTGTGCACTGCAAGACAAAAAGGGGATAAAAAGCAGTGTACCTTTGCTGAAATAGGCGCGTATCTTCTTCCACAGATTGACGTTGTTGTTAAAAATAATCCCTCTCTCGTGCATCCCCAGGCACCCCAGCCCCAGCTTGCTCCCAAAGCGAGACGTGTAGTTGGAACTCTTCAGAACATGATGCACAGCCGACGCTCTAGTGAAGAAAATATACAATTAAATGTCAAGTACTGTCCTTTATCAAGATCTGCACAACATACCGCAATCACAATCAAAGTCTGCAACTATTTAAAGGTTCTATATTACACAAAATTGACTCTTGTGAGCTTTAAGCCATGTTAGAAGGTTGTTATGTCCTCAAAAACATTGCCAGTGTTGTGTTCATTCATGCATGTTTGAGTAATCCTGTCTGTCCACATCTCCAAAGATCAAAATGCTGCTTTTGTTTATCAGTTCACGTTTCACTCTTCTCTTAAATGCTCCTGGAGTTATCTACAATGTGCATTTTGACCAGAATCCTACTTTTTAAACATATATTGCAAATCACATTCACAATAATTCACACCCATCAGAAAAATCACAATTATAATATTTTTTTTTTCCAGCACTGCACAGCCCTACTCATCAAATTGTGTATTAATTTCTTGGAATTAGTTCATCCACACCTGCTGATGACCAGGGTCTCCTCTCCGTCGATCCAGACCCTTACGATGTCTCCGTACTTCAGGTTGTAATAGTTGCTGGCCGTGCCGATACCGGTCCAAATGAATCTGAGGTATGAGAGCACAGGCCCCAGACCCAGGAGGAACAGAGGACCTGGTTTAGAGGATACAAAGAAAAATTGTTTCGTTACACGTGTTGTCAACTGTGCATAATACAGGTTCGGGATCATATATTTAACACATACATTTTGCATAGGAAAATTTGATATGCAATGATTTTAATAATGAAACAATAGCTGTAACTTGATGTATAGTTATGGTGACCAGATAATTAAAATTAAAAACTGGGAGACACAAAGGTTGGGATGGTCATAATAAAATTGTGAAAAGAGCGCTGACATTTCTCGACTCTTACGTGTCAGTATTTAATCTGAAGGACTTCTGTCATTGCATTTTTGTTTATCTTGCCTTGTGCTCACTTTCAGGCATGGTTTTCTGTATTTTAGCCAAAAGAAAAAGACAATATATTGGCCTCTTTACTGTTGGTGGGTAACAAAATGGTCAAAAATAGCAACAAATGAGAGATTTCTTGTATTAAACTGGGGCAAATCTGTGTTTTTTGAAGAAATCTGCTGAGACAGAGGAGATAAGGCTCAAAACTGGGTAAAAAGGTACGTCTGGTCAGTCTATTCATGGTGTGCCCAACCTCCCCCCGATTAAAACAAATTTAAACCGAACTTTTCTGGCTCAATTAAGTCATAAAATAAATGCAACTTAACAAATATTAGAATTACCACATGATAATAAAAAACTTAATTTCAACCTGGTACTGTTGTCTTCTTCTTCTTTTCAGTGTGGCTCCAAGCGACCAGCAGCACGCACGCCAGCAGCGCCAGGGTCCTAGTTGCCACGGTGACCCCCGGAGACAGCAGCCCCGTGGCCTTGTGGGAAGTGTAGTCCGTCTTGACGTCGAGCAGGCTCAGATTCATCATGGTGCTTTCCAGGACACGGAGGTTAGGCCGTGAGAGGGGAGAGGCCGCAGAAAGATGCAGCGATGGGCGAGAGGCCGGGTTTTATATCCTCCCGCGCTGGTGTGAAGCCAGGTCAGGGTAAAGACACAAGTCACAACACTCACACGGATTACGTAAACAAAATGGCGACCTTGAGCGATGGGTTTGTGCCATAACCTTGAGATCAGAGTACAATTTCAGTGGAAAAGACGGTATTTGACAGCTGGCAGTTCAAAGACAAACGCTTATTAGATGTATCTGGTGCGCAGGAAACTGGAAAAAAATGTTATCATGAAAAATGCATCTGCCAAGTAAAATAAAAAGTAAGGCGTTTGATCCAGAAGATTATGAGTCTTTGTACTGCACACGCGCACACAGAGTTTGACAAGGTTTTGGAAAAGTTTTGGCAAAGTTTGAGTATTTCAAATGAAACAGAAAACACACATTAAGTTCTTGTAGAAGTGTAAATGCAAGGAACAGCAAGATAAAAGTTGAAACACTCAAATTGCTGATGTCCAAAAGCTTTTTTAAAATTTTTGAATTAATGTTTAGGCAGATGTATTTATTTATCGGCCATTTGAGTGTGATATGCATTTTTCACTTTAAATTTAAAGTTTGAGTATTTGACATGACAAAATCTCATCTACAAATTGTGAATGGTCACGATTTTATATAGTGCTTTTACAGCTTCAAGACGCAAAGCAGTGCACGGTACCACTCACCATTCACACACACACACACACACACACACACACTCATACACCAGTGTACACAGACACACCTAGAGTGAGGTGAGTGTCTTGCCCAAAGACACAATGACAGCATTCATCTGTGGGAGCTGAAATCACATCGCTCAAACAGTGAAGTTTATGCTGAGAGTGGGATTCTGACCGACAACCTTTGGATCTGTGGACAAACATTCTACCAACTGAGCTACTGTTGTCAACAAGATTTTTTGTAGAGTCTAAGAGAAAAACATCTCATTAGACTACACTGTTTTGTGATTTGTGGTAAGGTTAAGGTACACATTACTAGCCAGACTGGCATCACCTAGTGCCTCCGCTCAATTTCATTTCTCTCTAGCGACTTGGTCAGGAATTGGAATACACTAGATGGCCTGCAAGAACCTCGAAAGTGCGAGTCCAGGCACCAGCCAATGAGCGAAGAGACACACATTCTGTCTTGGCAACGATTCCCGAGAACGAGGATTTAAAGCTGGAACAAAGAGAATGTTTGGTGAATTTTATCAAGGGGAAAGACGTTATTACCCTTCTTCCTACAGGATTTGGGAAAAGCTTAATATACCAGTTAGCCCTGTTAGAGGCGCATTACATACGTCACGACCAAATAGCAGAGACTGGTTAAATAAAAAAGTACCCGCCTACCGTTGAGCGAATGAATTCTAATGCCGTGAGGTCAGACGGTTTCTACAAAGTGAAACCGGCTGATGAATCAGGCTAACACTTTTCTGCCTCTGTAGGAAAATGTGTTCTCTGCATTTGTTCTCCATCCTTCAATACCGCTGGGGCATTGAGCTTTGGAGTGCAGCACCCAGGGACCCATCCCCAGATCTAGAAATAGACTTGGCCAGGACTCAGGACTACCTTAGCTGGAGGATTTTAACTATTATGCCTGTTTTACTGTTGACGGGGGAAGCCAGAGTGCCCGGAGGAAATCCACCCAGACACAGTGGGAAACATACAAACTCCTTGCTGTGAGGTAAGAATGTGAACCACTCAGCCACCTCGTCACCATTCAAATTACAATCTCAGTTTATTAAATCAGCCCTATCAGTTTTTTTTCATAGTCTAAAAACACTCTTTGTTTTATATACGCTTTGGTCTGACTTGATGTTGTTGTCTCTTTGTCCTGGTGGTTCAGCTCGTATAAAGGCGTCCTCAGTGACTCTCACCTCCCACACCAAACAGAGGAATGCAACCGGAGTGAATGAGCGACTGTGACTGCACCATAATGCTGCGCTGTATGACGACTGATGACCCCCCGATAACACAGAGAAAGCCCCTTCTCACTGGACCCTCTGTGAGTAATGTCCAGAATCTACACAGTTTATGGGAATATATGTTAATGTAACCCTGAGCTGCTGTCAACCACAACCCATCCAAAATGATGTTATTTGTTCTGAGTAACCATAAAACAAATACAGAAAGAAGTTCAGAAAGTTTTGTTCGAGATTATCACCACAAATCATTAAAAGAAATAACATAATTGACAATATTTTTTTTAATTCTTTTCAGTTTTTTCAAAAATGTGTCAAATTGCTTTAGTAACAATCAAGTGGAATAAGAAGGATACATAAAACACAAGCCAAAACTCTTTTATAACAAAACCGGTGGCATTATTAAATCAAATGCCAATAAAGAGTTAGTAATTTCACATTTGTATTTGTACATATTCGTTGTCAGTTTTTCAACCTTTATTTGTTAAAAAATTAGTGATGAACCTGATCCAATACTGGTATCGGATATTGACTTTAGTACTAGAAAATTTGTTGAATTGGATATTGGCTTCCAAATTTCGATTCAGCCAATGACCTGGTTGGTTGTATAAGTTGATGTAATAATAAAATGATGTTAAATCGGTGCAACGTCAGCAGTGATGTGGTTGCTGTATCAAACCGTTGTGGTGAAGAGGGCTGAGAGCTGAGCTGAAAGACAAGCTCTCTCAAAGATCTATTTTCTTACCCTCTGCTTTGGTCATGAGCTTTGGGTAATGACAGAAAGGACAAGATCGAGGATACAAGTGGTCAGAATGAGTTTCCTCCGCTGGGTGGCTGGGCGTTCCCTTAGAGATAGGGTGAGGAGCTTGGCCACATGGGAGGAGCTCGGAGTAGAGCCACTGCTCCTCCACGTTGAGAGGAGCAGCTGAGGTGGTCTCTCGGCTGGCCTGGGAACACCTTGAGGTCCCCCTGGAGGAGCTGGAGGAAATGTCCGGGGTGAGGGGAAGTCTGGGAGTCCCTGCTTAGACTGCTGCCCCCTCGACCCGACCTTGGATAAGCAGAAGAAAATGGATGCATGGATGAAATGATATAATATTGGCCAAAAGAGTCTCTTAGTGTTTGAATTTATATTTATACAGATCTGTTCTGCCGTTACGTGAGGGATAAATGAGAACTACATAACACATTTAGATCAGTCACTACATTGGTATCGGTTGGTCAGGTTTTGTCAGATACTTAAAGGTAAAGTATTGAAATTGGATATAGGAACTGAAAAAGCTGGATCATGAATGTCTATTAAAAATGTATTTAACAAATCTCATTGTACAATAGAAATTCTTGTTTGACCGTAAACTCTTATACCACATTCATATGTAAGACCAGAGAAATGTACTGGTTAAATCCGGGATTGAATCATTAAAGTTCGTGTTAAAGGCGAATGTTCTGACCAATAAACCACAGTGGCACATTACTGACATGAAAAATGTGCTTCCAACTTTATTTTAAATGTATTTTTGTAGATTTCCTCTCTGTGCCCATTACATTACACTTGCTCCTGTAGCTCTGAACTGAACCCAGTGAACTCCTGTTTGTTTGGCCCCAGAGGTCAGCAGAGGAGACAGGAGAGATAAAGTCCAGTGGTTTGGCAGATGTTGTATGAGAAAGGGCTCAAACTAAAAAGGCTGTAGGATGATAAGGGTTTTGACCACACAGCTGCAGTTTCACAGTTTCACACAAGAGGAGTTACATGGCGAGGGCATTCAAGGTTCAGAGCGCTGTGCAAAACTAAAGATGACTGGAGCCTGAGAATTTCAGTTTTTATCCAAAGTTTTGGAGAAATTGAGATGTTATTCATACTGTATACTTCCTGATAACCTTCTGTACTCTATCATCCTTTTCTAAGATTTGGTGCAGTTTTTAGGTTTATATGAGCAAAACACCATTCCCCTTTCCATTTTGCTAAAGGAAATAGAATACGCTATTAACATTCTAAGTAGCGATGCACCGATCCGATACTGGCATTGAATATCTGTGCAATACTTGGATCAGATATCAGCTTCAAAATATCGGTTCATCTGATATCTTGATTGAGCTTTTAAATCAATGTAATAAGACAATAACAATAATAAGTCAATCTATATTTATACAAAGCTATTCTATAGTTACATGAGAGATAAAAAGCAGACACATTTGGAACAGTTTAGACTTATTTTATTTTCGTTTAAAGGAAATACTATTGAATGCTGCTTTTTCGGAACTGAAAAAGCTGGATCGGTGCATCTCTAATTCGAAGGGAACAGTTGGCGTTATCATTACCTATTAGGAAGTATATTTAATTAAGAAAGAACCAAAGAGTCAAAGGTCTGCAAAATGCAATTCTACATTTACACATTTACAATATAATCTACCCACAACCCGTGCAGAGCTGCTTTACATGAAGGCAAATTTGTAACATATTTGAGTAGCGTTTTAGCAGTAAAGCATAGAGGCTCCAGTGAAAGGCAGATAACAAAAGACTGGACCATGATGGTGTCTTTACACATCTGTCCCACTCTGACCTACTGCCCGAGGTGACGGACTGGACTGGACAAAACAACTGTCTGCTAGCCTTTTTTGAGCATATTACTGTAGAGACAGGCCTGTCACGATAATTACTCAACTTATATATACATGACAGCTGTAACAGTGTATTTTGGGTGCTTTTCTTTGCAAAATTGGGGAAGTGTTTTATTATTTTTCTTGTAATACGAATAGATTTGAGCTGTAGAGAGTTGAATAAGTCACTTTTATGACTAATTATTGCTTCTTTCAGCTCTTTATGTGTTGCAGCTCATGTCTTTTTAATGATACTGTCTATTTAAAAATGTTTTATTGGGATTATTTTGTGTGATACAGTATTTTTTTAGTATTATCGTTTATCTCATTAAATCTCTACAGCAATATATTATGCTTTTTGTTATCGTGACAGGCCTGTGTAGAGAAAAAATATCTAAAAAAGTCTATAATTAGTATTTCTTTGTATTGTATTTTCTGCAGTGTCCACAGCACGTCTTAATTTGGCTGTTATTTGATTTAAAGATGCACTGTGTAACTTTTCTGGCGGAGGTATGGCATTACACTTTATCACTATGGAGACAGCAGGTGACACCATAGGGTCAGATCAGTGGAGAGGCGAGCTCACAGTAAGAATGCAAGATTTTAGGTCAGTCCGTGTTATTGAGTATATCCAAGATGGATTTGTTTAATGCCATATGGGGACATTCTAGACAATGCAATAACATCGCTATGGAGACAGGGAGGGGTCAGATCATTCACCAGAAAGTTACACAATGTGTCTTTAACAGTGTTGCCTTACTAAAACAAAATACATGTAATCTTCTAAACAGGCCTTGTTTCTATGGCTGTAAAACTAAACTCCAAACCAAACTGAGTACAATACAAAAATGCCTTGAGCCCTCTCCTCCTCACTTGTCTTTTCACTGGATAAATGTCTTTTTTTGTCCCAAATCAAAGCTCCAGAACTGGGTCGCAGTGAGATTTTGGTGGATGGATGAACAGTGGATGACAAATACAAAAGCCTTAGGTTATGTAAAAAGACACTGCACCAGTCATTTACATGTCATTTTAAACTAAACATTTTGTATCATCGGCTCAGTTTAGTTTTTATCTTGTGAAGGTTTGTAGTGAGTCACTTGTTTGTCTCTGAAGATGTTATTGCTTTTCCTGGAATATTTCACAAAATTAAACTTACAGTATCTGTCTTTTTTCAGCCATAGCATTTATTAAAAACTAATGTTATTATTGCTCAAAAATACCTTGATAAACATGCATTCTTACTGTGAGTATAATAGGGATGTAACAATAACCAAAATATCATGATATTGCATCGTCAAAAGTCTCAATAATATCGCAGGCTGTCACAATATATCAAATTACAAGTTTCTTTGCTTAAATACATGGTTTTATAGTAGCAACAGCTTATAAACATTGGGAACTACATATCCCATCATTCATTTCAGCGCAGACAACATGAAGAAATATGTTTTCGAGTTGAATTATTGGGATTATGATGGAAATAATTCACACCAAAATCTTGTCAAGGTATTTTAGAAGCAAAAACATGTCCTATGTACAATTATATCAGCCTCTGCAAAATATGGCAATAAATATCATACCGTGAGATGCACATCGTGATAATATCGTACTGAGAGATTTGGATATCGTTACATCCCTAGTTTATCACCATACTGGAAATAACCCAATAACAAATTATACAAATAAATATTGCATAATAGCTTGGTTAGGTTTGTTGGTTGGTTTTTAATATTTTTGGCAAGTTTAAACCAAAATAAGATGGTGATGATAAGCTATGAATACTAATATAGTGTCAAGATTTAATTTATAAAGTTATCCTTTATTATTACTCTGTCTACATCTCCAAAGCTCAAAATGTACTGTTCCACCTTGTGATGTCGCGGTAGTTTTCAATTTAACAACCCCTTTGACCTTTTCTTTTCAAATGATTCTAGTGAATGTGTATGTAGTTTAAAAACACAGTGGAGCATTTCCTGTATTGCCAAATGACATCACAAGGTTTTTTCAGATTGTTTTCTGTTTGAGAGAAGAATTCACCCTAAAAATGCAGGGTTTGTGTGTTGCACATGTGAGAATGAAACAAAAGTAAACTTCAGGTATAGGTCTGGGTATCATTAAGAAGTTGTCGATATAATACATACCTCAATACATAGGCAACGATACGATACCTATCTCGATACAGTGCACTTTTAATTCGATTTGGTATATTTCAAATTGATTCGATACAATTCAATAAAAAACAAAAGCTAAATCATGGCTGTGATAATAAAAGTCTTTTGTTAAACCACTTTTTGTGCAAAGTTCATATGAAACACGCCCATTTTACTCATCAAAACAGTGAAAATGTCAAATGTTTTGCATAAATGAGTTTCTTTCCTCTAAACAAGCAACAAACTGCAGCGCTGTAACAAAATAATTTAGTAAAATATACCACAAAATACTATTGGTGATATATCAATGCAGCAGCCCCCGACCGATACTGTATCATCAAATTAAACAGTACGATATATCGATATATTTTGATATTTTTGCACACCCCTAGTATTCAGGTATCTTTGTGATGAAGAAACAACATTCTAACACAGATCAGAATCAGCGTGGCATGGTCCCTTTAAAAAACAGTCACGGTTTTGTTAAATCATTAAACATTTTTGCACAAAGAAACAGCATACATGGAGCAACTATTTCCATGTTTATGTCATATCTGGCAACCCACGTCTCCCCGGGACATTCACTGGAGCTGAATTTAAATCAGGTGACCGAACAAGACAGGCTCATTCAATTGTGTAATGCCCCTTCCACTCCTACATGTCCCCAGCCTCTTTGCACACAACCATCTCTGCACTATAACAGCAACACAAGGGACAGTATTCAACCAAGATTCAGACAGATCAAGATCTAGACTCAGGACCAGTCCAAGCTCGATCTTCAAATTGTGGACTTTGATTTAAGATTTTTTGGATTTCCTTGATTTTTTTTCATTTTAATTTAAGATTTTGAACTATTTTTTGAATGCAGAAACGAAACAGCGACGTTATAACCATGTGGATTCCTACTCCAAGCTTGACCGTGCTCCAGCGTGTGGTCCTCTATGGGACTTGCGTGCTGGCTGTTTTGAATTCCTTGGGTTTTTTGGTCATTTTGGTGCAGCAGAACCAGCAAGCGACGCAACTGGAGAAACTGGATATGAGATTAAGCAATATCGAGCACAGTTCAGTGGTGGAGTTTTTGCAAGAGGTGCCCAAAAGAGGAGGAGGTGGAGGCGGAGGAGGGGGGCAGTACATGTATTCGAGAAATAAGCGAAGTGGTGGAGAGGAGGACGGGGTAGAGGATGGGGTAGAGGAGGACCAGATTGGGTCACAGGAGATGGGGTACGAAGGGTCAGAGCAGGAGGTCAGTCAGGAGGTGGGAGAGGAGGCGCAGAAGAAGAGCAAACATGGGGGGAAGAGGAAACAGAAGTATCACCACGGTTACCACAAAGCTCACGTACAGGATGACACAATGATGATGATGACTTACTCCATGGTCCCGGTGAGATGTGAAAATATTTGATCACTTTATAACAAAACTTGACACAAAGGTGCATTGTGTAACTTTTTTCCACTACCTGCTTGTCTTCATGATGATGTTATTGTTCTCAAATGATAAAATACTGTGATCCAAAGCAAGAAAAGTGATCTGACGAAGGCTTTTTTGCCTTAAAAAAGCTTTTGGACGTCGGCCATCTGAGTGTGCAATGCAATTTTTCACTTTTGTTGTTCTCAAATGATCTACTAAATGGCCGTAAATCTATCTATCTCTATGGGGACAAGCGCAAACAGGCCAAATTACTTGTCAGATCTGTGGAGAGGAGACCCTACTTACAATAAAGAATACAAGCAGATAGTGGACTCCCTCACTGTGCAAGACCCCTAAATAAATGTTAATGATAATATTGTATAATTTGCACATAATATAGTCTTGGAAAACATTACTAAACTAGTAACATTAATATTTGAAGTGCTTAAACTTAACGTCCACTGGTATCTAAACAGCACAGATTAAACAGGCAAGGAAAGTTTATTTTTAAAGCACAATTCGTACACAAAGTTATTCAAAGCTTTACAGAATAAGAAATACATTATAAAATCACAATACAAACAAATCAAAACATAAATAATCATCATAAAATTTAAAAAGAGAGAGAGAGACATTAAATTCGAGAGAAGAGTGTGGAATAAAAAATGAAAAGGTTTCAGTCATATGCAGCTGAACAGAACTGTTTTGAACCTGAATTTAAACAGTGTCAAAGTAGAGGCCTGTCTCACATCTTCAGGAAGACTGTTCCAGGTTTTAGCTGCATGAGTCTGAATGTCTGACTCCCCGTGTTTAGTGCTGACTCTGGGCACCAGTAGGAGACCGGTCCCTGGGGTCCTCAGAGTGTGAGATGGTTCATATGGCACTAATATGTCACAGATGTACTTTGGTGCTCGGCCATGGAGAGACTTGTACACAAGTTTTAAAGTCTATTTAAATACTTTAAAGTCTATTCCATGAGGTATAAAGTTTATTCTCTGAGCCACAGGAGCCAGTGCAGAGACCTCAGCACAGGACTTATGCAAGCAAAGACGAGAAATTATGAACATTGTTGAAATTAAGGGTAGTGAGCAATTTTTGGTCAATTTGGTGAATGAATTGTAACAAAAATCTACTATGACTGCCAGAACTAACTAGATATATTATTTATTTTTTCCCCTTGACATTAATAATATCATGTTAATTATTTGTCCCATAATTATTCCTTATTTTGTTTCAGATTAAGCTCTTGATTGACATTTGTAACAGCTCCAAGGGCGCCTGCATCGCCGGTCAGTCTAAATCATTAACTTGGTGTTACATTATTAATAATGATTTTATTATTTAATACTGACTGTTTTTTTTTTTCTTTTTTTCTTTTGCAGGACCGCCGGGACTTCCCGGTTAGTCTCATGCTTATTCATTCGTTCATTGTATTGATAGTCCATTGCTTTGTCATGATGATCTAGTGACCCATAAACCCACTGACATGTACTGAGTCTGTGCACTGTATATGGGAAAAATATAGGTTAATATGTTATGTTAATGATAAGTCAAACTATAGTGAGACGAAATCACCATTAAAAAAACAAAAACATGACTAAACTGAATTTTATTATTTAAGTCACAACACGTTTTAGTTTAGGCTCTAAAGAAATCTTGGTCGAATGGAGGAAATGCTGTATACTACTTTATATTAACCAAGCCTTAATTAGCATTTATAAAGCATGAACAAGGCTTAATTTTTGTTCTGAAAAAAGTCAGTAAACAGTGATTGAGGTTCAGTAATATTTAATTAGGTTTATGACATAGTATATTAAGTTGTTACTAAAATGGAGTCATTCTCAATAAACAATTTGTTCACTATGAATTAAGTGTTTGTTCATGCTTTGTTAAGGCATGTTAAGTGTAGTTATTATAAAGTGCTTCCTATATTTTAGTGACATTTGATATGGATATTTAATTTGCTAATATTCAGTTAATATGCATTTTGTCACAGTCTGAGCAGCTCTCGTTTGTTTATGTCTTAGGTTTGCCTGGCACTGATGGAATGCCCGGGTTTAACGGCTCTGATGGTATCCCAGGCCTGAATGGAACGCCCGGGGCTGAGGGGAGGAGAGGTAAAAGAGGTGAGAGCGGGACTCCTCTTTCAGCTGGTTTTCTGTTAGGACCCATTTTGTGTTCAGACCTGAGGCGACGGTTGTACAGCGCATTGAGTAACCACGGTGCACTGTAAAAACACAAAGCCCCCACTGTACATGTATGAAGAGGAGTACAGCCAAAAGAAGTCACTTAAAATGATGTAGACACAAAAGACTTAGGCCTGAAGCAGTTACTACAGTATAGAGAGAAGGTCTAGTTGGTTCTTACAGGGTTCAGAATTATGAAATACTCTGTTGTCATAGCAATTAATGATTTAAAACATAAAAAGTTCTTAAAATGTCACATACAGCAGGTCACTGAAAGCCACAAATATGCTGAATAGTAGGTAGAATAGACTATAATGCATATATAGTTAGTATAGTATAGTATAGTATAGTATAGTATATAACAGTGATTGCAACAATTAAAGATGGACTATGTAACTTTTCTGGTATGGAGGTCCAGCACCTGCATGTCTACATGAAGATGTTCTTACTTAGCCTAGAATGTTCCATTGTATTAGCCTGATTCACTAGCCAGGTTCACTTTGTGGAAACCGTCTGACCTCGCAGCAGTAGGATTCATTCGCTCAATGGTAGGAGGGTACTTTTTTTTAACCAATCGCTGCTATTTGGTCGTGACGTATGTAATGCTCTGCTAATGGAGCTAACTGGTATATTAAAAGCTTTTCCCAAATCCCGTAGGAAGGAGGTCAGTAACGTCTTTCCCCGCGATAAAATTCACCAAACATTCTCTTGGTTCTCTTGGCTTTAAATCCTCGATCTCAGGAATCGTTGCCAACACAGAATGTATGTCTTCATCTACATCCATCTCGGCCGCTTTGTTTACTGTTGTGCTGTACCAAAAAAAGGGATCCAGTCATGGCTTCACAGCTCTTCACTGATTGGCCGGTATGTGGTCCTTAACTTCCGGGGTTCTTGCAAACCATCTAGTGTATTCCGATTCCTGACCTAATCATTGGAGAGAAATGAAATTGAGCAGAGGCAATAGGTGGCGCCAGCCTGGCAAACGCTGTATGGCATTGGAATTAAACTTCTCTTTCATTTAATCAGTTGCTAACCTTATAAAGTGTGATTGCAACTCCCTAGATCTGACTTCTTACTGTGCCTGATGGTGCCACATTTTTTTCCATAGAGATAGAAATTTAATGCCATGTTTTTGGAATGTGTTCTGCAACCTAACCCCTACGCCAACTCGAAGCGAAAACTATTGTTTGTACAACTTCTTCATAGTTGATGTCATTGATTGAGGACCTGACTTAACCACCAGATACAATAGTCTCCACTGGGACAGCGCTGGTACATTGTGTGGCTTTAGAGACACTGTGTTCAGACCAACTCCTCCAGTTTCCTCAAACCTTTGAATGAAACAATGTTGTGATCAAACTCGTGCAAAGTGGTTCAAACCGCAGCCTTTCCTCCACATTTCCTCAGATATGATTCATGTGGTTTGGGCTCCAGCTGAATGAGACTCTCCTACAGAGTCTGACCCACTCCAGTCACAGTCCCGACTCATAATGGAAATCTGTACTCACTGTAGGAGTCTCACATGTAGGTCTAAGTTCACATAGCGCTGGAAGCTGGATTGTCACGATGTTTGACTTTTCTAAATCATGAGAATCCATCTTGTACATTTCCTGGCAGCTCCACACAGTTTTTGGTGTGCGGCACAAGATGTTATTTATACTTACTTTAAGGTACAAAACAGCATAATGCTCCTTAAAACTTTATTGTTTTATCAAAGTATATATCAAATGGCTTCTGAGTGTGCTTCCTCTCTGAACGTTTTTGACGAGCTCCATTCCAGATTAAAATTACAGAGAAAACTGTAGTGCAGTTTCAAGGTTAGGGCAAAATGTTCTTTATATCTTTTTTGTTCAAATTTAGGAAAAAAAAATCTGTAGGTGTTGTATTGTGTCACATTATTAAAAACAAGTCATTGACACCTCATACCTTTTTCAGGGCCTCCAGGAGAGAAGGGCGACCCAGGGGAGAGAGGGGAGCCGGGCGAGCCTGGTCCTCCTGGAGAGAGTGGACCACCATCCAATGATGTCATCATAGAAGGTCTGTACAAACTGAATTATATTAAAGATAAAGAACTACTAAGTGTTTATCACATGAGCAGTTATGAGGTGTGCATGAAACATGGACAGAAAGATAACTTATCCCAGTGTAGCAAAACGTCTTGTGAATGTGCAATCAGAATACGTCTCAAGATATTGTGTGCAAAATAAGTAAAACACTTTTCTGCATGAACATTTTCTGTGTCAATATATTTATTTATTTTATGTATTAGAAACTATATTATAAACTAACTTTGTTCTTGTGAACTTAATCTCATGTCTTGTTCCACCTTTAATATGTGATTTATAATGACTTAATGCCTACAGTACGGTGTTTCATTTTGCTTTATGCCCCTCTCCTCAGGACCCCCAGGCCCCCCAGGTCCCCCTGGCGCTCCAGGTCCTGCTGGTCCCCCAGGTCCCCCAGGTCCTCAGGGTCCCCCTCGGATCAGACACAACAGAGCTCATCTCCAGGCCGCGCAGACTCTGGGTGAGTAATTGTGATCTGTACATGTTGTTATGCAGTGTGTATTAAATAAGATTATTATTGTTTTATCATTGTCTAAATGTTTGATGACTCAGCATGAAGCACAGCCACAAACGCACTGTACTATCTGAACATTCATTAATACACACTGTCCTCTGCCTAATACACAGATAATATAACGTGGTGATGCGTAAGGTAAATAAAAATCTAAGATGACTGTTACATAATTCTTTGCAGTACCATTACAATCCAATACTCCAAATGACGGCACTTCTCTGAAGGACGTGATGAAACCAGCCAAGAAAAACGGTATAAATCTGCTCACATACACTTTAACACATTATTGTCACAATAATTGTATTCATGATTCATGTACTGAAACAGTTCTCCTGTCTCGTGCAGAGTGTCTGATCAAGTCCCTGATAAACTCCAGAGAGGTGTCTCACACAGAGAGCACCTTTGGGTCCTGGATGAAGGACACGGCTCTGCTCCATGATGAGAGGATCTGGGTGGCAGAACATTTCTCTGGTACAAAACTCATGCTGACTATTATTCTGTCTGTGCTTATGAGCTCACAGTACCCCAAACCAATACAATATTTGATAATTATGATTATTTTTGTTTAGTTTTGGTTAATATTTTTCAATAATGTACATAATTTACAGCATATAAGGAGTAGGCTGAAGCAATGTTAAAGCCCCACCAATATTTAAGCCCTACCATGTAACATTTTAGCCAAAAAAGTATACTAAAATAAAAACATTAGATTTTTCTTTTTGGATGGATTTATGGGACTCCAAATTTGTGGGCTTAGGTCTCCAAAAGTCTGACTTTTACTTGGCCTGTAGAGGGGCCAATGTTTCTTTGGCTATAGTATGTATGGAATTAAACATATCTGGAGATCATGATAAATGTTCTGAAGTATTTTTTTAATGCTTTTTATTTCCTTGGAATCATGCAGGTGATGTGCGAATTCCAGAAAGTTGTGCAGTGTTGCTTAAATAGTCATGAAGAATTTTGGAAAATATGAAATTCTTTTTGTCTGCCTTGGTTCCATTCAGATTATTATTGTGATTTTGATTCTATGTGATTAACTTCTCATCCCTCATGCTGAATCAGTTAAAATATTTTGTCTTTTTTCTGTCCCAGGTCGAGTGGTGAAGGAGTACAAAAGCCTTGGTGCGTTTCAGAACAGCAGTTACACACTCGTGGATGTGAGAAAGTTCTTCCAGGGCTGTGGTCACACTGTTCATAATGGATCTCTGTACTACCACATCGCCGGGACCCCCACCATCGCCAGGTAAAGAAACGAGATCATTTTAACCTGATTAGATAAAACTTGACACTTACATCTTGACATCAGCAAAGTGGAAGTGTGACGTTCCAACCCTGGTGATATAGATCTATGTTATAATGTTGTTTCCTCATCACAAACGTTCCAGTACAGATATTATATAAGCAGCTCTTGAGGTCTGTTTACTGTATGCATTTAATTATAAAGCATAAAGCATGAAGGCAAAACTCCACGCTGGCCTCTGAAAGTTGTCAGAAACACTTACGAACTCATTGTGGTGAATAATTAGGCTTCTTGGTTTGCATAAACTTTGGACCCCTGCAACCTGTTCTGAATGAAAAATGAAATATTACACTATTTTTTGATCTGTTATAAACCTGTTTCTTCATCACAAAGAAACCTGGAGTTGCGTTTTATTTCATTCACAAGTGTTTAATATACAAATCCTGCATAGTTAGGCTCAGTTCTTCTCTCAAACTGAAAAAAATGCACCTTGTTCATTTGCTCCACCTTGTTTTTAATCTCCATACACCTTCACTAGAATCATTTTGATAATTTCAGCTCTCGAATCTATGGAGATGTAGTCAAACTAATAATAAAGTGTTACTCAAACGTGTGAATGAAACAAAACACAACTCCAGGTCTGTTTTTGATAAGGAAACAACATTATAACATACTCCATTCAGTGTAGTGAAGACTGCAGTGAGCGCTACACTGGAGAAACAAAACAGCCACTTCACAAGAGGATGTACCAACACAGACGAGATAGCAGCAGTGGACCTCAGTCTGCTGTCCAACTCCATATAAAAGCCACGGGCCACTCCTTCCTCTGAGGATAGTGAGATATACAGACCTTTGAAATAATTGGTTTGAGAGGGGAGTTAAAGAAGCTGTTTTTTGTTAAGAAAGACAATCCATCCTTAAACAGAAACGGAGGAACTAAGACATCATCTATCTCCCATTTACAACTCCATCCTCAAACCTAAAACAAAGCGAACATTCACTCATTATGGACCTGAATGATTACGCTAATATGACCCCACACTCATTACAGATGAATAAGTAGGTGTGTTAGTTTCAGAGTAGTTTCATAGTAGTTAGCTCCTACCTTCAACCAGATATAAGGCAGTGTTCACTAGCGTCTGACCAGAACTGAAGAAGCAGCTTGGAACGTATTTGACCAAAATTTCTGTCCAGTTGACAAATTGAATTTCTTCTTTGCCAACATTATAACATGGTTTCAATAGCAAGGATCACACCAACAACGACATAGAGTGAAGAAGTTTATTGATAATGTACGAGGCGGGGTGGAGATGGCTGGGTTGAGACTCTAGGTTTGGGCTCCATCTCAATAGTCAGTTGGCCCAGCTGGGAATGGGACCCCTCTCATAGGCGTCTTACGGCTGAAGACGAACAAGTTGGTAGGAAGGTGGGGTCGTGTTAACCGAGACAAACTGGGATGATGGGAAAGGCTGCTACAGATACGCTTCTGGGACATTAGAGGTGTGGTCGAGGTGAGTTTTGGTTCGCTGGTGTGGAGGAGAGAGCGGTTGAGGCGTGGGCCTGCTCCTGAGTCTCACTTAATCATATTGACTACACTTAAAGCTCACAAGAATCAATTTGACGTAATATAAGCCCTTTAATTTTTACCATCGGTTTGGGTCATAACCTGTTCATCTTTCTACAGATTTCACTTTGAGACACGAAGACTGCACATTCTCTACATCGAGAACGCTCTTTATCACAACTTGTCCTACCTGCTGCAAAACTCAAAGACCTACTTCAAAGTGGCGACGGACGAGAACGGCATGTGGCTCATCTTCGCGTCCAGCGTTGATGATGTCATAATGGTGGGACAGCTGGACCAGAAGACCTTCTCCATCACGTCCTACATAAACACCACGTATCCCAGAGCCAAAGCAGGAAACGCCTTCATCGCGTGTGGGGTCTTGTACGTGACCGATACGAAAGACAACAGAGTGTCTTTCGCGTTTGATTTGCTAAAAGGGAAACCGGTGAATGTGACCTTTGACCTGCGGCCTCCGGGAGGGGTCCTGGCCATGTTGTCGTACAGTCCTAAAGACAGACACCTGTACATGTGGGACAATGGATTTGTTAAACTCTATGTGGTGCACTTTATATCTGATGAGTGACAAATCGAACATTGACATCTGCAAAACGTGCAAAAGGTGCATTGTGTAACTTTTCTGGTGGAGGCTCCATCAAACGCTTTTCATCACGAGATGTTATTGCTTTGTCTGGAATGTTCCACAGTATGACATTAAACCTTCCTATCTTCATGGAGAACAAACCAGAACAAGTTACAGGTCAGATCTGTGGCTGTTTTTTAAGGTATTTTTGAGCTATAAAACCACCTGTAATTGAATAAATGTAAGGTAGAGCAGTTTAATGTCATATTGTGGAACATTCCAGGCAGAGCAGTGAAAAAAAATTACATAGTGCAAATTCAAAATTACTTGTAATGAGTCTGACGGTGATTATTAAAGATGCATTATGTTACTTTTCTGGTAGAGCATATTGCTTTGCCTGGAATATTCCACTGTTTGGCATTAAACATATTTACCTCCATGGAGACAAGCCGGTGACAGCACAAGACCGAGGTACAGGTCAGGTCTGTGCATAGGCAGGTTTTAGAGAAATTGAAACTCATCTATTTGGAAAGAATGCAGACAGAGTTTAATACCACAGTGGGTAACATTTCTAGTTAGGCTGGTGCTACGTAGTGCCTCTGCTCAATTTCATTTCTATCCAGTGACTAGGTCAGGAATCAAAATACAATAGACGGTTCGCAAAAACCTGAGAAGTGCAAGTTCGGGCACCAGCCAATCAGCGAAGAGCCATACATTCAGTGTTGTCAATGATTTCCGAGATCGAGGATTTAAAGCTGAAACAAACTGAGTGTTTGGTGAATTTCATCAAAGGGAAAGACTTAATTGTCCTTCTTCCTACAGGATTTGGGAAAAGCTTAATATACCAGTTAGCCCTGTTAGAGGCGCATTACATACGTGACGACCAAATAGCAGTGATTGGTTAAATGATAAAAAGTACCCGCCTCCCGTTGAGCGAACTAATTCTAATACTGCGAGGTCAGACGGTTTCCAAGAAGTGAAACAAAGTGAAACCGGCTGATGAATCAGGCTATAACATTCCAGGCAAAGCAATAACCTCCCCATAGAGAAAAGCAAATGGTAAGTTACATAGTGCATCTTTAAGACATGATCAGAGATTTCAGGTTTTATTAGAATAATTACCAAAGCAAAAAAGGGATTTTTTTTTTTTTTTTTGCTAGTTTATAAAAAAGCAAGAATAATGCATAATACAGTTCATGGCTCTTATTGACTGTTATGATTACGTCTGTTGAGAAATGTGTGTTATTTTAAAGTATATTAGACGTGTAAACAACTTGACTATACAATTTTGTCACTACATTGTTTTTTGGCCTTGTGGTTTTGTTAAAGTGGAGGACAGGCTGGCTACCTTATCTGTATTTTCTATTGTATGTATCTATATGTATACAGTAAGGAGCCTGGTTGTGGTATTGGTACTTTACACGTCCTTTGCTTCAAATTTTTTCATGAACATAAAAATACATTACAGAACCATTACCTGAACCTACTTTTATATTCAGTGCTGTATTTACAATCCTTATTTATACATTTTAGTGAGTACTAATTGTGTGTATGTTGTACATTTTTACTTGTTTTATGTACATGTGGTTTTGATTTGTCATTTGTAAGTCATATTTCGTCCGTGTTTGGTACTTTCCTTCCTTCCTTATGTTTGTTTAAAAATCTAACCACTTTTATCGGAAGCTTATTACAGCACAGTAATTGCATGTAGTTGAAATAGAATGGACATTATGGTAATTATAAGCTTAACCCAGTGGCTTTCACAAAAAAAAAAAAAAAAAAAGAAAAAGATTTGGCTTTCTGTGTACAACCTGATCTAAACCAGGTCTATAACCGGACTATTCCAGTTCTAATCAGGTCTAAAAGTGGAGTACATCATTTCCACTGTAGTCCTAAACAAGAAATTATCCAAAGAAAGACAAAAAAAAGTGTATAAAATGAACTTATTAAGCAAATCCACAAACTGAAGAGCTGTCCTAGTTCCACCTGAAGGAGCTGTCACTGTCCTAATCCAATAAGGTTGTAAATGAATACGAAGCAGAGGATTTCTTGGTAATAATAGAGAAATAAAGCAGCAAACACACTGAGTTTTATAGTCTAGTTGCCTTTGTGATTTTCCTTGTATTCCCATGCTATAATTACCGTGCTGTAAAGTTTGTGCGACCCTTATATTTTGTAAGAAATAAAAACCAAGTGGATCTGATGAAATAAAACGATTTATTCATCTTTGAGATAAATTCTAGCCACAAACTTCACACACTTCAGACTTGTGCCCTTTTTATAACGTTTGACTTTTGGCTTCCTCCATTTTGTCATTCTCACTCGAACCGTGGATAAACACCTAAGACACACACAGTACACGTAGTGGGCAGAAACATGGGAGAAAACACATCTCTTCAATAATAAATACTACATACACAAAAGTACAACTAATCCAGCTGGTATGATACAACCCAAAAAATAAACGAATGCTTTATGTTTGTACAAGCTGTTGTGGTAGTTCATATATATATATTTATATTTATATAATTTCTATAATAAAACTATTTGAAACGTTGTACTACTAGGCCAAATAAAGCCAGACATTCATTTATAGATAACAGTATCTTCTATTGGAAATAAAACCTTTAGTGTCTCCAGAATTTGAGTGCAAATATTTATTCCTTTATCGATGAAAACGGTAAAAACAACTATAGGGAGAACACACAGAAACAGCACATCATCTTTCAAAATAAAAGCCTTACATTCCTAAAATAAAAGGCATTGTTAAGATAAATATCTTTGTCCACAGGAATGGTCAACACAACATATAAATAAATTAAATAGCAATTAAAAAAACGATAAATAAATTCAAGATTTTTGTGCAAAACCAGGTGATCTTTTGTGTTTCCGCGAGTGGGGAGGGGGTGATTCTGTAGCAGACGAGACACATGGGGAACAGATATCACATACTTCAAACACGGCATCGTCCGAACAGGCAGTGAGGGCAGGCAAAGTGCGCACAACAAAATGGACCAGGACATAAGAGAGACCAAGATCTAAACCTGGACTCAGACCAGGACTCAGACCAGGACTGTGGACTACAGGCTGAACAATATATTACAATATTGGCTGAGGCAACGATCGGTATTGCAAGAAAATAAACCGCAACGCAAATTTATTTTAGTGTGCTATTTTTGGAACTTAAAATAGTAAAAATGGCAGAATATATTAATCATGTTGCTTATTAAATTCTAGATTAGACATGGGTTGGTCTTGGTTTTGTCCTTTTTTTTTTTAACTCAGTGTTGTTTGATGGCATGAGCATTTTGTGTTTTGATTTAACTGAACTTACTGCACCAAAAAGTGAATTACAACGTAACAAGAATATTGTTATTGCAGTACAAAACATAATAATTGAATATTGCATTTTTTTTTCTCATATCCTGCAGCCCGACGAGGACCAAATCCTTAAAACGTGATCTCAGTCTCCTTATGCAGTGGTGAGGTTAGACTAAGGGTTGCCACTAGAGGGAGCAATGACCATCGACTCTTTCCATAAGGGCAGACATAAGCTGAGAGGAGGAAAGGGTTCAGAAAAACTATTAAAAACTGAAATAAAAATCATCCAATAACTTGATTCACACTGGAAACCACTGACTGAATAACAAACCACAGTGCTGGTTACAGTAGATGCTAAAGAGAGATTTCAGCTGTGGGCACAAAATGACGACAAATATACACGTTTTTAAAATTTTTGCTTGAGCACTTTTACAGAGCACTATCAACAGACCTGTGATTGCACCGCGTAACGAGAACAGGACATGCATAGCTTCTCTATAAACACACTCTAGAGAGATTAGACTTCTCCGTAAAATTACAATAAATCTAAGCTTTTTTAAAATCAAGTATGGTACCTTTTGCTTGTAACGTTGCTTTTTGTGAGCCTTTGGGAAAAAATAACTGCAGCTTTGTTTTTCGCTCTGTTTACATCTAGCGTAAACCCATTTTTCAAACAACACTGCACCTAAAGCAGTCAAAAGCGAGATGTTTGACTGGCTCTTTCCCTGTTTTGTTTTAATGCCTAGCAAATGTAAGCTTGTATAGCCTCCTTCTTCTTCCCTCTTTCGTTAAAGCACATCCACGAGGTTGTTGGGGATGTTGTATCGGTCGGGCAGGACTCTCATCTTCAGCGTACCGTCCGCCCCGCAGGTGAAGATGCGGTTGCCGGGGCGAGTCTCCACCTGCATCACCCCGGCGCCGATGTTCCTGAACAGGGACTGCTTGGCGTGCTCCGTGCTGAAGGAGTGCATCAGGCCGTGACCCGCCAACTTCCACACCTGAAGGAGGTGAGAGAGAAGTAAAGTAGGAGTAAGAATGAAATACATAGCACTTTGAGAATGGCTACAATCTGGTTTTATACAAACAATAATATATATTTTTTTATTAGTTTAAAAACATGACCCTGAACCACAAATCTAGATGCTGTACAAATATAAATAATACTGTATCTATATGGAATAGTAATCTAGTTTATTTTAGTAAATAAGAGTTAATGTTTTCATAGTGGTGACAATATTCAGCATAATAGAAGCAGTAGTGGCCTAATACCATATCCATTACAAATATTGGGCATGTGTTTCTGTGTCATGAAATAAAAACTATTTTTATTTTTCAAACAAACTGTAGTTTGTTTAAAAGACATTTACACTCCTTCACAAGCGCCTCAGGTTACCAGAATCCTTGTATCGTTTCGTTTTTCAAAATAAAACCAAAAATAAGAAAATGTAAAAACAACAATTTTCTTCATTATTTGTCTCCAAAACCAAAATGACAAAATGGATAACAATTAGTTTTTTCAGTTTTCAATTTTGTGTTTAAATGAGTAATGGAAAAAACGGATAACATTTCCGTGACTTAAACTGCAATGCTGGAACCAGGACTGAACCCAGGACTACAACAGGTCTAAATCGGGTCTAAACCAGGACTGAACCAGACTACACCAGGTCTCAACTGGTCTCAGTCCTGGTCTGGTCCCGGTCTCAATCCCAGTCTGGTCTTGGTCTGGTCCCGGTCTCAGTCCTCGTCTCAGTCCCAGTGTTCTGTCGAAATGATCTCATTCCTGGTCTCAGTCCCGGTATCGTCCCGGTCAGATTTACCTGGACGCCGTGGCTCCCTGTTTCAACTGTTATTCTTAACTAGTCTAGATCTTTTTTTATAAACTATGGCATATTGTTTTCTGTTACCTTCATGTTTCCCTCGGCTGATCCGGTCACAAAGAAGTCCTCAAAGGGGTCCAGGGCCAGGGCCTTGATGGCAGAGTCGTGAGCCTGAAAGGTGTGGAGCAGCTGCCTCTGTCTGATGTCAAACACACACACGAAGCCTTTCCTGCCCCCGGTGATGAGCAGCTGCTGTTTGGAGGCGTACTGCAGCACCGTCGCCCCATTTTCATGGCACGGGAACGCTGCAGGACAAAGCACAAGAGTCAAGTTAAACTTAGACAAACTTTATTACTATACTATAATACAATAAAAGTTGAGTAAGAGAACAGATATACAGACACAGAATTGTACAATTGGCTTAAAATATACAATAACTTTTACTGTTCTTACCGTGGACCATAGTATTGCTTGGAGAAATTAGGGTATCCCAAAGGCAGACATTTCTGTAGAGCAGAAAAACATTGGTAATAGTTTGTGAGTTAGATTCATTAGGCAGCACAGCTTAGTTAAGACTTCAGTTTCCTGGTACTGACCGGGAGTCATTGGACTGTCCCGCTGTAGCGATGAGACTGGATGATGTGATGAAGGCAAAGTCTCCACAGGTTTTAGTGTGACACTGCCAACTCTGAGGGAGAACAAAAGATAAACTTTTTGAAATTGCATTTAAGTTTTATTTTTGTGGTAAAAACATGAAAAAAGTCCTCACCAGATATGGTTTGGGGTTTGATGACGTTTGGTTCACCTGCCACAGACTGAGGAAGCCCTCTCCATCTGCAACTCCACACTGCAAAAATAATGTAAATAATCAAGACTCCATAGTGAAAGGTAAAAGACGTACTTTATTTAAACTACTTTGGACACCTAAACCTTTGTACTGAAATATTTTGTATTTAGGTGAATCAATAACAGTATTATCAAATTTTCTAACTGTGCAGTGAAGGTAATTTGAGTAGTGACATGATTATGTAACCCAGATAAAAATCCATGTGTTATAAGTACTTTTGCAAAAGCATATTTCATAGTTATAAAAATGTTAAATACTATTCATTTTATTTCATTATTCATTAAAAGATATAGTTCATTTTATGGTTTAAAACATATTTACAAAAGCTAAAAAGAGATAAGAGATATTAATATTTTATTTACAATATTGTACAAGTCAATTTCGTATTCTTGTATAAACTGTGAACGTAGCGTGAGTTCTCGTGTGAAGATGCGCAGAGAGAGAGTTGAGAGAGAAATCCGGCTGGGATGCCCAGGAAACAGCCACAGCTAAAGTTCTCTTGTTTTTGAAATTTTATAAAGATATATATAATATAATATATAAATACAGTGTTAGTTTGTGACAGGGAATTGTTACCAGACTGGACAACGAGGGACGGACCTCAGATAGTACTGTGAGCATCACGGGCACTGCTCACAGTACCTCTGGCAACAATGGATACAGAGACGTGACGTTCTGAAACGCCATTGGAGACACGCTGTAACTCGACAAACTGCTTTGTCGTAGGAGACGAGGACGCTATGGAACTGGACCAGATGGTTCAGGCGGGATTAACACATTTACTTTTTTTTGCTCATTGAGTGAAGTGACCCAGAGTTTTTGGTCACATCGTACCTGAGCATTGATACAGGCCTTTACCATAGGATGTATTAGGATGCCGGCATTAGGACAACTTAAGAAACAGGTAATTAAACTGTGACAGGCCTTGTGAAAGTGCTGTGATTTGTTTTGTGCAGTGGAGTTGCTGTACATTTCTGTGAAACTTGAAAAACAAACTTGCACTTTTATGTTACTTATCTTTATTAAAGGAGGTTTATTTTTTCTACTACTTGTGTCTGGTGTTAATTTAGTCACCAGTAGACTATCTACTTTTGGTAACATCTCAGTGTCTAGTGTCGCATATTAAAGGGCTGTAGTGTGATCCAAAATAATTAGTAGTTTAGATTTAGTACAAGAGCACACAGTAAAAGAACCCAGAGCCCACTCAAGTAATTCATGATTATATAAGAGCTACAATTAGAAAGTCTCATTAAAGTGTATGGAGTCAGCGGTTTTGACATGCTGTAGTCCCTTTAATCATTTTTATAAATGAGTGCGTACCTTGTTCCCCTGTGAGTTGAAGTAGAGGCGTGTGACTCGGGCGTTTCCGGCCTGTCTAAAGCAGATGAGCTGCTGAGGTCTGTTCCACTCAAACATGCGCACGCTGCCGTCCTGAGCGCCAGTCAGGTCTGTGCACAAAACACACACAAAATACACAAACATGACGATCACTATGAACAGCAGTGAAACAGTAAGATGTGGGGAAATTATCAAATTGTAATCAAGACCAAGATTCAATCATTTCTAATCATCATTGATCAGCTTGGGCCTTAATCAAGACGTCTACAGCCAGTCCACAGTAAAAACATGAAAATGTGACTATTTTATCTGTAAATGGCACTGATTATATGTTTATGTTCAGTAAATTAATATGTTTTGAAAGCCGTTTCTGTTTGTTTTTAGTAAGAAAAATAAAATCAAAAGCTCTAAATTCAGTGCGTAAGTCTAATGTGAGTCGTGGCACTTACAATACTGATAAATGGGATGGGAGGTCATTCTCTTCACGTTGTTTAGATTTCGCTTCATGATCTGTGAATGAAAATAAGAGTTAACACTGGAGTATTTCCATTTCCTGGAACATGGGGCCAAAATTCACGTAACACCACACCTAAGCAAAAAACAAAACAAAAAAAAACAGTTCTATCAAAATTTAGTTTGCAAACAATGTATAGAGTTCAAGGTTTTGACAGAGGAGTCATATTTTTGAGAAATTAATTCAAGCTATAAGTGTTTTTTTTTTTTCTGTGAATGGAATTTAAACTGTCTTTGTACCATTTAAATTACTAGTTTTAAATGTAAATTACGTTAACCATATTCATGAGTTTCGGCTTCCTGTTTATGGACACCATTTTGAAAAGCCATTAGAAAGAGAGTTTTGCTTTGAACTATTAATTGCTATGGTTAATTACTCACCATAAAATGACTAAAACTATTTAGTCAAGTGAGCCAATCATTTAATTTTAGTCTAGTTCTGATATATGTCTATTTTAAGCGCCTGTTTTTGTGAGTTGAAACCATTGTAGTAGTCATATTTATAGGTGGTTTAGTCCTAGTTTAGACCTGAAAATAGTACTATTATAGACCCGGTTTTGATCTGGTGGTAATCGAAAAGCCAGATATTTTCATAAATTTTCATAAATTTATCCTGTCAAATTGCTCCCGTAATCTTTCTAATTCACATGAAATAAATGACAAATACTGAAATTATTCATGAACATGTAATTAACCCAAACCCTCTGAACTCCTCGTCGTTGTGGCTGGAACATAAAGATCCATGTAGACGTGACGCAGATTTGTACCTTGGGTTGGGAGAGTCTGGGAGCAGCTCTTATCTGTGTTTACACTGGTCCAGCTCAGTCCATACAAACTGCTCTGTACCAGCCCCATAGACTCAGCACTACAGCTGTTTAGTCCACACCAACACTCACTCTGATAAAACCACCACATACTTAATAATAATGGGGAAGTGTCGTGTAGATAACAATACATACACATTATTAAAGATGAAACTTTACTGCACATTATTAGTTGTGCATTTTATTTTAATCCAGAAGGTGGATTGTAAGAGCAGAAGTTTGTGACAAAATCATACCACTACATACTGGATGCCATTACATGTACACTCAAAATCAAATTATTATCAGATTTTGTTGGTTATAACACAATTAAAATGACATTAAGGTTACGTTTACACTGAAACGAATCACCGTATCACTGTGACGGAAACGATTTGTGTCCAGACACGTTGTTTCTGTGTTTCTGTGACACTAAACTTAAAACCACATATCTAACTTGCATAGACTAAGCCCTCAAAAAACAGCTTGCTCCTTGCGCCCTGACACAGTTCAGCTTCTGTCTGACTAAAGGACATGACTCAGTCTAATATCTGTGTTCTTTGTGTGGCAGAGGGATGTTCTGCTAATGGTGAGTCTGTTCTGTGCAACTAGTTCTAGCTACGCTGTTTCCCGTTTGTCTATGGTTAGTTTGAACTGTTTTTCACAATAGCGCAACATGACAGATGTCACGAACCGAGCGAATCAGGAAGGCACAAGTCACAGTGACGTGGTCCAATAAGGACGGCAAGTAGAGCTCCTACGTCAGCGTATCAACGTTTTTAGGCGTCCACACAGTGTCGAATCAGATCCGTACTCAGATGAATTCGTGGGTGCAAACATGGCATCCGCAACGAAAACGACTCGAATACGTACTAATGTGGATGGGGCAAAAACAGCAAAATCATCTAGTTTCTTTTCGATCATGGCCCCTCTGATTATATATCAGATTTTATCGCTGATTATTTCGCATGTTGTTAACAGAGGTGGGGCTCAAAACAGAGTAAAAAAGTCACATTTATGGGTGTATAATAATAACAAAACAACATATCATACCACACTGGCTCCCATGCTGGTCTGTCCACTGCCTAACCAGGGCATGGACGCAGAGACGGGGATCTCTCCGGAGCGAAGGGCACAGAGCCAGTGGTGTGAGCGATGTTTGTTTGAGACGAGCGGTAATCCACGTCGTCTGAGCTGCAGGGACAAAACACAAGAGTCATTTCCTTTTAAGTTTTCAAGAGCTCTTGTGTAAACCTAAAATAATATCAAAATAACACATGAGATTACAAAGACGGCACATCATTTCCATATGATGATGATAAGAAAAGATATTGCAAAAAAAGAATTCTCTAGGAATATCACAACAGTTAAACTTCATTTTTGAGACTGGTTATTAAGGAAGACTTGTGAGTGAGAGTTTTTAGATTGCAATTACTGTATTTTCCAGGCTATTAGACGCGCTCTTAAGCCTCTAACCCAGGGGTGGACAAACGACGGCCCGGGGGCCGTATGCGGCCCTTTAAACCTTTTAATCTGGCCCGCCGAACTGGAAAAAATTACAATAATAAACCTTGTTGATGTTTTATTTGTCATGCATTTCCAGCGTTTCCCAGTAGATGGCGCACTATATATACATTGAGTTGCGGCGTATTATGTTGGCCGCAATGCTTTATGGGAAAGTGTTCTTACAGGAGTTATTTGGACCATGAGTGAAGTAGTTGGTGCTGAAGATATAAGACTGCACTGCTTCCATTTTGAGCTGGTGAAAGTCAATCAAGGAAACCTATGGACTCTGAGTTGTAATTATTAATGTGTACATCATTTTGGAGACAGGTTTTATCACTCTCACAGGTGTATATCTGTGGTTGTTTGGCGTGAGCTTTGTTATTGAGTTGTTACCAGTCATGTTTGAAAACGGTGAACTCATGATATACATTCACTCGTGGTGTGCAGTAGAACAGGTCTCAACAGTTTTATGTGTTCTGAATCTTTCACAGCAGTGATGAAACGTGTAGCGCGCGTCTGAAGTCCTAGTTAAATGTGAATAAGAATGTAATGAATCTGAGCTCTTAACACGTTATGTCCTGTCTTCTGTCCGGCCCTTCAATCAAACTTTAGGACCCTATGTGGCCTGCGAGCCAGAAAGTTTGCCCACCCCTGCTCTAACCCCATCAAAAAACGACCGCGCGCCCCGCAATCCAGAACACACGAATCCCAGCAGAACTTCAGTAAACTACACGCACGCAGCGCAGCACAGCAGCACGCACGCAAACGGAATGGAACACGAACCAAAAAAGCAAGTGAAATGTGCCACTTCTAGCCACAACAACTCACTGCGAACACGCCAACAGTCCAGGACAGACAGACACGCCACAACTGAACAAATCCCAGAGTCACTGTGAACAACAAACGACGATTGACGCATCGAACTGTTGTGTTTTGTTTAAAGTCCGGTGCGGTTTATTTGTGAAAAAAGTTCGAAAAGAGACCATTTAATGACAGTGCGTCTTATAATCCAGAGCGCCTAATAGCCCGTAAAATCCAGTAACAACTTTATGGCCCTTAAAGTATAACCTGTAAAAAAAATAACAAACATGACACAAACCTGCGTGACTCTTTGTCAAAATCTTCTCCGATCCAAGTGAAGGGCTGCACAGACACCAGAGTGGACACATCCACCTCCTGCACGTCGTGTGTGGAGGCCAGAACTATCTCATTAGAGTTTGCCTGAAGGACAAAAATTTGCATAAAAATGGTTTGTAGTCATCTGTGAATGTTATTCTTCTTGATTAATTATTTCAATTTACATTTTATATCAGTAAATAAATAGTTCTGCAAATACTCATGTTTAGTTAGATTTATTTGGAATTTGGTTGCACTGTTTTTGTTGACTCACAATAAAGCTTTTCTGTACACATTATACTTGGACAGCATACATAACTAACTCACATAAAAAATGTTTGTGCTTAACACTCCTATATTTTGGATAATTTACTACTCTTAACCACATTTAACTTCTCTGACATGCTATTTCTCATTCTCATTTTTCATTTTTCCGCACTCTTGTCTCTAATTTAATGTCTCTCTTTTTAATTTCATGATGATTATTTATGTTTTTATTTGTTTTTATTGTGACTTTAATGTATTTCTTATTCTGTAAAGCACTTTGAATTACTTTGTGTATGAACTGTTCTGTACAAATAAACTTGTCTTGCCTTTCTTGTCATATACCTTGCAAATAAGATCACCTCATATCAACCTCGCGAAACATTTTTAAGACGCAGCAGCAGCGGTGACCTTTGTGATAATATCTGCAACATAAAATAAAGTACCTTATTTATAGCGAACGCCATGATGATGTCCGACTCCTTGTGGATGATTTTAGCCTTGCCTCCGGGATAACCCAGATCAGCCTCCACCTGAACACCAGACAAAGCAACGCATTACATAACAAAGGCTAGGAGAGTCCATGACATTGAAATCACTGAAGAAATATGTTTATTATGTCCAGAGGAAATATTGTTAGTGCCGAATCTGTTTATTTGATCTATAATATTTATAACTCCCAGGTTTGTGAAGGCAGAGTAAAGAAGAGGCATTTATATTTAAGCGAGAAAGGTCATAAGAGATGCTTAAAAAGTAAAGTTTGTGATTAAATATTGACTCTAGAGCCGTAGATTTGGATTATATTAGAGTCATGATCCTGCTCAGTTAGAGGAGCCCTGACAGAAGCATGCTGTTAGTTTATACACTAGGAATATTATTTTACACCAACCAAAACATTATGGTCATCTACAAATTACTAACATAACCCTGGACACAAACGCAGCTCTTCTGGAAATTTGTCTGACTACCACAATTTGTCCTTTTTAAAAACTATTCCTATATTTATTTTGCTTTTAACTAGGGATGGGGGAAAGATATATCCAAAATATGACAATATATTTTCTAAAATTTCAATCATGCTTATCGTCTAGAATTAAAATATTCCATAAAAAATTCAAAACTTGCATTACAATCTTCACAACAAAGGTATGGGGTACAGGGTAAGTGATTTTTCTGTATGTTTGTGGTTAATTTTTACAGTAAAGTTTTTACTGAATGCAGTACTGGATGTTTTAGCACATTTCTGATGGATTACCATAATATATAATATGTTTTGAAAACTGAATATTGTCATCTGGATAATAAAAGTGTAATAAAAAATGTGATAAAATAAATGTGAGTATGACCCACCCCGACTTCTAACAATATTAAAATTCAATATTTCTTCAGCTTTCAGTGATCATAGTGTAATGGTTCATTGGTGTATATAAGTTAGCAAAAAAAAAATAAATAAAATAAAAAATAAATAAAAGGTCAAACAATGGAAGAAAAACCAAAAACCCACCAGAAAGTGTAAGATTTTCAGATTAATAAAGCAGTGAGAGGATTTTAAAGTCATTAAAAGAGAACTGTAAACCAGGCTTGTGAGGAGTGCTTTATTAACCACTTAAAACAATGTTTCTCTATAAATTTGACATATTTACATGACATTTGTATGTTCAATGACTTACTCTGTTCTATTCAAATACAAATGAATAACAAGGCATGGCTGTTTATAGTAAAAGCAAAAAACAGCCTTAACAAAGCTACAGATTCTTATAATTTTGATGCAAAGTTTATAAGCAATTTTCCCTAAATGTGTAACTATTGATACTTTGCAGCATTCCCCAGAGGTGCGATGCTAACTGTAAGCACTACTCTATCTGACCATTTGTTAAACTTAATCAGTTTTATTTTAACGCAGTCTGACCAGGAAGAGCGGACTTAGCTGGAACTGCAACAGGTGAGCTGATTTGTGCTGTTACATAAATCACATATAAATACAATGGTTTTTCAGTTTGTCACTCTCACTTTTTTGTCAAAAATCAAACACATAAACAGGAACATGAACAATTATATTGACCACAGGCTCCTGAAAATGTGTTGTTTAAATCCATTTTTTTATGTTTTCTTGAGTTTTCAGACAATTTTAAACTTTTTTGGCAGTGTTTGCTAATGAGTGTATTGTATTCACAGAACTATAAAATCTGGAAGGTGAACCCTAAGATGGCACCATATTGTTTTCAGCGGCCTGTGCTTAATGGTGCATGGGCAGAAAAAAAAAGTTCACTTCCGCATTTATTTCCTCAATAGGGGCTCTTCCCACCCGTGTGACATCTGTAACATGCACGGCGTGGAGAATTTGGACCAATCAGAGCGAGAGCTGCTAGAGTGGAGCAAGACCGGACTCAGAGCGGGGCAAGGCTAAATCTTACAAAGCTAAATTTTAGGAGCTTTGAGTTTTTAAAAATGTAAAAAAAGTTTATGCTGTGAAAATAGAAAAGAATCTCTACAGAATCTAACCTTTGTAAAAGTTGTCGTTGCCCCGTCAGCCAAACGTGGGCAGTGTAAATTCCCAAAAAATGCATTGTGTTTCTATGTGAGAATTCTTTCTGGGCCCAAACTCCTGGGAGGTGCAGTACCTGGAGCGGCCACTAGTTGGTCTTTAGCCGAGAGGGGGAATGCCTTATCCAGCTTTTATTATAGATCCATAATTGTGTTACTATTTATGTCGCTGCAAAGTATCAATTCAAGGTCATATTTGTAATGACAAAATCTTCCCATTCAAACTGATACACTTTTATTTAATCTATTACTCTATTATATATTTTTTTAACAAGTTATCTTTATGTATTTATGCTGTTGTTTAAATCTTGATGTTAGGTAAAACAGCTAACACCTCTGACAATGAAAACCAATAGTAAATGGCTCCTCCAAACCTGGTTGTACAGCAGAAAGAGACAGATCGGGGCTAAATGATACTACCTTCTTGGGACTGCTAGCTCCAGCTATGCAGTTGGGTTTTACATGGTCCATATCTACAGACTACACACAGGCAACACAAATGACACAACACGGCACAAAACACATGCACAAACAGAGAAAAAATAAAAATGGGATGAAAGAAATGAAAAGCTTGGCAGGATCTTTGAAGTAATGATCAAATATTCACAAGCTAACTCTCGTGTGGCACAATTAGCATCGAGCTAATGCAGCAGGATAGACCGAGCGAGGATAATTCAATATGTCGCTCGTGTTTGAAGTCATTCGCTCTCCATTTCACAGTCCACAGACACATATCGTATTGTGGATTAGTGGCTAAAGTACAGTCTGGAGGATTATTATTATTATTATGTTATGATTACTGAATAACACTGTGTTCCAGACATCAAAGACGGACTGTGATCGGCTCTGCGTTAGATAAAAAATTCACTGCAGTCAAAACACGACCACACAACTGATAAAACACACTGCCATATACTGTATATGTATGTCTATAGAAGCTATTTTTGTAAAACTTTGCTATGGAGAGGTACAATTTTATTGAAAATTGAATATTTGATGTTCAAATCTTTAATATTCTGTTGCCATACATGGGGGACATACCTCACTCTGCTTCCTCTTTTTAGTGAAAATGTATCGGATCAAAGTTTCCTGAAGGACTTCTTGTTTGACCAAAAAGTGCCACAGACGCCGAGCCGGGAACGACTGGTGATTCTTTGTCCTGAAAAAAACAACAACAAAAAAAATATATATCTATTTATTTTTAAGTGTAGACAATGAAAGAGAGTAGTAATTATATACTGCAATCATCAAGTTAGGAAGGAAGAATATTATACAGAGTAAATCTGTGCTATTGAAAAAAGAGCAAGTAAACGTCTATTCTTAAATATGCTGAATTTGTGGTGAGGTTTATGAGTCTGAGGACAGTGGATATTAGCCTGATTCATCACTTCGTAGAAACCGTCTGACCTCGCAGCATTAGGATTCGTTCACTCAATGGTAGGTGGGTACTTTTTTATTTAACCAATCGCTGCTATTTGGTCATGATGTATGTAATGCACCACCAATAGGGTTAACTGGTATATTAAGCTTTTCCCAAATCCCGTAGGAAGAAGGGCAATAACGTCTTTCCCCTTGATAAAATTCACGGAACATTCTCTTTGTTCCTGCTTTAAATCCTCGATCTCGGGAATCATTACCAACACAGAATGTATGACTCTTCACTGATTGGCTGGTGCCCAAACTCCCACTTCTAGGGTTCTTGCAAACTGTCTAGTGTATTCTGATTCCTGATCTAGTCGCTGGAGAGAAATTAAATTGAGTGGAGGCACTAGGTGGCATCAGCCTAAGTGGATATTGTCACCACTCTAGAATATGTAGAATAATCTTCATAGCTTCATCTCTGGCTCACAAGCATGAAAGCATCACAAGTGCACCATAAAAAAAAAAGACCTGTGGTAAAACATGTGTTTAATGCCATACAGTGGTTATTCCAGGAAAAAACATATTTTAGACACATATAGAAACCTTCTGGATATTGCTGATATAATGACTACAGCATATATTATATATTATTCAGAGATTGCTCTCAGACAGAGAGAGTGACATCATCTCCTTCATGAAACAGCATATTTCTTTAGACTCACTTGAATGGCGTGTTGTCTGGCTCTAACATGGCTTTGTGTCTGAGGATGGCGGGCCCCCCTCCGGCGCTCAGGTCGGTGGGGTATGTGTTGATGTAATTCGGAGGAGGACCGTCAAACTTGTTCATCTGCTCCAAAAGATACTGCTCCCAGTTTTCCAGAGTCTTCAGCACAGCGTTACACAGAGGAGACGATACTGGCAAATCTACTGAAAGTCAAAAGTAATTAGGAAATTGGTCTTAGATAACAGAGGAAAAAAAGAAAAACATATATTGTAATATGTATTTATGCTGAGGTTTGAAAGTTTTTTTTTTCTTTCTAAAATTCATAAGATTTTAAATGATACAGGTATCTATTTTTGTAATTTCATCTATCCATAGGTTTTAGAGTGTTAAAAATATATCTTTTCAATGGCCCAAAGTATCTAAAATCCAAAAATCCAAATCCAACCCAAAAATGGCCTGCATTTCTTGCTTGGTTTATTTTTGTAAATTTACAACATAAACTCAGTCAAATAAATGTAATGTTTAAGATGAACTCAAACCTGTGGATTCGAGTCCAGCCAGAGGAAGGAAGTTCTTAACGTTATGATAGGCCAGTTTGATCATCACGAGACGGATCAGAGCCCAGCTGAGAACAAACAGGACAAAAAACTGAAATGCCATATTTTAAATATTATTTTTATTTGACCTTGACAGGAATGGTGACAGAAATATAACAGAGAAAGCACAAAAGAGTGAGAAGAGTGGAAGCAGGTCCACACAAGGCAAGTCTCTATGTTGTCCTGAGAATAGTTTTTAACACAAATGTACTGTATATACTGTAGGTCTGTACCTGTACGAGTTGGGGTCAAGGTGCTCTGTCATCTGAGTGTCGGACAGAAAAGCATCATCATCATCTTCATCATCTTCTGCCCCACTTTCATCAGAGTCGTACAGAGCGTTACTGTCAGAGAGCGGCAGGAACGGCTGAGGGAAGAGAGAGGTGGAGATTTAATGTTAAAATAAGTAAGTAACTAAACACAACTGGACATTAATTAAATATTGTAATGTCTTAAAATGATGACAAATATTACATAAACCTTTTGTGTACACATGCTGAGTAGATACACTTCAATTCTCAGAAAAGAAAATGCTCAAATGTGGCCTATTGCGGAGGCCATTAGTATTAGTAATATTCAGGGAGCTCAGCCAGGAACCAAAATAACAAGACAGTAAGACAAGCTCATACTGTCAGGATCCTCCTTGAGACTGTTTTCCCTGTTGTCTCTCCTCCCTCCCGAGCCGCGGCTTACCTGTTCTGGCAGCTGGCACATCTGAATCCACTCACTCTCATTACCTGCAGCAGAAGAAGCTGGTTTTACATCCACTCCTCGCTGGCTCATCGTTGATATTACTCCAGTTAATAGATGCTTTTGCTCCTCGAAACTAATTGACCTTTTCAGGCTTTTTGTTTTACACCACCAGTATTACATTTCATTTGTATTACATGTCCAGGTGCCTCTGTCTTGTTTTTGGAACCTGCCTGCCTCCTCCCTGCCTGCCTGATACTTACCTGCACCTCTGGACCCCCCAGCCTGATACTTAACCAGCTTACCTGATTGCCTACCTGGATAATTAGGCTATTTTTACACACCCGAGTATGTTGAGAAATGATTGTTTCCCTTCCTCTGTTTTCCAAAATAACATCGTGCACATAGCATTGTTTTACTTTACATCAACCCACATAAAAATCGAGCTCCATCATAACTGCGCCAAGCCTATCAGTCCCTATGTTAGCTCCAAACCTGTAGCATTATTTCATTACAGTTGTAATCATTAATCAAAAATACCTTGAAAAACATGCATTACTGTGTGGGCTCGCCTCTCCACAGATCTGTTAAAAAAGGGGCAAAATTGCTGACCTCTGTGCTCATTCATCTCTGGTCATGAATATGATGTATCAGCTGTGTGCGCAAATGCAAACACATGAAAAGTGTTTGCACCAGGAGAAATGCGACTGCTGCTCTGAATGCTCCATTATCATCATCAGAGCAAAAGGTGAACATTGGTCGCAATTTTGGCACGTCAGTTCCCTATAACTCAGTTTATCTCACTTTACACGCAAATGCGAAAAAGTAGTTTTCCAGAATCTCCACTCTAGCCGGAGTTTTTAGAAAGATTCATTTTCAGAGGCGAATTTGTCGTTTGTATGTAAAAGATGGGTACAAACAAAGGGAAATGTATCGTGTACATGTAAACGGGGCCAAAAACTACTTACCTGTTGTGTGCTGCTTTTTGGTCCTAAGTAAATGGCGACATATCTACATTATGTAAACCTGACTTATGGAGTTTAAAGATTGTGTTTCTGAGATCACCACAGAATAATTCAGACTGAGTCAGTACTGAATTGTATAGCTCAGCTGAATATACCTAAACAGCATAAGTCTGTCAAAGCAGCTCTGGATTTCTTGAAACGGGCTGTTTAAGTATCTCATTTTCTTGGTGAAAATTGAATTCACAACACTATAAATCACACTGCACAGTAAAAGTCTAATGCCCTACTTTTGCCACAAAGTAGTCCCACATGCTGAGCTCAGGGGGGATAAACTTCTCTCTGTAGGCCGGTCTCTCGGTGGGCACGGGAGGGGGCGTGGCCGGGGTCTCCTTCACCGGTCGTCCTGGCACCAGCATCCTCATATTGAACCTCCTCCGGTATCTGTCTGCGTCCTCTGCAGGTTGGGGGACTGCTGGAGAGACGGTAACAGCGTAATCAGATAGACATACTTTTTAAAGCATGTATAGGACTCAAGATGCTGGTTATTATAGATGCACAATCCTTAGTGTTATTTTGAGCTGGAATGGTGTTGGGAAAATGGGTCTTTAAAAGTGAAAGGCAACCAGAGAGCACACGCAAAGAGGGATCTGCAACAGAGCTGTTTTAAACCATAGACAGATGAAGTATTGGACTAACAAACTGTGGCGTCATTCACTTGCGGGGGAAACTTTAAGCAGTATTTTTTGAAAAGTTATAGTTTGTGTTAAACTTTGTAACTTTTCAGCATTTGCACTCACCAAAAGGAGTGGAAATGTACGGTTACATTGAACACATGGTACTGTCCAGTATCCATAATGTTCTTATGAGCAAGAGGTGTTAAAGCTCTTATGAACAACTTGCTTAAAGATGATACGGTTTGATGCAAGCAAGAATATTAGGGAAGAGGTGAGCTGGTTATTTCTGTTTTAATGAAAAATAAAAGTCTATATTTATTTAATATTACATCTAACTCTACATTTTAACTTGAATATGTTACAAGAAAACTATGTATGCATTTTGTTTAAAGTTTTACATAGGGATGCACCGATATGATACTAGTATTAGATATCAGCGTCAATATTTAACATTTTAGAGGATTGGATACAGCCTTTCAAGATAGTGGTTCAGCTGATATCCCTATAAACACGTGCAATAAGACGATAATAAGTTGTATTTTTACAGAGTTGTTTACTTAAGATGATAAATAAAGGTTACAAAACACATTTTTTTACCATACATGGTTTATTTTCAATCTCTGCCCTGGTAAACTTAAAGTCAAAGCATCGGCGAAACAGAAAAAGCTGGACCGGTGCATCCCTACTTTTACTAAATTTATTTTAAGTTATTACAATATGCAAATGTATTATGCATATTTTGGAAAATGAAATATAGATCGATTAGCAGCAGCCAATCAAATTCAAATATGCCTTACAATCTCTTATTACTAATTCAGCTACAAAAAAAGAGTTAAATGACTTGAAAACATGAATTAATCTGTAAAAAAGGACTACGGTATATACTATTTTTTTCTACAATACTTAATGTTTAATACTTCAAAATGGGTCAACCTTAAGGGCCTCAAAGACAGCCACTTGTTTCTCAGTCCACGGTTCATTGACTGTCTTTGATTATTATGTTTTGTCTTTATATTTTAACATTTATTCAGCAGGACACAGTTCAGATCAGTGACAGTCAGAGGAGACACATTTAAACACACATTCAGGCTGAGGACACAAGGCAATGAGCACAAACCTGCCCCATTATCCTGGGAGCCTATCTCTGCCACTGCGCCAGACAAAACAGCACACAACAGTTAGACAAACACAGGACGAGACGGGACAGAATCCAAATTTAAACAACAAAATAAACTAAGAAACATTCAACAATGACAGTTAATGTGTTTGGTGCTTGGTGTTGTTCAGTCTATTTCATAACACACTCTGAGTTAAAATGACCTGAATTCACTTGATTTGAGTAGTTTTGATTTAGTTTGTTGGTCTAGAATTTTTAATTTGTTTCCAAGTATTTACTGAAGATTGGTTTTCTTCTTCTTTTTCTATCAATTTATGTTTTCAAGCAATTTGTTGGAGAGTTACTTTGCGTATTAAAGCACTGCATTACATGATTTTCAAACAGTGAAAGGTGGAAGTAGTTATTTAAATCTGTTTCCTAGCTTTCAAAACCCTTTCGCGCATTGTTAGCAATTCCACAGGGATTCATTTTCGGGAGTGTGCACAGCTTCAGCTTGTATTTTCAGACCGAAGTGAAATTGGGGTGGATAGCCAAGGTCAGTCAATCCTAGTGCTGCTTACAGTTCTTACTTCTGGTGTAAGAGGCCAAAATATATCCCCTGTCTGGACTAGACCCGGGATTAAATGGGCATAAACTCAATTAAACCTCAGTAAGCCCTAAATGTACCTGGGGCTAGTCTGGGCACAGGGTTAATCTGGCCTGTTTACACTGGGTTTACAAAAATACTTGCAAACCATCTGCATTGGTCTGATTTTGTCAAAGTGTATACTCTATAGAGAAAACACAAAACTACTTTAATACTAAGCCCTGATGAAGACCAGTCATGATTGAAACATGTTGGCTTTGGACATCTAAATAAAGGCCTTTTAACTAATTTTCCTGGTACAATTTTTACTTTTTTGGAGTGCCTGGACTTCGTTGTGTCTTAAAGTTTTGATCGTTTTTCCAAGGGCACCCTCTACCTGCTCTTACTGATTACTGAAACCTGCAGTAAACAGCCACATTTTAGTTTTTTCACCACTTTAATAATGTTAATGTGTTCCAGATTAAATTTAATAATTCATTATAAAATAAATATTCAAACTAGATGGAAATGCCTTGAAACAGAAAAGTCCAAAAATGTAGACCAACTAACTAAATCTCTGCTCATCAAAACTACTCAAAACTATTAACACTCTACTAACCTACTGTATTTCAAGCTATTTTAATAACTATGATGTTATTTTTACAGTCTAGACAAACATGGGGTGATTTTAATGACTGTAAAACCCACAGAAGGAAGCCAGTGACAGCGGTTATAAACCCTGTTGCGAGCGTGCATAGATCCGGTTCTGATTAAATTAAATTCACCAGGCGCTGCCGCTGAAAAGGGCAGGGTTTAGCATTTGCCAAAGTGATTCCTCTCAATAGCATGACATTTAGCTTCCTGCTTTCTCCTCTCCAGTTTGTACAGGCTCTTGAGTCTTGGAGCGGCTATCTCAGACACGGCAGAGACACTGGGGTCTACACAGAGGCCTATCATCGCCCTCCATAAGTACAGTGTGAGAGGAGATAGCCGCGCACTAATGAAAATGGGCTCATAAGGTCAAGTTTAGTCATTTTACTGGAAATGTGTGGCTTGGAAGTGGCTATTTAATATTATTAGGGATGCACTGATAAGATACTGGTATCGGTTCTCATTTTGATCTCTTGTTACTTTGCAGCTGATGTCACAGCATATGCATGGTTTTTAAAGTAAAAAAGAGACTAATTGGGGCCGACTAATCCCAAACAAATGAATGCAAGCCTGGTTTTATGATGGAATGTTTGACTAAGACTGTGGTAGGTATTTCTCTTCATTAAATTTTCTTTGTCGGCCCACGTCTCATTACTGTTCATCTCTAATATAATAAAAAATAAAAGCAAAAATCCATAAATACACTGGACTAATGTTACTTAAAATATATAATTTAAAGGTGCAGTGTGCTACTTTTCTTGTGGTGGGTCCTAGGGATGTAACAATAAATGAAATATTGTGATATCGTATCATCAAAAGTCTCACAATAATACCTTGGGCTGTCACAATATATCGAATTACAAAATCTTTTACTTAAATGGATTGTTTAATAGTTCCAACAGCTAATAAACATCGGGAACTACATATCCCATGATTCCTTTCAACGCAGACAACATAAAGAAATATGTTTTTACTTGAATTCTTGGGATTATGATGTTAATAATTCACACCAAAATCTTGTCAGGGTATTTTAAAGGGTATATATTAGCCTCCAAAATATCGCAATAATTATCGTACTGTGAGATGCATATCGTGATAATATTGTACTGAGAGATTTGGATATCGTTACATTCCTTGTGGGTCCACTACCTGCTTGTCTCCATGGAGATGTTATTGCTTTGTCTGGTATGACATTAAACATATTCATGTATCTAGCATTTATTAATTACGGGTGTTTCTATTGCTCAAAAACACAATAAAACCTTCTGTGAATAGGGGCGACTCTCCACAGAGCTGAACTGTAATGTCGCGTAGTAACCTGATTATTTCCCTTGTGATAAATACTGTATGCCTAATCTGCACCATGGAACACAGACAAAGCAATAACATTTTCGTGGAGACAACCGGGTGACAGTAGCCAGGCTGGTGCCACCTAGTGCCTCTGCTCAATTTCATTTCTCTTCAGTGACTAGGTCAGGAATCGAAATAAACTACATGGTTTGCAAGAACCCCAGAAGTGTGAGTTGGGGCACCAGCCAATCAGCAAAGAGCCATACATTCTGCATTGTCAACGATTCCCAAGAACGAGGATTTAAAGCCAGAACAAAGAGAATGTTTGGTGAATTTTATCAAGGGGAAAGACGTTATTACCCTTCTTCTTACAGGATTTGGGAAAGGTTAATTTACCAATTAGCCCTGTTAGTGGTGCATTACATATATCACGACCAAATAGCAACGATTGGTTAAATTAAAAAAGTATCTGCCTACCGTCGAGTGAATGAATCCTAATGCTGCGAGGTCAGACGGTTTCTACAAAGTGAAACTGGCTGATGAATCATTATCAGCTTAAGGTGATGGACCCTCCACAAGAAATGTTATGCAGTGCACCTTTAAATTACTTTTTGAGCTATTCAAAAGTACAACAGATGAGTTTACCAGAATAAACAGGGTCAAATAAAGATCAAACATGTTTCTTGGATATTAGAGGAAACTTCACAGATTAGACATGGATCTACAGTGAGTACAGTTACTTGTGTCTAACTTTCACATTACAGCTACTGCACAGAGCACATTGGGTTACTCAGGTCTACAGAGGGTGGTCCCGTTGTACCTGTCTGACTGCCTGACTCAGAGCTAGTGTCGGGGTCTCCCTCCTCGGGACCCTCCATGATGGGAGCAGCTGTGTGATGCATGAGGACACAGACATGAACATAAAGGACATCACAACACCACATGCAGAAAAACACGCTCACACAAAACAAAGTATGATGTTTAAAAACACTGTCAGGAAATAACCAGGGTTCCTGTATTAGTTTGGTCCAATTTAAAGTTTGTAAAATACCAGAATATCCCAGAATATCATCTACAATAAACCTCTCTCATCATAGAAATTAGTGTTGCCATGATACAAAAATGTCAAACTCAATTCGAGCACAATTATAACAGAAACACTTTTATAGAATGTAATTGTCAACGACAAATAAAAGTGGCTTCTTCTTTAATATCATCTCAAGTAAAAATTAAAAAAGGTCAGAAAAGATCCTTTAAACTAAATTTCAGTACTTGCTCTAATTAGTATTTAGTTACATGGGTTTGTCTAAAAAGTGAAGGTCGGCGTTGTCTTTCTGGCAGCTGTAAACGTAAAACTGTATGGGGGAAAATTGCACATTGTAATTATTATTAATGTATTTGTCCACTGTAGTGTAAAAAGTAAATTGCACAAATAAACTAAACTTAAGATTATACTTGTGCCTTGTCCTTGAGCAAGACACTTCTACACACTTCTACACTTTGTTCTGTATTATTAACACCTCAAATGGGAGAAGCCACAGTAACACTTTATAATAAGGCATAAAAATCAAGTGTAAATGTTTGTTAACCATTAACTAACCATTTACTAAAAATTACCCATTAACAAGTGAAGAGTTTATTTGCAAAAACAGATAAGTGTGATCTAAATAACATTCCATCCCTCCTTGATAAAATCCACCATACATTATTGCCCTTGATAATATCTGTACAACAAAAAGAGAAATACTTTTTGCCAAGTTTTCAAAACAGAGATATCCGTTTTTGCAACTGAACTCTTCAAGTGTTTAATAATAATTTACAAATGTGGATCAAAACATGTTTAATTGGAAATGTTATGGAAATTTATTAAATTGAATAAACAATTTACAAACGTTTATTAATCATTAACTACTCCATCCATCCATTCTCTACTGCTTATCTGGGGCCGGGTCACGGGGGCAGCAGTCTAAGCAGGGACTCCCAGACTTCCTTCACCCTGGACATGTCCGCCAACTCCTCTGGGGGGACCCCAAGGTGTTCCCAGGCCAGCTGAGAAACATAGTCCCTCCAGCGTGTCCTGGGTCTTCCCTGGGGTCTCCTTCTGGTGGGACATGCCCGTCATTAACTACTCATGTACTACTAATAAAAATGTTTAGTAAATGATTAATGTTTAATGGTTAATAAATGTTACAAATGATTTGAAGGTATGCCTTATGATAAAGTGCTACCAAAGCCACAACAAGAAAATAATGCACTTAAAGACTCACAGGAACCCTGATAGTGCTGTTAATCCACATTTTAGTTCATGATTTGCATTCAGCGGCTCCAAAGAGTCAAAGGATCAGACCAGGCATCCGCATCACTGCAATCCTGTACAAATACCATGCACAACCTGCAAACCAGCACTGCAATCCACCAGCTTCGTTACTCACTGCTGGCTCTAGGTGGCGCCACAGAGCTGGCCCCCTCGACCCTCAAAACGGGAGGGGGAGGTCTTTTGGGGCGCTCAGAGGGGGAGGGAGGGGGGATAGGGTGAGGCGGGGTGACGCTGGGTGCATTCTCTTGTTTCTCCTCTGTCTCAAACTCTGCCGACACTGGGAGACAGGGCAGAGGGCACACTCACACAAAACACTGGACAGGACAATGCTACCGGCTAAAGATGCCCCGGAAGAGGAGGAAGAGGAGGAGGAGAGGAGGACACAAAGGGTGAAATACAGGAGCTGCTAAAGAGAAGAGAGGTGATGGCGATCTATAGGAGACAGAAGGCACTATAGAGGTTCTGTCTATTACAAGGACAGAGAAAGTCTTACCTATTTACTCAATATTATATTACACATAACATTATACAGTATTATGTGTAAGTCGAACAGGCAGGATGAGGCAGAGTTTTACACGAAAAAATGCATAGTTTACATCTCACCGTTATAAAATTGCAACCCGCTTGCCTAGTTTTCGGTAAACTAGCAAACAAGCCAATGAAACCTTGTTCTAAAAGTATACGGCTTTCTCTGTGTCAAAATGTAATACAGTTTGATAGAGAATTTGTCATTTTAGTTCATCATTTGTACTGGAAATGGTGGGCTATTCTGCGTTAATCACATCATTTTTTATAGTAAATTTCAAAAAGGGAAAGCCACAAATGTGTGTAACCTGTTATTTCCTTCATGCTGTCCTCCCTGAGCAAAGGATCATGGTATATGTAGTTTCCTCTGTTATTTTAAGATGCTGTTGGAATCAGACATTGAATTTAAGATAAGAGACTTGCAATTGTAGATATGTAACAATAACCAAAAGATCATGATATCGTATTGTCAAAGTTCTTACAATAATATCGTGAACCATCACAATATATCGAATTACAAGTCTCTTTGCTTAAATTAAGAGTTATGGTGCAGCAATAGAAAAAAGACAGAGGGAACTACATAGACCATTATCCCTTGCTCCATTTCAGTGCAGACTACAAGAAGAAATAACAGTTCTAAGCACTCCTTAGTCTTAGTCCTTTGGATTAAATCTTGTCAAGGCATTTTAAGAGGAAAAAGTAGAATATTTACAGTTTTGTTAGCTTCCACAAAATATCGCAATAAATATCGTACTGAGAGATTTGGATATTGTTACATCCCTAATCGTGAGCCTTTCCACCATATCATGAGCTTTCCATCGATATCGCAATAAATATCGTCCCGTGAGGTTCATACCGTGACGATATCGTATCGTGAAACTTAGATATCGTTACACCCTTACTGTATTGTGACTGCCTAGGATCTTAATGTCAGATTTTTTACATTAATATTTCGGTTATTGCTACATTTCTATGAACTGTAGAGGCCTTAAGAGAATGTTTTGATGTCATCTTCTTAAACATACTTGCAGTAGATTAAAATGGCTGTTGTACCATGACCCAGCTCTTTTGGGACTTGCCTCATCCTGCCTCTTCACTTCCCCAGCCCCCTCCTTTATCTGTGTCTATTATACAAAAGACTGCACATAAAGACTATCACAAAGGCTTGAAAAGACTGTATAAAACTCTATAGACACACAGGACTACGAGCACACAAAAGGACAAATCAAATAATAATAACAGCTTATACCTGGTGGAGCTTCGGGCCTCTTTGGTTTGATGATGACTTTAGCCCCGCCCCCGAACACGGCGGCCCACATGCGGTTGTTGAGGGGGTGGGCTCCGAGGCGGAACAGTTCGTTACAGTTGTGAGTGCCCAGACCGTGGATGAGAAGAGCCAGATACACGGCCACCACCGCCTCGCACAGAAGAACGTTGAGACGAGGCTGGTCCTCCTCTCGCGCCGACGTGAGCAGGGAGATGAGTGAAGACACACCTGTACAGAAAGCACAGAACTGTTACATGAGCTGCTATTAAAGGCCAAATATTAAACCGTTTTTTGATTGATGTTATAATACTGTGTCCTCATCACAAACTGTCTATGTAGCATTTGTTCTTTTGAATTTTAATTAAGAACGAAAAACAATAAAATGGGAAAACAAATTGCTATTTTATTATTCCATTTTAGTATGAAACCAAAAAAAAAAAACATAAATAAAAAAATAAATGATTTCAATCTCCAAGTTTCCAATGTTTAATTTAAAGTTTATTTCAAATAACACCAATCAACAAACAGTCTCTGTGCTTATTTTAATTTTGATATTTTATTCTCTCTGGTTTCTGCTGCAGTGTCAACCATGGATCTATAATAAAAACATTTTTTTTATCATAGATCTATGGTGTCAAATGAACTAAGTTCATCGCCTCGCTGCTATCTGTTTCTCGTCATGGAGTTCAACAATTACTTTCGAGGACATGAACATAAACGTGTCGCTATAAAAGAAGAGGACATGTTTGTCCACAAAATTGCAAGCATTTTTCAGGAAAGTCCTTCTAACAGCATAACTTCAAATAAACCAGAGAGATTAAAATATCCAAATTAAAAGAAGCACCGAGACTATTTTTTGATTGGTGTTATTTGAAATAAACTTCAGATTAAATATTGGAAATAGAGGTCGAAATCTTTTATTTATTTATTTATTTATTTATTTTTAATAACATAGATCACGGTTTAATAGAGTTTGAAATATTTTTTTTTTTTTTTTGGCACTAAAGCAGAATAATGAAATAAACTGTTTTCCCATTTTATTGTTTTTCGTCCTTAATTGAAATTCAAAAAAACAGTACACGGACCACAAACATACCTGAAGTTGCATTTTGTTTCATTCACACATGTTTAACACACAATTCCTGCATATTCAGGCTGAGTTCTCTCAAACAGAAAACATTCATTGTTTCATGTCATGTGGTAATACAGGAAGTGCTCCACATTGTTTTTAAACTTCATACACCTTTACTAGAATCATTTGCATAATTTCAACTGTGAAAATTCCAATCTCTACTAAACAAAATGTAAAAGATAGCAAGGATTTTGAGTTTTGGAGTTTTTGAGTGTTAAACAGAATAAATGTGAATGAAACAAAACACAACTCCATGTATGTTTTTTGATGAGGTAACAAGATTCTAACATGGCTTAAAGCTCACAAGTGCCAATTTTGTGTAATGTACGACCTTTAAAGGTGCACTGTGTAACTTTTCTGGTGGACAGAAGTGAACATGCTGCCTGCCTGTCTCCGTGGAGATGTTATTGCTTTGCTTACATTGTCAAAAGTATCAAAAATCATACACCATGTAACTAAACAGTATTCCAGCAGAGGAAGTCCATAGACGGTTGAGGACAAATGCGTGTGGAGAGGAGAGCATAATGATTGTGTTGTTTGGTTTGTTTCCCAGAGGCTCTTAGTCTCCTTTTATAGCTCACCATCTGCCCCTGTGAAAAGACCCAGGCTGACTGCTTCTCTATCCACCCTCTCGCCTCCCTCTCTCCTCTCTCTGTCCACCATCTCTCTTCACCCTCTCTCCCTCTCTCTACCCATTCTCTCTAGCCTCTCTCCTCTCGAAGGTTCTTAACTCACTCTTCTCTCCTCCCTCTCTCCTCTCTCTGTCCACCATCTCTCTTCACCCTCTCTCCCTCTCTCTACCCATTCTCTCTAGCCTCTCTCCTCTCGAAGGTTCTTAACTCACTCTCTCTCCTCCCTCTCTCCTTCTTCTCCTGTCTCTACCCTCTGTCCTCTCTTCTCTCTCTTCACCCTCTCTCCTCTCTCTTTTACTCTCTCCTCCCTCTCGTTCCTCTCTCTCTCCACCCTCTGTGTCTCTCTCCTCTCTCTCCGTCCACCCTCCCCCATCTCGCTCCACCTCTCTCTACTCCCTCTCTCCTCCCTTTCCTCTCTCTCCACCCCCTCTCCTCTCTCTCTCACCACCCCACTCCCGCTCCTCTTTCACTCACTCTCTCCTCCCTCTCCTTCCTCTCTCTTTTAACCCTTTTTCCTCTCTTCTCTCTCTCCACCCTCTCTGTCTCTTTCCTCTCTCTCCTGCTCCTGTCTTTCTCTCCATCCACTCTCCCCACCCTCTCTCTACTCCCTCACTCTCCCCCCTTTCCTCTATCTCTACCCTCTCTCCTCTCTCTCACCCCTCACTCTCTCTCCTCTTCCACTCACTCTCTCCTCCCTCTCCTCTCACTCCTTCCTCTCTCCCTCCACGTTCTTTCCTCTTTTCGCTCTCCTCTCTCATCCACCTCATCTCGCTTCATCCTCTCTCTCTCTACCCTGCCTCCACCCTTTCTCCTCTCCTCTATCTCATCCCTCTCTTCTTTCCCTCCACCCCCTCTCTCCTTTCTCTCTCCACCCTCTTTCCTCAATTCATCTTCTCTCCTCTCTCTCCATCCACCCTGCTTCCACCCTTTCTCCTCCCTCTTTCTCTCTCTCCACCCCCTCTGTCTGTCTCCTCTCTCTCTTCATCCACCCTCACTCCCTCCTGTCTCACTCTCTCCTCCCTCTCTCCTCTCCTCTTTCTGTCACCTCTCTTGTTTCTATCAGGGATTTAAAGCTCTCACACATGGCATTTTTGCACTTCCTTTTCCTGCAATTAGAATTATGCAACACTGGATTTTACAGGACAGAGGATTCACTGTAGCTCTCAGGATTTGATTCGATGTCTGGCCCCGTTTCAGACATGACGGAGGTGTAAAAAAATATTGCTTTCAACACATTCCAAGAAAAACAAAAGCTCTAGTGATATTTCCAAGTGTGATAGTAGTGAGATAAAAGGTGAAAAATGTAATTCAGGCATTATGATGGATTCCTACAGCTCTGTTCCAAGAGCTTCCAAGATTTAGTGTTTTAAAAAGGACAGAATAATTTTAAGCAACACTACATTTCTATAAATAAAGCACTGTTCTAATTGTTGTAAAATAAAACACTATTGGTTAACATTATTTTGTGTCACTGAGGCAGTTTCACAATGCATGTAGTCACAAACAAACAATAATAACGTAAAATATCCTGCATTAAAATGTATTACTGTATTACATTGTATTATCTTTAACATAAATTAATCATGCCCATCTTTTCACAGACTTTTTAAGTTGACAAAAAGTCTCAATTTGAGTTTGACAGTCCGCAAACATTGAGGGTTTCGGAGTCGATTTATACAGTGTATTACAACATTTTTGTTTTTTAAAAGGTACAGTATTGGGCCGGGTATCGTTAAGAACACCTCGATAGGTCACGATAAGATACATATCTCGATACAGTGCACTTTCAGTTTGATACGATATATTTCAAATTGATTCGATACAGTTCAATAAAAAATAAAGGCTAAAATCATGGCTGTGATACTAAAAAAAACACTTCTTGTGCAAAGTTCATATGAAACACACCCATTTTTAATCATCAAAACAGTGAAAATGTCAAATGTGTTGCTGTTGTTCTACTAAACAAGCAACAAAATTGTAGTATTGTAACAAAATAACTGAGTAAAATATACCAAAAAAATACTCTTGCCGATTTATCGATACAGCAGTCCTGTATCATCACATTAAATGATACGATATGTTGATATTTTTATATTTCTGTGCACCCCTATACAGTATGTAACTTATGTACTTATGTAACTTATGGAAATAGAAAGTTAACTCCATACTTCAGTACATTCTCCACAGAGACAGATACGTTTTATGCCATACTGTGGAATATTACAGCCAAAGGAATAACATTTCCATAAAATAAGAACCTTCTAAATGTATCTGGGGTATGAATAATTGAATAATTTAGTGCTTAACTGTATTAAAGAGCAGACATATTGTGCTTGAGCCTGCTATATAGTTATAATCTACGACACCTACGACACCCGTGGATCATTATGTTATAATATTAACTAACTAAATCAAGTAATAAGCTGTGGGTGTATGCTAGTGACTGTAGTGCAGAGTTTGATAGGCAATATGACATCTTGAAAATAAGTGTTTAAAGATTACTGGAACACGCACAGATCATTCCAATTACAACATCGACGGGGTAAATGAGAAGGGACAGCAACTATAAAATGCCTCCTACAGCCTCGCCTAGTGAGAGATACAGGACTACATTCATACCATACTCCACACAACTGTACAAAAACTCGCCCTTATGTAAAGATAATACTCCCTACAACTGTACAACATCTCACCCTTATGTAACAGACAACCCACTGTCCTGTCAATCATCGTATCATCTTTGCACTGTCTTCCTAACGATCTCTTGTATATAGCTGAGATATTTTTATATTCTGAGTTATTCTTACTTCTATTTTTTACTTGCACATATACATTTCTATAATTATGCCTTATTTGACATCAGTCTCTTGCTATTTTTTGCTACTTATTTTGAATTTATGTGTGAGCTACTGTGTCCAAGTAAATTCCCTTGTGGATCAGTAAACTCTGTCTAAGTCTAGTCTAGGTTTAAAAGCTCTGAAAAGTCGATGCACAGTAGGTTTGCTTTAACTGTAGCGTAGTCTTGTTACCTGGCCACTGTGCAGGAGCAGAGTTGGGCGTGATATGTTCCTCTATACTCTCTGTGCGGAGCCTCTTCCTCTCACTCAGCAGCAGACCCTGGTACACCATCCCCGTGAACTGATTGGTCTCCGTCTGGCTGCTTTGAAACCAAACACAAACAAAGCCTGAGTCACTGCCCTTTGTTTTAATATTGCAGTACAGTGCAGAGGCCAGGGCTGGAAAAAAGGACTGAGAGAGAAGCAGATATGATCAAATGAATAAACGATGGAGGGGGAGATTACCTGTAACTGTGGCTGTCGCACAAGGCCTGATAGACGCAGGCAGACAAGGAGGCGGCTAATGTGTGCAGGGCAGAAACCTAAACAACAAGATATATTTTACAAACATTATTAAAAAGTACATATTAATGTTTATATAATATTTTCTTCATACCAGGGCCTGTCAATATCAAACTTACAGCTTTTAAATTAACTCCAATATTAAAAGAAGGCAAGAGTGGACAGTATGCCAAAAATATTCATAGCACGATTTTCTTAGAGCCCAGATCACATACATTTTAAGAGGTAAATATAAAGCCATCTGTTTCTCCATTCTTGTAAATGAGTAATTTTAGTTTGTCCCCCCCAGAGCATACCGTAAAAGCAGCACTTTTTGATAAATTAAGACTGCTGTGCACTGTTTGCTTCTAATAGCAAAAGTATTTTATCTTTTTCGCAGACCAGGTTTCACTTCTACTATACTCTACTCTACTACTACTACTCTATGAAAAAACTGTTCTAAAACCACGCATGTGTTCAAAAATAATACATGTGAAGATTAACAATGTGTCATACAGTTTGTGAGAGTCAGAAAATAGTTAAATCCATTTAAATACATACTCCCTCTTTTCGAAGTTTGAGAATCGGGTACCTCAGCTTAAGCATCTGATTTGATACTTAAATATTAGCACTAACTAGGACTGAACACTTTTGTGGGGAAAAATGAATTGTAATTTTTCTGAAAAGCATTGTGATAAGATTATCAATTTATGCTTTAATATCAGGACTCTGTTGAAAGTTGTCCTGTCCAGGAGAACAGACAAAAAGACTGAAACAGACCTATGAACTTACAAGATGCACAGAATACAAAAATCCGAACAACAGGGTTTGCCATTTTTATGTAAAATATGACAGGATATTTGGTTGTTTTTGGAGAAAATGATGGTAGTTAAAAAGCACTGACCTGGTCCTCTAAGACGTTGGGGTGTGGGGGCGTTTTCATGTGTGTGACAGTGTGCAGGATGTCGTGGATGTGGTTGCTCAAATGGAGGACGGGGTTGGCGATGACTGTTTTTGTGGGAGCGATGCAGGCGGAGAGCAGGGGCAGCGTGGTGGGCAGAGGAAGAGGAGACTGGAGCTGCTTCACCGTCGTCTCCTACAACAAAGAGAGATGTTTTTTGCTGTGACACTAACAAATTGAGACAGATTTAAACCACAAAAACTATTCTAAATGTACAGTATTGTATCTGTAATGAGTCAGAAGAACCAAAAAAATGTCTCAGTTGTACAAAAATGATTGATCCCGCTGTCATATACTGATCAATAATTCGATATAGCAGTTATTGTAACTTCACAGGAGTCAACCTACCTACCAACCTTAAATCTTAATGTTCTCAGCAAACTAGCCAAGAAGAGGGCTGCAGCTAAAGACATTGCACAGTGACATTTTTAAAATACTTTTTTGTGAATTAGTGTCTTCAAGCATATCTTCCACTATGAATATATCTGAAAGTGGGGAGTCTGCAATTTTACAGGAGAACTTTACAGTAACTCTACAACTCTGGATTAAAACTACTCTATTTTGCAATGTAAAGTGTTTTTAGTAAAATAAAATAAAAATAGAAACATGGAAAAGATTCTAGTGACCAAATTGTATACAAAACTTACTGGTAAAGGTCAGTTTACTATACTGCATGGCTACATCTCAAAACCTGCTTATCAGCTGCATGTAAGCCTATACTTGATGTCATGTTCTCTGTACAGTTTTAGTACCTGCTGGCTCTCCTGCAGCAGGAAGAGGAGCTCCATGCGCACTGACGTGACTCCTCCCCCTTTGGCCCCGTGCAGACTGCAGTAGGATAGGAACACTCGGAGCAGAGCCTGGTTCTTCCTCAGCCAGGCCTTTCTTCTCTCAGAGTGCTGTTGCTTCGCCTGCAGACGCCTCCGCTCCATTTGGTGGCGTTCATAAGCTCCTGCGTCCGAGCGCTCAAACACGTCATCTGAGATGTCGATGGACCCAGTGCGCTCTCCCCAGCGCTCAGACTCCTCCTCATCTTTACCCTCCACCTGTGGGAGATATGGCTTCATCAAAGTCTAATAAGGCAAAATATGCAGACTACGCAGCATGGTTTCTGATAAATAATGTGGAAAAAATACACTTACAGCAAGCAGTTGTGCACATAACTAAACCTTATTTAGCTGTAATAAAGTATGAACGAAGACTTGATTCGTAATTAACAAATAGTTTATTAAGAAATATCCTTGCTAACTACTTTAAGCCACATTATGTAACTTTTAATCAAATCTAAATCAAAAACAAGTTATTTTCATTTCGGTTGTGTTAACCCTAAGACTGAAAAACATATGTCCTTACTCTGAGCAGGCTTGCATCTCCACAAACCTAACTCTTATTTGGCCTGAAAGTGGGACCCTGTTACTTGTTACCATGGAAATGTTTTCCCTCTGGCTCAAATATTTTTCCACAGTGTGGCATAAAACCTCTTTATCTACCTGAAGAATGTTGCAGTTTGAATCAATGTTAATAAACTAATTGTCCATTATGAATTATGTCTTTCTTCAAGTTTTATTGAGAAGAGAAAAGGGAAATATGACTTAAACCAAGTCAATATTCATTTTCCTAGTTAGATTTATTTATTTTTTCTTAAATCAACCAGTGAAGTTTTACATAACTGTAGCAAAATCAACTTAGAATAATTTTTGTGCAGTGTGTATAGCTCTATTAAACTTTATTAAACTGTGCACCTTGTAGTTACAGATGGTGTGCATGGCGGCGATCTCCTTCTCGAGCCAGTGGTAGAGCTGGAACCTGAGCTTCCCTCCGTCCACCTCGAACCCTGTGGCCAGAGTTCTCAGCTCCGTCATCAGGATCTTCAGACAGGCCCTAAACTTCAGCTGCTCTGCGATCACGTCCACCTCAGACTCTCCCTGAAAAAGATCATTATAACATTTACGAAACCTCTACCAACGGAAATGAGAAATATTGTTAGTGTTTTGCATCACGAATATAAACAGGGCTATTATGTATAGGCCTGTCACAATGATTGCTATATTGACTTCAGTGCATGACAGACGGGACAATGGTATTTGGGGATCAATGTTTATCATGGGAATTTTTTCTCTGCTATAATTTGATTTGAGCTGTAGAGTGTAGAACAACTACCAACTATGAGTCATTAAGTGTTTCATTTATTTATTACAGCTCATGTTCATTAACAATAGTGTATATACAGAATATGTACATGGGAGATAATTACATTCAACATTATGTAATATTAAGTGTGTATTCACCATTTAGTTTGAACTCATGTTTTATTTTGATGCAGACTTGGTTTGGTTCTTTCCTGGTCCTGGTTTAGTCCTGGTTTAGTTCATGTTCAGTCCTAATTTTGTTGTTGTGTATACTCAAGTGTATGTGACATTGTAAACAATTATTTATTGGAAATTAAAAAGATATTTATGTAGTATTTCACACTTACAACTATCTAAAAGAGACCATGTTTATTTCAGTATAATATATGTTGACATCTATTGAGGCTAAATTTGAGAACAGACTTGGATATTGTAAGAAACAATCTAGCATTATCTAAAATGAATGTAAATGTAAATGTAAATTTGTAAAACAAACCTGTGAGTCCTCCCTCTGCAGTTTTGGACCACTATTAGAAGTCTTATTTTCCTCTGGTTTCTTCATTGCCAGACCTCCATCATCCTCATCATCATCATCATCCTCTTCGTTCTTGTCATCCCCCCAGTCCAGCTGCAGCTCGTCCTCTGCTTTGACCACAGGTTGGCTCCAGTCCATCGTGGCGGCGCTGTCGACCCCTCCCCAGGCAGGAGCAGCTGGAGCAGCCCAGTCCAGGCCTGCTCCGGAGGTCCCATTCTCCAGGGGCTGGCTGGAGTTCAGAGTGACCTTTGAGGAGGATTTGCTCAGAGGAGATGAACCTGATTTCTTCACAGTGACTTTGGGGATTTTAGAGAGGACTTCAAGGGCCAGAACAGGACAGCCCACCTAAGACGATCAATCAGAATACATTGATAATTATTGCATCTTTATTATATAATATTTTTGAAAACTTTGTACAAAATATGCATTAATAATAATAAAGCATAACAAATTGTCTATCCAATAATAAGATATGGCTGCAAACAAATGTGTAACAATTGTTGATGCACATCTACATTAGTATAATTACATTATTCCATATAATCACTACTAAGTACTGATAATATTTAATAAATGGAGCAACAGGCCTCTCTACAGTGGCCTAATCACGGTTGCTGCTTGGTGAAAAGGCCATTATTGCATATTTTTCACCTTGAAATTATAATAAAAAGATTTTAAATAATCTCTGAGTTTAAAAAAAATAGTTGTTAATAATAATAAGAAGAAGAAATTGAAGAAGAAGAAGAACAAAAAAGTACAATAAAACAAAACTAAATAAAATAAAACACATTTGATTAGTTGTAAGAATGTCTTAATGTTTTGCTTGGTTTATTGTTCCCTACAGAACATAGACAATAGCTCTACCTTAAAGTGTGCGTTGGCCGTGGTGAAGAACAGTTTGCGTTCGATGAGGTTGATCTCGTCCGCGGTGTTTTTCTCGGCTGTGAGGCTCACGGTGGTCTGACCTGAGCCTTCTGCAAAGTGACGTCGGATTATCAGAGGGTGAGTCCGCAGGTAGTTGTAGAAACTGAACACCACCGGGTTACAGGACTTCACCATGGCATCTGAATGAGACAAAGGGAAAAAAGACGCACGGAAGTTCTTACATTAGAGCACAAAATGTCTTTATAGGTACTACAATCCTGGTCCAGTGGTTACCGTGGGGAGGATAAAGCAGTTCAAAGAAGGTTAAAACAGTTAAAAAGAAAATTGTGAAAACATTTCACCCTCACACCAGTGACGAGTGTTACCAACTTTTGAAAAACAATCAAGATATGATGTAGGATGACTCAAATTTGAATGTTTTTAATGTAGAAGCAATAATGTAACATGATTAAAAGCTCTAAAATCAAAATCAGTTCATCATATTATAAAGACGATGAGTTTAGTTATCAAGAGCAGAACCACACCTTCTTGTCTCTACCCTATTCATAACACTCACTCCCTTCCTCTCTGTCTTGTTGTTTATGTGCCCCTTTTACCCTCTCCTTTCTGGGATGTGGATCTCCTTCTCAGAAACCATTCGAACATTGCTTTTTCTACCATGATCTTCATCTTAATTCATAATAAATTACATTTGCATTGTATTCTGACTTTATGGTCCTTAGTGAAAGACCTTAAAAGAACCATATTATCCTATTTTTTGATCTATGTTATAATGTTGTTTCCACATTAAAAACATACCCGGAATTGTGTTTTGTTCCATTCACACATGGTTAACACATAAACCCTGCATAATTTACCTTCTTCTCTCAAACAGAAAACATTCTGTTCCACCTTCTGATGCCACATGGTAATACTGGAAGGGCTCCACTATTTTTTTTAAACTCGATACACCTTCACTAGAATCATTTGGACATTTTAGCTTTGGAATTGCCAATCTCTACTGAACAAAAATTAAAAGGTCGCTGTTTAAATCATAAAATAGAACAGAGCATTATGAGCTTTGAAGGTGTAGATAGAAGACTACTGATAGAGGATTACTAAAACATGTGCAAATGAAACAAAACACAACTCTTACGTTTTTGATGACATAACAACCTATGGCTAAAAGCTCAGAGGAGTAAATTTTGCATAATACAGGGTTTTTAAAGGACTAACCTGGATTCTCGTCATCCTCTTTGGGTATCCTCTCGAGCAGCGTGTCCAGGGCGAGGGTGTAGTCCTTCATGATCCAGTAGGCGATGCTGCGGAGGAAGGGGTCCGGGTGCAGGCGAGAGCAGTGGTACCCCGTTCCATCTCTGTTACAGCCCAGGACCTTCTCGTACAAAAGGCCCTGACAAGTGGGAGACTTCTCATAGTCTGCTTCGTACAGTCGGGCTACGATCATGGCCAACTGGATGTCCTCCATTTTCTCCATCAGCACCTACAGCAGAATACAGAGAGAGAAAAACAGAAATATAAGAAAATCATTCTTGGTCTCACCATGGGAAAATTGCAGACTTGCAGACACCAACTGAAAAAGCCAAGGCTGTCTGGGTTACTTGAATTAGCTGAATAAGTTGTTGGTGACTGTCAAGAAATTCTATATCTATAAGTATTCTTTATCATGTATAAGGTAAAGTATGTAACTTGCTGAAGGTTGCACATAACTTGCATTGCATGAAAATAAAAAGTTAAAATCAAACATCGGAACATTCACCATGAAGATAGATTAGTTTGACGGTGTGAAATATTATAGCCAGAAGAAAAATATGTCCATGGAAACACGCATTCAGACCAAACAAGAGCCAAGTTTGTGAAGATGCAAGTTTTGTACACTAAAATCAACTAAATAACAAAACAAAAAAAACATGACTGGAGTCTATATTTTGGCTAAAAAGTTACATACTGTGGCTTTAAGTAGTTGCTGTAACGTCAGGGTCAAATAAAACAAATAAATAGATGAAACCTAAAATAAACATATTACATAATTGCACATTTGTCTCGAACATAAGCCAAATAATACACAAACATGGTTAGGGGAAACTGTAGGGCCTGAAAACTGTAATTTAATGAATATGCTACATTTCAAACTTTTCTCAGACGTCGCCAAGGTTATTTTTGAGAATACTTTTACTATAACTTTTACATTTACCGTACTGTTCAATTTCAGGTTGTGCTCCCAAAGTTCTAGCAAATGAAGGCAAAAGTAAAGTTATACCGGGGACTGTACATGATTTTCTATGCAGACAAATATCCAAGAGTCTGTCTGCAAAGTTAATGATGTGGTGATATGAGCCCAGACACCCTAAAGAGAAAGTGTAATAAGAAAGTCCATTATCTTTGTCTCTGCTGTGAGGGAAATAGGAATCCAGGGAGGGAGGAATGACTGTACTGTCAGGGTACTGGGTCATATAATGTAGGGCAGATGCAATTTGGAGAAAAAAAAAATGTAATTGTGTTTCCCTTAGATGATAGATTTGTCATTTTCCTCCTGTTTTTTGATTACTGTAGGTTTTTTTGTAGGATTTTAATCACAGAGCTACAGAAACAGACTTGGCTGGAAGTGATGGTTTACTGTGGTTTCACTGGTTTTACTTTTCTGGTTGAGGGCCAGCTTCTTTCTTGACTTAATGGAGAGGTTAAAAGCACTGCCTGAAATCTTCCACATTAAACCTACCCATCTCCATGGAGACACAAGCTACCAGGCCTAGTTATAGAGAGATCTATGGAGAGTCGAGCTTCACAGTAACAATAAGATACAGGTTTAATGCGATAATTGTGGAACATGCCAGGCAAAACAATAACAGTCCATTGAGTCAAGCAGGTAATGTACTTCCCATAAGAAAAGTTCCATACTGGGCTTTAAATCTAACATACTATCAAATATGACGGAAAATATAGTAGCCTGGAAATAACAGCATGCATTAATTAGATTTTGAGGGACATGTTGTAGTTGCTGAAACGGGCAACTTTTAACGTTCTGTAATTTTCTGTACGGACGGGTATGCGGGCGGTTGTGATTACACACGGGTGCGTCAGGTGAATCAAATGAACAATGAACGAGAGAAAAATACTAATAAAATACTAATCCAGCGCATCTGTTCCCCTGGAAACAAGTGTCATTTCCCAGTCTTTTCCTGGAACGATGTCAGACAGACAGTCATCGGCTCAGCGGCTGCGCTCCTGATTTAGTCCTGGTTTAGACCTGGTCCAGTCCTGGTGTAGTCCTGGTGATTGGCTAGGTGGTTGCAGCATGTATATATTTATGCTAATGACACTGGTTTAGTCCTGGTTTAGTCCTGATTTAGTCCTGGTTCAGTCCTGGTTTAGATCTGGTTCAGTCCTGATTTAGTCCTGGTTTAGACCTGGTTAAGCTCTGGTTTAGACCTGATTCAATTCTGATCCTTTCCTGATGTAGTTCTGGCAAATGGCGTGGCTGTTGCGACATGTATATATCTATAATCTGCTAATGACACATAGCCCTGGCCTAATGGGCCGACCTCGATTTATCACGGGCACGGGCGGGAAACAGGTGGCATATCAACGGGTCTGGGTAGGTGAGGATTTAACTTTGATATAATCACAGGTTAACCGGCGGAAGTGGTGCTGTACTGCGCGGGTGCGGGGCTCTGAAAATGGACCTGTGCAGAACTCTGGTATACAGTATATTTTGTATTAGGTTATTGGGTTTGTGTATAAAGTTTATGTTTATGCAGACTGGTTCTATAAAATCAAATTTGACTCAAAAGAATGCAGCGAATCAAAACTGCAGTTGCATTTCCCACGGGCTATTGTTTATTCGTACCTCAATGGCGTCTTTGAGTGATCCGGCCAACAGAAAGAAGGCGGCGGACTGTTCAAATCGTTGTTTACCCAAAAGAGAGAAGGCATTTTTCAGAGCGGCCTTCCTCCAGCGATCCTCTGTGAAGTTATTCTTAAAAAACTGAGTCATCTTTTCATCGTGCTGTGACCTGAGGAAAAAGGTGAGGAATCCATCTTTAGAATCCGCACAAAGCTCTGGAAAGTTTATCAAAATGGAGCAGTGATGAAATGTTGTGGAGCAGATTAGTGCGTCTCACCTGAAAAGTCCCCACAGAACTGCTTTCTTCTTGATGGCTAAATAAAAGAGCGCAGCGTCTAGCGGGTCATTGTTTCTCTGGAAGGCAGCTTTACCCAACTGAGGCGAAGAAGAAAAAGTCAGTTAATAAGAACAGAAAGACAGTTAAAGCAGGGTACTTATTTTTGTTAAGTGCGGGTTGGCAATAACAGGCTAAAGGAGTCATGGTACTAAGAACAAATTTGTTTACTTCAACAAATAATTTTGTAGTTTCTGCTACTTATTTACAACAACAAATAACAAATGCATTTTTTTTTATAGAGCTACAGAATACAACATTTCTATAGCAGGCTACAATGAGTCACTTTGGACCTGACCAGTAGCTGATATAGGTAATTAAAATCTAATAATGGGTGATATATCTTTTTTATAATGGTAATTGTTTTATTTTTCAGTGCATCAAATTTGTCTTTTCAAACAGACTAATTATAATGAGTAAAAATGGAAATAGAAGAGCAATTGTGGTCAAATATGACTATGTTTACACATTTTAGAGCCCAGATAAATACATAATTGTAATATTTTTATGAATTATTTTGTGAAATTTACTATAACAGTGGCCCTTGCAATTCATATTAAAATCATAATATCAGTATGGGCAAATATGGTGTTTTAGGCCACAGCCACAAGACTAATACTGGATATATCGGTCTTGTATAAAAAAATTTACAAAATAAAAATTTATTTTGCACGATCCCGTTCCCTTCCTTAGCAGCTATTTGTTATCATGTATATATATATATTTTTTACCTTCTCCACCATTTTACGCAGAGTGTTGATGTTGCGTATCCACCAGCCCACGCCCACAGCCCTGAGCTCGGACCACTGGGGGTCTCCTCTCTGCATCGCCGGGATCATGTTCAACAGCTCCTCCTCTGCCTCCGAGTGGAACGCCCAGGCAAAGTGACACGTCGACAAACCTGCATCCAACATACAACAGAATGCAACAGAGTGAGGGGAGGAGACCAATGCTTTTGATGTTATATGTCTTTTAATTTCTGTTATTAAAAACTGTACTATTAAAAACATTGTGAATGGACAAGACAAGTATTTCCTCAATTTGATTACGATTTTATAAAATGCACAGCCTTAACCCTATTAAAATTTGCATCCACAATACACTTTCTCCTATCCTCTGTTATAACGTTGAATACTGTCGTGTTCTTACCCTGGTGGAGGAGCTGCATGCGGTACAGAGGAGGCAGAGACGTGAGCAAACATGTGTGAAGACGCATGGCCAGAAGATACCGAAGTCCACACTCGTCCAGCGCCTCACCACCTACAACAAACAAAGAAACAACCAGCTGTGAGATAAACACCGTCTGAGCAGTACACAGAGTCATCAACATGGCAAGGTATTAAAAAAGAAGAAAAATTTTAAAAAGACTCAATTTGGAGCAGTGGTGCTGGACTGTGGTGTAAAATTAAAATATACACATTATTGTTGGAAATTGCAAAATAACTTCACAAGGACATGATTAAAATAGGGCTGGGCGTTTTGGGGGAAGAAAACGTTGTTGTTTTTTTTAGGAAAACATTGAAATTGCGAATAGATTTATGATGTGTTTTATTCGTAGGCCTTTGTTCAAAGCTAAAATTTTAAACACTGCCAGGAACAATCACATTTGAGAGACTACACTAATACAGGAATCACAAGAACATTTTTGTAGAGGTCTAAACTACAGGTTCTTTTTAAATAATAAAATATAATGAGGAAGAGGAAATGCAGTCTTTTAAGATTTGCTAGTTGCAACTATTTAATTTTGATTCAGTATATCTTGTAGCCCTACGTAAAAATGAACTGACATTCTGCATATGTACCTGTGGTCTCTTATTCTGATAGCGAAAATAATTTTAAACACTGTCATCCCACAAGATATGACACTACCTTCGCCTTGAACTTTTTTACGCTTTGTGCGTGCGTAGTACTGGAACAGCTTGCTTATGTCGAATGCGGCAAAAGGCTAGATAAATGTAATGACAATGTATGGACAATAAGAGGAACTTTATCTGAAGGCCTGTATCTGTAAAAAGGAACACCATAACAACATTGTACTACGGAAACTCCAGATAAAGCCTCTCTGGAACACTTAATCAGTGACTACCTCTGTTCAGAGTTATTTTATATGTAAACTATATGAAACACTATATATTTTAAGATGCATAAGATTGCCGAGTAATTTTAAAAGACCATTTAATACAAGCTAATGTATTTAATTGTTCAACTCAAAGCTCTTTATATCTAAGAAGTTTTCACACACACATATATTCAACAGTGTATGCAGACAGTAAAGTTCAGGCAGGTTAAATGTCTTGCAAAACTACAAAATGTAATATGGCATTAGTGTGAGTGGAGATTGAACTATCAACTTTCAGGTGACTGGGTGCAAACTTTACCAAATGAACAACTGGGAATGGGAATTCAGAAGTAATTATTTGAAATCAAAGTAAGTTTCAGCTCACGGGTTTCAACTTTCTGTTATATAAAACATTTTAAGGATTTTTTCCCATTTTAAAGATCTAATATTTTGTTTTAAATTGTTAATCTCTATGTCAACAGTCCTAATTTGTTGTCCTTCTGAAGCTCATGGATACCTGTGTATTGTTTGTCGTTGGAGCTGGTGACCTCCGCGCTGGTCGTTGCCACAGTATCAGCCAAAGCCACTAAAAACATCTGCTCCAGTCGCGTCAGACCGGGGAGGCTGGAGTGCATGAGGTGACTGGACAGAACCTGATACAATAAAAGAAAAACTACTAATAATGTCCTTATTAAACATGAATACACTGGCATAACATTAGAGTTCTACCTGAGCATGTTCTGGTCCAAAGTAGGATGGTCCATACTGAGAGAGGTTGATTACTCTGGATTTCTTTTCTGGTTTGTCAGTGGCAAAGTTCACAAAGTCGTCTGTAGTGACTGTGGGCATCTGTCAAAGAGAAAAATAGATCTTCAGATGTCTACTGCATACTGTAATAAAATGCTGAACTATTCTGTGCATTGCTATGCAGAGCTTGAAAGTGGCTTTCAACAATGTGTTTCATGCCCTGCATTAAAGGCTCAGAATGTAACTTTCTGGAGATGCTATGTCACCCGCATGATTGCACAGAAATAGAAAGTTAAAACCATACTTCAGAGCATTCTCCATGAAGACAGATACATTATGCCAACCTGCTAAAGGAACATTTCCATGGAGACAAGCAACAAAGAAGTTGCATACTGTGGCTTTAAAGAAAACATATTATGTATTTTTATTGTGACCCTATAACTAGGTAGAGCAGGCTTTTATATACTTTTCATTGTAAACTGCTTAGTATTAGAAATCTGCCCATTTACTTCCTTTTCAAAATTGCAGAATCACCTCTTCATAGTGGCATTTCACTGCAGCAATCAGCAGATTTTTTGATTTTATAATGAAATCAGTCCTGATTTAGACACATTTTGTTGGAAAGACACATTATTTGATCTTAATTGTTTTAAATTTACTGAATTGCACACACACTGAACACATTCAGTGCATTTTCTTGGGGAAATGTTTCTTGTCTTAAGGTAAGTTGTCAGCTCACTTAGTTGTTTTCTTTCATTTTCATCAAAAGCACTGTTTCTGGTATTATTTACTATGAAGGCATTCATTATTCATTGACCATAATTACCTGGAAGAGGTCTGCATACTGATCCTCTGCAGACTTCTGGGTCACCTCTCCATCTGCCCCTTTCGCCGCCTTCGCCGCCTCCTCTAGCCCCTTGTAGGCGGTGTCCTGGTCGGCCAGCAGCAGCGAGTACAGGGGCAGAGGGGGGATGGAGTTGATTTCGGTGTAATCTCTGCCTCCATCGCGCCCTGCGACGATGGTGTCTTTGGCTGTACTTCCTGTGACACTGATGGTGCGGGACAGATGGCGCCTGGACCCGCCCTCCCCCGCCTCCACGTCCCTCACCACGGCAACCTCACCCGCAATGCACTTCACCAGGTGAGCAAGAATAGCCTGAGGGGTACAAGACAGTGCGGTTATTAGAAGAGGCAAGAATAGTGTTATTTCAAAGAGCTGTCAGACAGGTGAAGTCTCTCCAACTCAGATTCTGTGTTTTTGTAATGAGGACAATTTTTCATCCACAGATAATAGCTGCCTTAAATGTGCATTATGTAACTTTTTCATTGGGGGTCCATGACTTGCTTGTTTCTATGGACATGTCATTAAACAGTAAGACATTAAACAGTTCTGCCTTATATTTATTCAAATAAAGGTGGCTTTATAGCTCAAAAATACCTAGAAACTGTGAGTCGGTTGCCTCTTCACAGAGCTGACCTGTAACTTGATGTGGTTTGGTCTCCATGGAGATTGAAAGGTATAATACCATACTAAGGCTGTGCAATTAATCGCGATTTTGATTTGTGTGTCAAACGATCTCCAAAGTCTGAAAAATTCAAAAGAAAGCTCTTTGTGTTTGATTAGAAGAGGGGGGGTGGGATTAAATAAATTTTCCTCTTCCCACTCCTTTTTGGGCCATTTAAAAAAAAAAAATGTTGTTGTTATTTCTGCTATAATTTCATTAATATTAAATGTTCTATTGTAAAAGAATGCACATTTCTTACTTGCCCAAAACAAATACACATATATGTCAGTTATTCATTTAATAGAGTTGAAACAATTAAAGCTTTACAAAGTTTATTTGGGGATTATTTGTATATAAATAAGTATATTCATTTTAATTTATTTAATACAGAGACTGCAGAACAGCTTGATATATTGTTTATTTTGGATACATTTATGTTTTTCTATGCCTTATTTCATGTTTAAAGTATATTTTATTCATTTTATATTTTATACATTGCAAATCTGTGCAAAAACAAGGTACATATTTGTAGCCTATATTTATTTTAAATTTGAAAGTTTTGTGCACAATTTTGAGAGAAAGAAATGCTGAAAAATGCATTGTGTAACTAAAAAATAATCGTTTGAATAATTGTGATTTCAATATTGACCAAAATAATCTTGACGAGCAGCCCTATACCATACTGTGAAACATTCCTGACAAAGCAATCACATCTCCATGGAGAAAAGCATTTGGCAGACCCTCCATCAGAAAAGTTACATAATGCACCTTTGGAATGAGTACCATCCCATACCTTGGCTCGCCGCACTTTGCCCAGATCCATAAGCTCGAGCAGCTGCGTGGGGTGGTACTGGGGGAGGGTGGGAGAAAGTGAGTGAGCTGCTTCAAACAGACCCCCCTCCTGTAGACCCGCTGGAGCTCTTAGCGCCTCGTCTACAGCGGCACTGGTCTCAAACACACTCTTAGACCGGGCTCTCCCTTCAAAAACTGGATTCTGGCCTCCTGAAATATCCGCCGAGGACAGGTTCCCCTCATCGCCATCGCCTGGTTTAATGTCCTGGCGCCATTGAGCGTAAACGTGCATCTCGCAGTCCATTCCCACCACTAAAATACCATCTCGAACCCAAGACAGAGACACAGGCAGCGAAGGAGTCCCATCTACTGAAGATAACAAGTCTATTGAGCGTAGTAGAATCCACCGTGAGCGAATGCCCTGTTTTATGCTGCCCCCGAGAGGAAGGGTGATGACTGCGACTCCGTCCTTGCTGCTGGTCTGTTCGTTGACCACGCCGGAGATGCGCCCGTACATGAGGATGTTGGAGCCGACGCCCACAGTGAGGATGTGGGAGCCGTCCTCTTTGGAGAGCCAGTCTAGGTGGACGTAGTGCTTGATGTTGGGAGAGGTGTGGTCTCTGCTCATGTAAAGATCAGACCTGAAATGAGAATAATTTTGTTGTATTATTATAATGGACATAAAAACATAACAGATTTAAACTGCTTTGAGACATGGTACTTTTGTTTTTATGAGTTGACGCCAACCACCGCTTACAAAAAATGTTCCCAAATGACTCTAGCTATTAATATGTTTGCCTCTTGGCATTATTTTTTTCCTCATAAATTTTCCTAAAGCACTACACAGCCATGGTGCCAGGTTCAACAAACACAAATCTCCTCATTCTCTTTGGAGCCAGTCTAATAGTAAACTGCACTTTATTTTACTTATTACTTCAGCAATAACAATAATATTCTTCCAGGGGTTCATACTCTATAATGGTAAGATTAGGGATGTAACAATAACCGAAATATCGTGATATTGTATCGTCAGAGTTCTCACAGTAATATCGTGGACCATCACAATATATAGAATTACAAGTCTCTTTGCTTAAATTAAGAGTTATGGTGCAGCAATAGCTAAAAAAAGACACAGGGAACTACATAGACCATGATCCTTTGCTCCATTTCAGTGCAGACTAAACGAAGAAATAACAGTTCAAAGCACTTTTAAGTCTTAGTTCTTTGGATTAAGTCTTGTGAAGGCATTTTAAGAGTAAAAGTAGCATATTAACAGTTTTGTTAGCCTCCTCAAAATATCACAATAAATATTGTACTGTGAGGTTCATACTGTGATGATATTATATCGTGGGACTTGGATATCGTTAGACCCCTCAGTAACAGTCAAAGTAAGGTATGTACAGTTAGTGTGCCTGGGACATTTGAAGATCAGTTTCAGTTTTTTTTTTTTTTTGTATATTTATTATGATTTATATCTTAAATGCTTGTGTTAAATCGCTGTTGAATAAAGAATTCATTGTACGTGGACCCGCTTTTTAACATAACCTGTATGGTCGAGGAATCCCTCAGTCATCCAGGTAGGATCAGTTGCAAAGAAGAAATTCTAATCTGTCAACTAGACATTTTTTGTTTATTTTTACGTTTCACAGCTCATCTAAGCAGCACATGCAGAACTGAAGAAGCAGCTTGGATGAACTACGAAACGTTTTAAATCAAAAAACTTTTGTACAGTTGACAGAATTTAATTTCTCCTTTGCATTAATCAGTATGATGAATTGTGAAACTTGGATAGCTGTAATGTATTAATATTCATCATGACTTCTTCTTATTTAACTTTTTGTGTCGTATAGCATGGTTTTTAATGGTTGAGGCAGGGATTAAGAACTGTTGATTTAAACAGTCTTTAATCAGACAAAGGATATTGTACATATAGAGCTAGATTTAATGTATTGTAACGTGTATTGTTCTGAATAACTGTGTTACTAACTGTGTGTTGTGTGTTCAATTTTATGACATGCAGCAAGTGGCACTGTGCCCCAAGACCACTTTCCCCAAGGGGCCAATAAAGTTTACCTTTAGCTTTAACCATTTCTTTTAAAACATAAAATGCATTATCATGATTGTGCTGTTCAAATGAGTGAACGTTAAATGAAAAAAATCAATATTAAAAACACAACTATAAGCTTTAAACCTGACCTGCTGTAGACAAAGAGGTTGGAGTCCACGCTGACTCTGGGGTCCAGTGTGGAGGTGGGTCTGGTTATTTCGTCTAGGTGAATGGTCTGCTCCAGGACCCACTCCGAGCCCCCGGTCGACTCACACTCGTAGATCGACACATGCATCGAGAAGTCCTGAGCACAATTAAACTGTAGGGGACACAGAATAAGAACAGTGAGGATCTTACTCATTTAGAAAACAGTTCACTGGCATTAGTAGTTTGAATATTATTGATATTTTCTGCAGCAAAATATCATTTTCTTGATAGCACTTCTGTCCGGGCCAATCATGTAAATTATTATATTTGAATCAGGATTAGACAAGTGATTCTAAATTACCCATAGTTAAATTAGAGTTAGAGTTTATTGTGCTGGGAATGACAACTTATAAATAATGGGAGTCTTCCTTGTAGTAAGTGTTTTGGTAGTAAAATTCTAAAATAAAAAACATAAGTAATAAAAAATAACACTTATAGAATAATTCCCATGATTTAAGCACAAAGAGTCTGTTTCTTATTCATGTTTTTTAGAACCTTTGACTATTGAATCTTATTTTAAATTGGTAATCACTATGCCAACTTTGCTCAGTTTTCATCACTCCTAAAACCCATGGATAAGAAAGCAATGGCACGCATATAAAATAAAAGTTGAACAAAACCATGTAAGTGAAAACTGTTCTAGACTTTCAGACAGATCTCCACATTTGCATTTATATTGCATAGTTTCAATTCAAGGTGACTGCTGGTGTAATATGAATATTATAACCCAGACAGAAGTACACAGTGGGGGATCAGATTCCCATTTTATACCTGCGTCTGTCTCTGCTGCTTAAACGCCACAGCCAGTCTGCCGATATACGAGCAGGACACAGCTACAGGACGTCCTGAGACTGAGACTGCACTGTTGTTGTCTTCTTCTTCGTTCATTAAGGCCCAGGGCTCCCACCGGTACACGCGGCTGTCCTGCTGGTCGTCCCCATAGCCCTCGTCGGCGCCTTCTACAGCACAGTGCCAGAACCGCACGTGGGAGTCCGAGCAGGTGGTGACGATCAGGTACGGAGCCAAGCACACGGGGTAGATGGAGGAGGAGCTCAAATGACCTTTAGAAAGAGAATGGGATAGTCAATGTGGTGATTTCTATATATTCTTTAGATGTATATACTTCTTTAGGAAATATTTGTGCTTTTTAATGTCAAACTTAAAGTAATCCAGTCAGTTTTAGAATTTTTAGTGAGTTTCTTTAGTTTCTTTACAATAGCAGACATTTATGGTAATTTTGTGAAAGAGTATGTGAAATTGAAAGTACTAAAAATGTGTAATTATTTGGAAAATTCTCCTTTCACAAAAATCCAAGAACAATTTAAACCTTAAATGTAAATGTGATTTAAAGCAAAACAGTTTCTGCACTATTTCCTTCTCACCAAACAAGTGATAATTTATGTTTATTTTGTTTATTTATCCAATTGTTTATTTAAAAAAAAAAGTGTCTGGAATTATGGTAGATGGCAGTAGTAATTTAAAACATTTAGAACTTTTTTGCATGAATACTTCTGTAAATCTATCCCCATAAAAAAGATAAAAAATAAATAAGTATTATCCACAAGCACAAACGTTACGCAGCGTCTTACCTGCAGATGGCGTTGCCCTGGTGACCTCCACGCCATGCGGCAGGTCCAGACGTTTGCTGTAGACCAGTTTGGAGCTGAGGATGAGTTTACTGGCAGACTGGAGGTTTGCGGTGGAGGCCGAGCGAGGCAGAGGTCTGATGGGAGACGACTCTGGAGACGAGTCTGGGTTCACAGTCTGATTAGGAACCATGAGCTGACTCTGAAAGCTGTAGACTGGACTCTTCTCATCTGGGCACAGGGACAAAGAAGGTGGGGGAATTTAAAGGGATGTACCTGTTTTCAAACCATGGGTCAGAAACATGTTTTAGTTTTAACATTTAGCCCCGCCCACTAAGTCCTTTCTGCCGCTGTGATATAGCACCATGCCATAAAAATGACTTCCTGCGAGAGTCATGCAGTTTTTTCTTTATAGTTTGACACTCTTTGCCCACTATTTGTTTTTGCCATTCTTTCGGTGCCACCTTTTTGTTTATAGGCAGATGTTATCGCTTTGCTTGGTAGGTTCCACAGAATGGCATTAAAAGAATGAGAAATTCGCCTATCAATTACTTGAGACGGGTGCATTGGAGGAGAGGGAGCAGCCAAGAACATAGAGAAAAATCCCGCAGACCGTCTTACTTGCAACGTTTCGGCACTTGTTTGCCTGATGAAGGCCTAGTGCCGAAACATTGCACTGTTTGTCCCAAAAAAATCATCACATTTTGCAAGTAAGACGTTGTGCAGGATTCTTCCACAGAATGGCATTAAAAGCCTATTCAGCCTTTGTTTCACTAGAGGTGGATTTTATTGTTCGGAAATACCTTTAAGAACATGCATATAATATCCACTGAACTGATCTGTACCTTACACTGCTGGTCTCCACTGAGATAGATAAGTTTAATGCTTTACCATTTCAAGTACATCTACATGGAGACTAACCCCCCCCCCCCCAAGAAATGTTACGCAGTGCACCTTTAAAAGCTATTGCCCAAGAAAATGCTATGTAAAAATGAATTATATCAGAATCAGAATTTTTTTGTCATTATAAAACATACACTGAAACAAAACTCTGCACTCAGGTCCAGCTTGGCAACAGCACAAATAATAATAGGAATAATTAGTTTAAAAATATTGTATGTCAAATACAGTCTTTTAAAAAAACAGCCCCCACCCGCCCCCATTTTCTAAAGTGCGTTCCAAGTCAGTGCTATTTTGTAAGGTGCATTAGTGTCCGGGCTTTCTGACAGAATTGATCGGCCTAAAGGCATCAGGGTATTCTACGCATACAGTTTCATTCTTTAAATCATATAATGCATGATGTTAAGAGCATTTATCTTGACAAGAACATATTAAAATTGTAGCCGTTAACATTGCAGTTGGTGACTGGTATTCTTGGTATTCTGATTGGACCATGTATCAGAATAATCTACAGAATACTTTTTAATGCAGGTATTTAGTTTTCAGGTATTCATCCGAGTTTATGTAATGAAGCAGTTGCATGGACTTACCAACACAGGCCTGGACAGACTGGAGATGAAGGTGCCACATTTGAAGCACAGAGTTCCTATTCAAATCCTTTTCGATCACAACCAGGAAAAACTTCTCAGAAAATGGAGGAGGCTGGTAATCTGCAGTAAGATAATAATGCAGAAGTTAAAAACAAAAAATGAACAAACGATATATATTCTGCTGTCAAAAGTGTCTTGTACCTCCATCACCAAATGTTGGTGGTGTCGCTTCTGATTTCGGAGGTTTGTACCCAAGAATGAAGTCCTCTTGGAAGACATGCAGCAGCTGAGTGTTGGACCCACACTGCAGATACACATAAGTACACTGGTTACTATGGCAATATGGCAGAAAACATATTATGCTTTTTATTCAGGTATTTAGTGTTAAGTTATAACATATATAAATTATTATTTCCTTTTTTTTTTATTGTAAACCACATTATTGATCTAAAATGACCTAATAATAGAAAGAGCTCAAATGACTTCCTGTTGGAAACTGCAGAAGAGACAGACCCTCTTGTCTTTTCATGCTGGCATTTCACTGTAGCAACCCATGGATTTTCATGTACCCTGCCAGTCAAACGTTTTAGAACACCACACTTTTTCCAGTTTTTTTTACTCTTTACTGCTCACCAAAACATATTCTAAACTTTTGATTCATGAAAGTGTCCACCTTTGGCAGGTATAACAGCTGAACACACTCGTGACTCGTTCTTTTTACAATAGAAGTCAAATACTCTTCAGAAAGTTCTTCCCAAGTCTGTTGCAGAAGTTCCCATAAATATGTGGCACTTGTGGGTTGCTTGACTTTTACTTTTCTGTCCAGTTCATCACAAAACCAGCTCAGTGCAGTTTAAGTCTGGAGACTTGGCTGGACACTCCACGTTTTCAAGCTCACCATTTTGTTCTTTTTTCATGAGGTAGTTTTTGGCAGAGCTTGGACTTCTGTTTTGTTATCTTTTATCTTTTTTTTAACCTCTGGATGTTCAGTATTTACCTTTGAACCATTTCAAGCTATTCGCTGGCCTTGCACAACTTGAGTTGCAATAAATAACAGGAAAAATTAGGGTGTTCTGTGTTGTTACTATTGAAAAATGGTTGTGTGACCTGTTTGAATCCTATATGTATGACCAAGAATCAGATTTTTGAATAATCTCAGGTAAATACAGAGCAGTGAGTGGAGATTGTGGGTGAGTCAAAACAGGAACTCAAATGCAAGACTGCTTTTACTGTTTGGAACATTGAACTGAGCATGTATTATTAAGTTTTGTTTATTATTATTGATTTATATTTTTACTCTTTGTTATTATATTGTGATATGTGAGCTACTGTTTCCAAATAATTTCCCTTGTGGATCAATAAAGTTTGTCTAAGTCTAAGTCTGTCTGTTTATGAAATATGCAATACAACTAAAGTGGATGGTTAAAGACAGGTAAAAGCTCATGAAAGTAGATTTTAAATAATCTATGCCCTGTTTCATTAAAACATAAAGTACCATGTAGTTGAATATTGACAGAGAAGCATTTAACCTGGTTTGTAATGACATCCAACTCAATGATACATCCAGGCCTGGCTGTAGACTGTTGGCTCACAATGTTGAACACTTCGCCCACCAGTTTCTAAACAAGAACACAACAGTTACTTTACATGTACACAGAACATGTAGGTGCAGTCTGATGGAAAATAAGTTAGAAAAAGAAAGTTAAATTTTCTGACTTGAAAGTGCAAATGACAGGTTAGACTACTAATTTTACTATAACTATATAAGTTAACATCACTGTATTCAAGATTTATATTTACGTTTTTTTTTTTATTTTAGAGGAGTATATAATTTAACTTCCTGGTTAGACATGGGCAGCAGATCTGACATACGAGGTACTGTATGGCGATACAATACTCATCATGATATGCCTGTCACGATTCAATATATCCCGATCCTATATCCTGATAGTAAAACAAATGACGAAATATTGTGACTTTCAATAATTATATATAATATTTTGGTCAAGTATACATTCACAAGAACAAAATTTTATGAAATACTGTTTATTTAATTTTTAAATCATGAGAAAGAAAATTAAATTGAACTTATTAATTTTTCATGAAAAACATGACTTCTAAAAATCGACACATTTTGAATCGGTATAAGAATCGCGCAATGAAGTATCGTGATCATGAATCAATATTTTCTTCCACTCCTACGAGCTACTGTAATTAAAAAACAGTTACCTAGCAACCATAATGTTAACATGGGTCAAAACATACTTAACTTGCTTGATATTTATGATTAGACTAATAAAAAATAAGGCAAAACAGCTTTATTTTGTCAAAAGAAGGTTCAAATTGCCAAAAAAACACACTCATGTATAGATTGTCCCTGGATTTTGGTATTTTGTATTTTCCTTGAGAATGGATACAAATCCAGTTTATGTTTTATTTAATCCACAAACTAAACTAATGTAAATTTATGTTACACATTTACCACAGATACTATTCCACCAAACCATTAGAAAACTAGAAAAACATGCAAACATGCTGTCATATGTACTTAAGAGTATGATTTATATACAGGAAGAATAATGGTGCAGATTCAATATGACCAACTCACAGAGGTTTCTGGATCCGACAACTCGTCTAGTAGTTTCCTGGCATCCACCACAGCTTGGTAGAGGCGGAGATTTTTTCCATCTGAAGCTACGAAGCAGGCACTGGCACTGTTACAGTAAGTCCCTGATGGAGGACAGAAGTGAAAAGTTTAATCAGCGTCCTACTTTGTAAGCATAAATTAGCTACTGTTAGAACTCGGTGTATGAATGCACAAGTATCTGACTCAAAATCTCACAAAGGCAGAACAAGAAGGCTGTCAGTAGTTCACATTGTTACTGCTTATTTATTAAATTGTACATCTTGACGAACTCTCAGCACACACAATTGGCTTATTAATAGTCCCCCTTCAATGGCAACATGAGACTGCAAAATCCATACTATGAAATACTGTTCCAACTACAGGATTAGTCTATTTTAGGTCAGTGAGGTGTGCCACTGTACCCAGGGGCAAACCCACCCAGACAAAGGAATGCCATTAAAATATTCACTTTCTAAAAATATTAAAGCTACCTGTAATTAGACTGGCCAACCTGCCCCTGTTGTATTCTCACATATCACTTCTAGATGCTATCTACGCTGCTGCAGTCTGACAGTCAGAGAGCGCAGGTGAGACTTAACAAAGGCCGGGGGGAATTCACTTATATGAATGAACAAGAGGAGGGGGGGACAGGATTCAAATCTGTCATCTACTTGTGAAAAAAATCAAATACAAATGGATGGTAGTTATAAATGAATTCCTTTATATGGATTAATTTAGTATAGTCTCCATCACAACATTTGATTAATTCTGCAAACTCTAAAATGGGACTTGGCGCTGAACTGCAGATGGAAAGTAGCAGCAGCTAAATCTGGTACAAAGCATCTTTTTGTTTGTAAGATTAATGAATTTGTACATGGGTGTCTCAAAAAAATGACATAATTTCACAGACCAATAATTTTGAAAATTCTTAAATAACCTCAAATTTTCACAGAATGTATAGAAACAGATCAAGACCTGATATTTAATCTTTTATTTTTGCTCTGTTTTCAGGTTGAACCGTTCACTGCCAAAGAGAAATTATTTTGCATCTTGGAATATGCTCGCACACAGTCACCCAAGACTGTGTAGCCTTCAATGCAAAATTTGGAAAAAACTTCACCAAGTAGCAAAGAGATTTGGACTTGGTACAAAAAATTTAAAGAGAAAGGCGGCTTATGCAAAGCTAAAGTTAAGCAAGATCGTGAAAAACTATTGTGAAACCCCAAGAAGTCCATAAGGAGAACAAGTTTAGAAACCCAGATTCCAGTTTGGCGGTTATGTGTGTATACTATAGTTTTTTACTGTTTTTGTTAGTTTGATGTTCCTGCCCACCAAAATCAAATTGTTCCACACTGTTATGCTTATCTAACAGAGAAAACTATCAGTGGACATCACCATCTACAGCGCACACACAAAGGAATAGTTATGTTTCATTTCAGTTGCATCATAACTATCCATTTTCAGCATAAAATCCATAAAAATCTTTAAAGATGCACTATGTAACATTTTGGTTGGGGGGCCTGTCGCCTGCTTGTTTCTATGAAGATGTCATTGCTCTGCCTGGAATGTTCCACAACATGACATTAAAGAGCTCTATCTTACATTTACTCAATTACACGTGATTTTACTGCTCAAAAATATCTAGAAAAACAGGCATTCGAACTGAGAGTGGGATTGCCTCTACACAGATCTGACCTGTAACTTGGTCTGGTTTGGTTTCCACGAAGATAGAAAGATTTAATGACATACTGTGAAACATTCCAGACACAGAAACAGCACATCCATGAAGCATCTGAAGGACCCTCCATAAGAAAAGTTGCACAATGCACCCTTAAATTATTAATGCACCCACATAAAAATACATCAACATGTTTACCAAGGACTGTGCTGGGGACGAGAGTGGGCAGCCACGCCACGTTGCTGAAGGCAGAGGTGTGGAGAGAGTTGATGCGGGCGAGTTCAGAGACCCCCCCAGTGCAGGACAGGGGCCCGATGTGGTCCACCCTCCACAGGATCAGTTCACTGTAAATGGCATTCGGGTCATGGAAGGTGCGAGTAGCTGCATTACGAAGCTGCTTCCTGGAGGGACAAAAATAGCTCTGCTTCAGTGTCTTTCATTATTTATGAGTTGTTGTATTGTGTTGCAAAATGCTAAAAGTGTCTCCATTGTGTTTGCCCCAATCATCTTTTCAGAGTCAGAGTAGCTCCAAAGTTTTCCAATTGAATTTAAGATGTCACGACCAGCCTGTCAACAACTGCTGCTCAAAGGCGCTCAGAGCAAAGTCAGTTAAATTCATTAACATATGAAAAAAGATGATGATTTGAACAACAAAGCTGCATTACCTGATTTTCAAACTGCAAAAGAAGGAAGTAGAAATTTAAAACTAGTTCTGGTATTGACCACTATCGACTCAGTCAATCATAGTGTTGCTTACATCTCTTTCTTTCAGGTTAGTATGTCGCAAAAATAGATACTAATTTTGAGCTGCTTTTATAGTATACTCCATGGGGGAAAAGCAAAAAAAATAAATATTTTATATTGGCATACATCGTGACTACCTCGAGCATTAAGCTTCCAAATCAACATTCAAAAGGCTGAACTCACTATGGTGCATTATTATGTAACACTGACACTAAAATGTGGTTTCCCAACGTTTTAAAGCAATATTCAAAACCATATGTGTATTTCTTTTTATCTCTGCTTCCATGTACCTGGGCAGTCCTTTGGGTATTGGCAGCGTAGGCGGTTGCTCGCCCTCCATGCTGCCAGGTGCAGAGGGCGGGGTCAGCAGGGCGTTGTGATGTGACGAGGTGAGCAGCAGGGGGAGCACTGTGTGGCAGGACTGGTCGTTCAGGTGGAATCGGTGACCACAGTAACGAAACTTATGAGACACGTTGAGCACGTTTGAGAAGGCCGAGCACTCTGCAAATGTCACCGCCCACTGCACACACAAAGAGGAAGTTTAGAGTCTGCACTTCAGCATTCACTTTTTCAGTTACATCATAATATTATGTACTAAGGGTGAGTATTCAATTTTGATCTAACATTAGAGCTATTATCTCTATGTTACTGTATTACCAGGCCAGCTTGGAGTCACCATACCTAGCAGCAGAGGTGGAGCCAGACAGTTTTGAAGCTATGGGGGTACTAAGGTCTTCAATGGGGGTGCACACTTGCTAATTTAGAGTCTTATATGGATGTGAGCGCACCCCCATCCACTACCATGATTGCTTTGTTGTTTTATACAGGTTTAAATGTAGTTAGTCCAGTAGTCATTTATAACCTCTAAAATGAAATAATTGTTTTATTGTAGTTTCATTTTGAACTCTCTGTGGTTGTGATTTGGGCATTCTTAGTCAAGATTGAATGTCAAATGAAAATTGTACAAAAATCTATGGGGAAGCTATTCGGAGCATTTAAAGAGGAATTAGAAATACTAATAACATGATTAAAAGCTTAATTTGTATTGTAATGTCCTTTAAAATTAGACTTAAAATATGCAGGTACAGGTATCAATGTCGAAAAACAGTTATTTTTCAATTATCAGTATTGGAAAAAAAGAAAAAAGTCAAACAGTACCAAGCCCTAGTTACACGCTTCCCCCAGTTCTTTGAAGCAGGTGTTATTTTTAAACTACACTATGACATAAAACTCCTCTCAGTGTCCTGACAGCACATTTTTGATTTATTGCGTTCATTGACCTGGTTGAGGGATCCGTCCACGTGCTTGGAGACCATCATGACTGCGGGGCTGGTGATGGGCTGGGAGCTGGAAGGGTTCATGCCCAGTGAAGTGAGCCCGGCGGAGGCTGAGGCAGAGCGGGGCAGGCGCTGTGTGCTCCTCCCCTGCTCCCCGGTCCCACCGCTCTCCCCCTCTGTCAGAGTGTAGGCGTACATCAGAATATTTTTACTCAGAGAGTTGGCGTCGCCGGTGGGAAATGCCACAGGAATACGAGAGGAGAAAGAGACCTGAAGGAGTGAGAGAAAGTAAAAACGTGTTATCAAATTATTAGATTACTGCTTGGACAAAGTAGCTCAGACAATACAGGTACAATACAGACAACAATATAGTAAATATAAAATTTATCTTGATGTTTTGTCTTAATTTTAAAAGAAAATAACAAAATAAGTGCATTGCTCAAAAAATAAAAACAGATATAAGGTTCTAAAATATATGAAAGTCTGTAAATATACCTTTTAACCTCTGGTTTAACAGATATATAAGATATATATTTTCATCTCTATATATATTTATTTGATTTTGTCACACATAACGTATTAGAGCAATCTTTTAAAATTAACTTCACCATTGGATCCACAAGAGAGAGAGCATCTCAATCTCTGGGTAAAAATGTATAATTTTGTACATTTTTATAGCTATATTCCTAGTTTCTAATCAATCAGATTTGTATGCATATAGCTAAGACAAAGATACACATTGCAAATCAAAGCCAATTCAAGTTTCACTTTCCTCTCAATTGTACTTTCAGTTCCTTTTTATCATGTATGAATCTGCACCATCACCTCTACTCCAGTCTTCAAGAATCAAAAATACACAACTGAAACTCATGGGGCTTAAAGGGCCCATATTAACCTACTTCTGACCTATGTTATAATGTTCCCTCATCAAAACAAACCTAGAGGTGTGTTTTGTTTCATTTACAAATGTTTAACACACAAAACCTGCATATTTAGGCTAAGTTCTTCTCTCAAACAGAAAATCTTGTTCCTTATTACAGCAGAAAGGGCACGGCATGGAAATTGCTGTCTTTTTTACAAACTAATATGCAGTTTACCAGTACTTTTCTTGTATGTGCACTTGATGTCATATATTGTTGCATAATATACATATCTGAAATCTTTTGCTAATTCCAAGCCCCAAGTCTTAAGTCAATTACAGCCCTGGAAATATCACACCACTCACCTGAACCTGTCTGAAAATGCCCTGGTTAAACTCGTCCAGATACTTGACGTGCCACACCAGAAAAGAGCCGTCCACCGGGTGAATGGTGAAGAGCATGTCAGGACTTTTGTTCCACTCGGTCATCAGCGTCTCCATCTTCCTCTCCAGGAGCATAGAGGGCAGGGGCAGGCTGGAGCTGGAGCCTGGGGACGAGGCTTTGGTGCTGCCCTGCTCCCCTGGCTCTGTCTCCTCTCCGTGCTCAGAGGACGCTTTGTCAGACATCTCATCTAGATCTATGTAGAAGGAGACAAGAGCATTAAGTAAGGATTTCATAGTTTTGGTTTGTATTTGTCAACAACATTTTGAGATTTTGCGTTTAGGTCTTTGAGTGGTTTGTCTTTCAATATTTCATATGTAAATTTGTAGCAAAAAGGCTTCTAAAGGTAGTCCACCATAAAACGTTAGATAATTAAATGTTTTTATTATTATTTCAACTTTGTATATGAGACTGGTCCCTACACTGAAGAGCACGAAAAGGACAATTCTGCACAATCTCTGAATATCCTTGTAGCACTCCTGCCCCCTAACATTTTGCATTAAAAAGACAAACTGGTAAAATTTATATTCAAATGTTTGTTTTGAGGAATTGCAAAATTAGATAACTGAAAATATATGTTCTTAAATAAATAAACAGGACTGCAAAAAGAGCTGATAAAAAGAATAAATAAAACAGTCACAGTGTAATCTTTGAAATTAGGGTATTAAGTAGCAAAATGCTGATAGATTTCTATAATACTGCCCAGTATCAAAAAGTACTTATTGTTAAGGATAGTCTTTGCTGTCTGTCATAACTGTGTCATGAAATATTAATGTGCACTAAGAGGCAGAGTATTTGCTTAGATTAGAATAGGCAATGGTGTTTTTTTTGCTGTAAGTGATATTTTAGTCATACCAAATTCAAATTTCATAGGGGATCCGTCAGGGTCTAGCGGGTCGTCAGTGGCTTGTTCTAGATGGTGCTCCGTAAACTTGCGGAGCTGCAGCATAAACAGGTCCATAGAGGAAGTGAAGCTTAGGTCCTTATTGTTGAGCCAGTGCACCACGAAGCCCCCGCCCCCAGAGCCATCATCAGAGTTAAACGCTGCAGCATCTGCCAGGGACGGAATATCTGAGGAAAGACACAAAACCAAGTGAAGGGCATGTTTGTAATAAGACATATTATTCATGTATTCAGTGATAAGCTATTACATCTGGAGAGCATGACTTCACTTTTTTTTGGCATTTGCTTCACTAATTCTTTCATGTATAAGGCTTATACTTTGAAGAAAAATAAACATTTGTGCAAGCGCCTTAGCAAACTGGGTGGGGATAAAGAGAAGGTGAAAGTAGACATTTTCAGACCGCAAAACTTACAAATGCAGAGCAATACAGAAGCACTCAAACATGAATCACTCAAAATACAACTTCTAGTACCTGTGTTTGGGTTAATACTGGCGGAGATGTGGAAGTGGCAGAGGGCGTTGCCGTGGTGTGCCAGGTGCCTGTGCGTGTGCGGGTCGTGGGTGCCGAGCTGAGAGGGCAGCAGCTCACTGTGGGTGACGAGAGCAGAGGACCGCCTCCGGCCTCTGCGCAGGTGCTTCAAGTGGTGGATCGACTGCAAGAACATAAACATGTAAACTCAAGTGGCTGTACCTATCTTTTTCAATGTAGTTCAGCACAATTTGTTTAGCCCCAACATAGATACAGGGTAAAGTCACAATGAGACTGCAGTTTTTATCACCCAAGAGGGATCTGCCGCCTATTCCGACATCCCTTCATTACAACATGTCTCTATTTATACGTGCCGGTTTTCCGACACTTTTTAGTATCACTATTCTAACACGTCATATGGTGTCTCCGCAGATCGCATACATGACAAAACGAATGAAGCACAAAGGGCCCATGCAGCCTCTCTTTCAGATTAGGTACTTTCCCGAAGGTTGGCCTATGCTCTTTTTTAAAATGCATGACTGTTTCACATGGCTATCAGTTAGGACATTTTCCACTGTGTGATATCCTGTGGCCAAAGTATTCTCTGATCAAGTGTCTTATGATATATGGGAGCACAAAGTATAATAGGCTATAACATTAACATTATTCATGCCGGAAAAGTGGAATGTTTGAAAAATAGTAATGTGCTGCTACTCTCACAATGAAAAAAAAATTTAGAAGTAGTGGGAAGCTTGAAAAATAACGTTTATGTCTCTACTCCAACTAGATGTCAATGTCAACATCTAAACAGCAGCATGAAACCCATTCAAGAAGTGCGCTGTTAGCATGCTAATGTGTGTTAGAATTACACTGACAACAAAATTTGGCTCTGGCAACTGGAAGTTGTGAAAAGTGTTTGTAACTTCACGGCAGCCATTTTGGTAGGCAAAAAGAGTCCGTATCAGCAAGTCAACATCAGCAGTACAACATTAACATCGTCAACAGTTATCAGCGAGGTTTATCTTTTCAAAGTAACGTTTTTGATCCTCAACACATCACTTCACAAGATGATGAAGTCATGTCAAAACAATTAAATGCAAAACCTACATCAAAATAAGAGGAGTTGTCTCATGACAGACATACGCTACGCAGCTGTCAACACAAACGAGCGGCCCCACTGACTTTTTGCCTACCACTGTGCATGTGCAGAAAAGCAAGATGTAAACAAAAACAACAATTTCTCATATTTAGACGCTAAAAATAGGAAACCTTTTCAAAAAACTACCAGTAGTTCTGTTTTTCACCTTTTTTCAGACTGCAAGAATCAGGTATTGTGTTTAATGGTCAAAAGTGATGGGGAAGGAATATCAATTTCTGCCATATAACACACCTCCAAGGCATGTTGTATTTTGTCCTTCCCTCCGAGCCCAGGCAGACTGGAGCTGTAGGACTGTGAGTTCTCAGAAATCTGCCCCCCGAGGAGACTGTCCTCTGGGAGCAGGGTCTCAGACCACAGCCGGCACACACCATCCTCACACGACGTCAGCAGGACATTGCACACAGAGCCCCTGGAAAAAAACAAACCAAACAGGTGTGCAATTACAGTACAGTGTTATACTTAACACATATACTTAAATAGAACAAAGCTGGATCTTCCCTTTATGATTTTATCTTGATCTATGTCAGAATAAGTATAAAACCATATGGTGAAATTAAAGTTACACTATGGAACTTTTCTAGTGGAGACACAGCCATAAGCTTGTCTCAAAGAAGATGTTATTGCTTTGCCTAAAATGTTACAGGTCAGATCAGTGGAGAAGTGACTATGTTCACAGTAAGAAAGCATATTTTTCATGTGAGCAAGAAGAACTGTCTAAATTGAATAAATACAAGACAAGTTCAATGTGGAATACTGTGGAAACACTAGTATACCAGGCAAAGCAATATCATCTCCATGGAGACAAGAAGAAAAGTTACACAGTGCAGTTTTTAAGAAACTACTATTATGTATTACTGAAATTACATAGATTTTACATATAAAACAAGAGAGCAATTTGTGTGTGTAACGAGCCTTTTTCTTTTTGAGGTGGAAATTCCTAACAATACTACGTTCCTAACAACACTACTAAAAAATGCAGTAAAAATGCAAAAACGTTTGAGTTGCATTAATCTATCTTTATCTTAGTTTAAGGCGTTTCCTTACTTGGGCATAAACTTGCTGGTCTTCCTCCAGGACATCCCAGTGACCGATCGGGGATGTGCCAGATAAACGAAGGAGAAGTGCACAGAGGCAGCCTTTTTATCAGACGGGTCCTGGACCACCACAGCGGAGCGCCACCCGGTGGACGGGTACCACACTTTGAGTAAACAGTCATCCTAAGACAAAGCAGATCATTAGCACAAGAATTAAAATCAAATTAGGCACAAATAGCTTTATCCAAGAGATGCTTCCTGGTTTTGGTTAATGCTGTTGCTAACTGAGCTCGGTAAAAGCTTAGATAATGAGCGTGTGTGTGTGTGTGTGTGTGTGTGTGTGTGTGTGTGTGTGTGTGTGTGTGTGTGTGTGTGTGTGTTTGTGTGTGTGTGTTGACTCTGCAGATGCTTAACACCAATAATCTGACAGAAAGGAGTTCTATTACCTCCATAATGCCCATGTTACACAGTAAATGGTAAACAAAGAGCAAGAGTAACGCACGCTGCTTGAATACATTAGCAGTTCAGTTTGGTCTTATTTTGTGTTTTTATATTAACGATCGCTATGATTACAGTAAGTGAATTTGAATCTTGTCAGCTTTAAGCCATGTGATAATGTTGTTACCTCATCAAAAAGCTACCTGGAGTTGTGTTTTGCGTCATTCACACATCTGAGTAATCCTTTATTATTTGTCTATCTGCATTCCCAAAGCTCAAAATTCTCTGTTCAACTTTGCGATGCTAAGAAGCCATCATTTTCAAGTTAACAGCTCCCTTTAAGCTCTAGTTCAGTAGAGATTAGTAACTACAGGGCTGAAATCATCCAAACAATTCTAGTGAACATCTATGGATTTCCTGCATTACCACATGACATGACAAGGAGTGTTTTCTGTTTGAGAGAAGGACTCACATGAAATATGCAGGGTTCATGTGTTAAACATGTGACTCAAACAAAACACAACTCCAGGTATGTTTGTGATGAGGAAACAACATTATAACATAGATCAGAAAAGAGCCTAATATTGACCCTTAACATTTTTAACCAACAGCAATAACCAGAATAGAGCTAGAAACTATTATAAAAATGCATTATAATATACTAATCAATTATGTTTTTCAATTCTATTTTTTGTCTCATTAAAAACAAATAAAAATTGTTTAAAGTAAAAATTTCTGAACATAACAATACACACTCTTAATCATCACCATTTAACAAAAAATGTTCTTCCTCCAAAGTTTGAACTCTGCTCCAAACCACACCTTTAATCAATCAATCAAACTTTATTTACAGAGCACTTTTCATACAAAAAAATGCAACACAAAGCCCTTTACTAACAGGGGATTGGTTATAGACCTCTCCATTAAAAAGACAAAATCTGATAATTGACGATTAGATATGACTGAATCTCGATCAATTTTAATTAAAACTTTATTAACTACACTGTCTTAACTAAGCTACCCAGTCCAGCAGCTGGGATAATGCCATAATAATCATACCTTTCCAACTGTAGCGAAATATTCCCCATCTGGAGACCACTTGGCGACATGAATAGACGCAGCAGTTCTGAGAAAAACACAGTGGAAAATAAAATATTAATTAACAGTTTGATGGCCAATATCAGTATATATATATTTTTAAATCAACCAGAGATCAAGTAATACTATGGCAAATGGTGCAATCTTGACTCAGTTTTGTATTAAAATGCAACTTTAAAAAAAAAATAGACCTACTATTATTTATTACCTACCTACATTTACACTCCACCCCGCCTTGAACTGATCTAAAAATGTAATATATGTGCAGATAAACTAGAAAGAAAAACACCACATTTTAAAAAGAATATATGAAGAGTTAATTTGCAAAAACAGATAAGTGCCATTTGAAAAAGTCATTGGAGGCTTGTAGTTTCCTCTTTAGATTTTCCAAAAGCCAAATCTATTTACATTAGTGTCATTGCTAGTATCTCTAGAAGACAGTGGCAAAAAGAAAACCACTTTTTGGCATTTTTTTCACAACAGAGGCAGCTGTTTTTGCTCCAGTACTTTCTGATACCTCAGTCAGTAATGATTTATTAATATTTTGGTATGAAACCGCCATCACTGTTCCCCATTGCTATACTCATTGTCATCTAGCTTTCTATTTTCACTTCTTCTCTTCATCCGTTTGTGCTGTTGGCTGTTGTTTGGTGAGTGTGTGTTTTGTGTTGCTGATATTGGAGGTTGCACTTCCTTCTCTGTGGCTTCAGTTATTCATGTGTCATCAGGTGACAATTAGCAGTACGCTTTTATGTGTTTGTTTGGTAATGAGAGCGTGCACAGAGCGGACAAAAGCAAACAGGGGACCTCTATTGTGGCTAACTGGCTATTCAAAGAGAAAAAAGAGAAGGGCATGGAAAAACTGAGACACAGATCTGCAAGTCTATAATGTGTCCAAGTCATTTTGGTTCAGCAGAAACAGATAACAGATAACATTATATTCGTGTTAGGCTGCATAAAGGGAATAATATTGAAGCGACTGGTAAAAAAATAATAATTATGGAACTTTTAAAAGGCAGGAAGTGAAAATATTACATTGTCCTCCATTGTTTTTATAGATAAGTGTGATTTCAAGATAATAACACACTTAATCTAATAATTATTATAACATTTCCGCATTGTAACTTATTATTTGAATAGTTACAATGCGGTTAATTAACCCAGGAAGATAATTGTAATACCTGGACCTGAAATGCCGGTTTTAAAGGTGCATTGCGCAACTTTTCATCTGCTTGTCTTTATGGAGATGTTATTGCTTTGTCTAGAATGTTCCAGGGTAGAGATTGAAATCTAACCTAAATCTATTTCAAGGGAGACAACTATACTGCCCTACAAAGGCACAACTTTGTAACAACATGTTTGGTCAAAAATGAGTTAATATTATTTTGGGGGTATTTGAGACCTTCTTTATCATGTGAACAAACACTGTGACAAATATTGAGCTCAAAATTGCCCTTTGACCCTTATTTGTCAGTTCCTGTGCTCTGCCTTTGTGTCATGTGCCAAAAATAAGGAGTCATGCAAAGGCAAAAGGCAGTAACAGTGTATGTTTTGTTTGTGAGTTAGTTAATAAATAAATTTTATTTGAAATCCAACCTCTTGCCTCCTTCTTTTTGTTGCGGTCTTGGCACAGGGTCTTAACACATTAAATAAATATACCTTTGTATTCAATTATACTTAAATTATCTTGTGAAAGTATTGTGTGTGTTTATTTATACTTATAAATATACTTTTATACATACTATACTCCAAAGTTAAACAAAGTCTTGAACTGTATAAGTGTTCCTGCACGATCCTGATCAGCACTAAATAAGAAATCCAAAGCTCCATGAAGACTAGACCTTGGTGAGGAGTTCTTATAATGGATATAAGTCTGGTGAAAATCAAGCAAATAATAATAATGTTACAGAGTACAGGAACCCCCAAACAAGGGTCAAAGGGCAATTTTGAGCTCAATATTTTTACCTACAAATATTTCTTCATTATAGCAACTACTTGTCAAATTTTGGGAGCCCTACCTATTATACTTTTGTCTGGACAAAACAGCTGTGAAGTCAGTTTCTCAAGTTAAGGTCTTTTGCCTTTGTAGAGCAGTATGGGCTGTGGACAGGCACCTCTACTCACAGAGCGAATGTTGGTGTTTTTGATCCATTGAAACACCTGTAATGAATAAATGCTACATAGATGCGTTTAATGTAATTCCAGGCAAAGCAATAACACCACAGACCCTCCGCCATAAAAGTTGGGCAAAGCACTTTATATCTGGCTAGACAACTCCTTTTTAATTGACCCTAGAAAAAAATCCGGCACACTGTATTACTTGTAAAATGTGAAATTTCTTAGGACAAACAGACCTTCATCAGGGAAAGAGGCCTAGTGCCGAAACGGTGCACTGTTTGTCCTAATAAATCTCATATTTTGCAAGTAAGACGGTGTGAGGGATTTTTCTGTATGTTCTTGGGCTGCTCCCTCTCCTCCAACGAACTCGTCTCAAGTAATTGATGTGCAGAGTTCTCTCTTTTTTTAAAAACTGACCTTAAAACAAACTTTGATCAAAGGTGGAGAGTTACTGCATTGATTGAACACACAAAATCAACAAAGTCACATAGAGGAGACTGTAGTTTTTAGACACTGTGGGATATTTTTAGCCAGTCAAAGAAAGTGTCTGAAATACAGAATACTTTGAAGTGAATAATTAAACAGTACAATAGTAAATAGCTCCATACTTGCACTGCCAGACACAGTTCCAGTCGTTGAGGACGGGGTGGTGTTTGTCGTCTGTGGCCTGACCGTCCTCTTCCTCGATCAGAGCGTCTGCGAGGGGAGGGGCCCACAGCTGGAGCCTCTCTGTGGCTGCTAGGATACGGTTCCCTGAGCACAGATACACACCAGGTCACGCACACAGTACTATAACTACTACTAATACCACAACTGCTGCAGCTGCTACTACGACTACTACTGCTAATACTATATCAATAACTGCTGCTACTACTACTACTACTACTACTACTACTACTACTACTACTACTACTACTACTACTACTACTACTACTACTACTACTACTACTACTACTACTACTACTACTACTACTACTACTACTACTACTACTACTATTACTGCTACTACTACTACTACTGCTACTTCTACTACTACTACTAATATCACAACTGCTGCTGCTGCTACTACAACTACTACTGCTAATACTATATCAATAACTGCTGCTACTACTACTACTACTACTACTACTACTACTACTACTACTACTATTACTGCTACTACTACTACTACTGCTGCTACTACTACTACTACTGCTACTACTACTACTACTACTACTACTACTACTTCTACTACTACTACTTCTACTACTACTACTACTAATACTACAACAGCTGCGACTACCACTACCACTATGATTATGACTACTACTACAACTATTACTACAGCTATTATTACTACTACTATTACTGCTACTTCTACTACTACTACTACTACTACTACTACTACTACTACTACTACTACTACTACTACTACTACTACTACTACTACTACTACTACAATTATTACTACAGCTACTACTACTGCTACTACTACTATTATTACTACTACTATTACTGCTACTTCTACTACTACTACTACTACTACTACTACTACTACTACTACTACTACTACTACTACTACTACTACTACTACTACTACTGCTGCTGCTGCTGCTGCTGCTACTACTACTACTACTACTACTACAATTATTACTACAGCTACTACTAATACTACAACAGCTGCAACTACCACTACCACTATGATTATGACTACAACTACTACTTCTGCTACTACTACTACTGCTACTACTACTACAAGTATTACTACAGATATTACTACTGCTACAATTATTGCTACTGTTATTATTACTACTACTACTGTTGCTGCTACTACTACTATTACTACTACTACTAATACTACCACTAATACTACAACAACTGCGACTACCACTACCATTATGATTATAACTATGACTATTACTACTACTACTATATTACCACTACTACAATACTGTCTGCTTACTACTGCCTCAAGTACACTATATACTATCAATGTTTCAGAATATACATGCAAATATAAGATGTAAATATGTAAACTTAAGGCAATGATTAAAACACATATCAACAAAGTATTTTTTCATCAAAATCAAAAAATTTAGACTTGTTCTTGAGCCATTTCAGCTGTAAAGTCCTATTCTTGTCCTGGTTTAATCCTGATCTAGTCCAGGTTTAGTTCCAGGAAATTTAAGTTGTTTAAGTCCATGAAACAGACAGAAATTGAGTCATCACAGAGCAAAAAAACAAGAGCTATGTATGTAACTGCAGTTCCGTGAATTCTGGATCATCGCCAGAGGGGTCAGGTAGGATGAAATAGAATATATAGCACAGAAATGGAAATGCTGTTTACCTGCAACCACCAAACACACACCTACACATTATGGAAGCAGAAAATATAATGTATAATACTGGGATTTTGTGTGTGTACTTATTTGGCGGTTCACAAAACATATTAAAAGCTCCAGACTTTTAACAATCGATACATTCAATAGAAGTGTATTACGAGCAGTGCGTCGCCAACAGCAGTAAACACAAAACCAGTGAGGCCCTGACAAAGATTTATTACAAGTGAAGCCAATGGATCAAGACCACTGCAGTTCTGGTGCATGGAGTAAAGGAGGAGCTGCATGGACTCTCATTAAAATACTATAGCTCACATTGTTCCAGTAATTAGTCCTGTAATGGGTTAAGAAGGCCTTTATTCTATCTCAGTATAAAAGCCTTTAATGGGGTATATTTTACAGCAGACTATTAGTCAGAGAGACAATCAGTCAAAATAGGTAATAAAATACTGTATATGTGCTAAATGTGCAAAAAGAGATGTCCATAGAGATGCATTTAGCCAAATATGTTTTTTAAGTTTACAAAGGAAGTGTGAAAAAACCTCATAAAATGCTGGATCACTACTGGTAAGAACACACTGTGGTGTCAAAATACTCTATCTTTAGCATTTAGTATCTTTGGTTTAACGTTAGACTAACAAAAAATGTTATGAGGTATGATAACACACTCTCCATCTCTATTGGTAGTAAAACAAATCATAAAAAATGTCATGAGTAACAACATTTTAACGTTTTATCTAGTTCATCTCTATATCCAGGATTCATAGAAACATAATTATCTTTGTAAGTTTTTAGTATTATGAAGCAAACACAAATTATACTTGTCAATAAAGGAGTAGATATATACTAGTACATACAGGTGTGGGTATTTTTATGCTTATACTTTTCGCTTTTACTATCAGTGACTATTGGAGCTATTAGAGACAAAAATTTCCAAACATGTAAATCTGTCACGATGACAAATTATAAATCACGATATACTGATGAAGAAAATATAGACGATAAATGATAATACTGAAACTAATTATGCAACTCACACAATAACTTTAGAGAGCAATTATCCCCCCAAAAATATTCTAAAATTATACAATGGTTAAAAACATGAGCTGCAATAAATAAAGAGCAGAATGAATCACTTTAGCAGTTAGTTTGTATCTATAATGAGTCATAGAAATTATTTATTTGACCCTTCACAGCTTAAGTTTAACTAAAAGTTCCACACTTGTACTAACAAAATACGCCCACATAGACCCCAGAAAATTATTGTTCCATCTGTCATACATTGAATGATAAGTCGATATAGTAATTATCAGGCCTACTAACACTCAGCAAAAATCGACTTCCGCTTATCTGTTTTTGGGAGAGTCTTACAGCCGTGTAGACAGGATCACTTTTGTTTATTATCTCCAGGCTCTCGCTGTTTCCAACTCACATAAAGAAGAATCAAGCAAATGGCTTTTTGGCACAGGATTCTCATCAGGTAAAAGGCTCTGAAGCTCGAGGGAGCCATTTTGCGTAAGGAGTGGCAAGTGATTGGTTAAAGATTTTCAATGACATAGCTTTATCTAACAGCGTATTTTGACACCAGTGCACTCTCTCTTGATGAGATGAACAATTTTACTTTTTGAATATAAAAAAAGTGTTTGGTCCTTTGAAATTTGACTTTCAAAGGACCAAGGACTATTTCAGTCTTATTCACTAAAAGCAAAGTGAATAAGAGTGAAACGACTTTGGCAAATGTCTTCAAATTCAAAAACAAGCACGGCACAAGTGGACTAATGGACTACTAAAAATCATTTAATGTTGAATTTTAATACAGTAAGAGCTAAGGCCTTTTCAAAAAACAAATCTTCAAACTAACTCATTCAGTGAGGTGAAGGCTGATGTGTTGACCAATGACACGACAGAAATACGGAGCACTTGAAGGTGAGTTTGATTTTTTAATGAAATGAGCTTTTTTTTGAACATTTTTACAATTAAAAAAATAAGAGATAAAACATAACCATACTAGTGATGCAACGATCCAGCTTTTTTCCATTCTGATACTGATCCCAGTACTATAGCTTTAAATATCTCTCTGTAACGATATCAAACGATACCAGTGCAGACTTAAAACTACATGTATTTCCTCTAAAACAAAAATAAAAAAAGACAAAACTGACCGAAATGTGTTATGTAGTTGTTATTTATCCCTCAAGTAACTACACAACAGCTTTGTTTAAATAAAAGATCAAATATTGAGACTTTCTGTGCTCATTACCAGGCCCATCAAGAGAAATTTGGGGCCTGGGGCAAGAAGCCTTACAAGGGTGCGCCTTTAATATTAATGAAGGTCCAATTCTAGTCCCCTAAAACCCCACCCCCCCGTCTACAACCAGTACATAGTCTTATTACATCATTTATGTCCAATCAGGATATCGAATTAATGATATTTGTTCATCCAGCAATATTTTTCAGGTTTAGCACAGACTTAGACTTACACAAACTTTATTGATCCACAAAGGAGATTATTTGGACAGAGTAGTACACAATAAAAGGTAATAATAAATCAACATCCAATATCAGTATCATATTGGTGCATCCCTAAACCATACGTACTTTCTTATGTAAATATCTTGCTCCCATATGAATTATGTGATTTGTGTTGCTGTCTAAACACAGTTAAGAGTTAAAAGTGAGTGCACATGGACACAGCAGTTGTACCTTGAGGGTCCCAGGCCAGGTTGTAGGTGATGGCATCGAGGAAGAACTGTCCAGTCTTTTGCCACTGATAGTTAAGCTGCAGTTAGTCACAAGAGAGTGCACACACCATGCTTTGTTAGAGGCACACGTGATTAATTTAAAATAAAATGTAGATATTTAAAAAGAAATCAAAATAAATAAAATAAAATAAATACAAATAAAATAAAATAAAATAGATTAAAATAAATTAAAATAAAATAAAATAGATTAAAATAAATTAAAAATACATTTAAATTAAAATGGTGACTGTGGCCTACCTTGTGGCGTTTGTTTGGGTTGGTCAAGAGAGGCTCAAAGATGCAGACTGTGTTTCCGTAAGAGGCAGCGATCTAAAAATAAAGAGGCGCCATCATCACAACACTACTCACCCCATCAACAGCACTTATATGAGCTCAGGGAAGAGAGGATGAGCGGAGAGATGAAGCAAATGAGAGAGGAGAAGAGAGGAGAGAAGGGAGGGAGGGAAAAGAAAGATAGGAGGGAGGAGTAAGGGAGAGTGTGAATTAGATAGGAAAGAAGAGATGATTGAGAAGAAAGGAAACAAGAGAGGAGAAGAGAGAGGGTAGCAGGGAGGAGAGGAGGGAAAGGAGAGATAAGAGGGGGCAGTTGAGAGGAGGAGTAAAAGAGAGGGGCAGAATAAGAGGGAGGAGAGATGACAGGAGAGGGGACATTTAAAAGGAAGGAAAAAAAGAGAGAAAAATAGAGAGAAGTGTGAAAAAGAGTGAGAGAGGAGAGTGGAGGAGGAACGGAGGGAAACAGGGAGGAGAAGAGTGAGATGAGGGGAGGGAAGAGGAGGAAGATGACGAGAAGGGAGGACAAGAGAGTGGAGAAGAGAGACAAAAATAGAGAGAAAGGATGAGATAAAGAGAGATGAGAAGAGATGAAAGAGAAAAGGTAGAGCCATGAAAGAGAGAGAAAGAGAGAGGAGAGAGGAGGAAGGAGACGAGACAGAGACTAGACTGAACTGCTTCTCTATCTTCATCTTTCATCCTTAATATCTGTAATCACTCAATCCATCTTTCCTACTCCTGGTTGATCTGGATCTCCTCTTTTTCCCTCCATCCTCTAATTCATTTTTAGAGGACATGTTTTTTATTATTGATTTCTCCCTTCCATTTTTCAGTTCATTTGTCTCTTTACAGACGCTTTCAGCAAAACATCTAAAAGCATCTAAACATCTAAAATGGTATCATTATGAAATTGCTGATACATTACATACCTCGATATATAGGCCACGATACACTTATACACTTTTTGATACAGTGAGCTTTTGATTTAATATGATTCGAAAGAGTTCAGTGAAAAACAAAGGCTAAATCACAGTTCTGATACTAAAAGTCAACTAAGTCTGTGCAGAGTTAATATGAAAAACACCCATTTTACTCAAAACAGCGAAAACGTCAACACAACTGCAGCTCTTACACAAAACAATTTTGTGAAATATACCTAAAAATATTCTTGATGATTTATTGATACAGCAGCCCACAATATCGATACTGTATCAGCACATTAAATGATAAGATACTGTATATCTATATTCTGATATTTTGGCACACCCCTATTCAAGTATTAAATTACAAAGGGATGGGTGATATTTTGGTGCCACTATTTAGATTAAAGGTCCTATATTGCGCAAAATTGAACATACCTGGAGTTGTGTTTTGTTTCATTCACACATGTCTGAGTAACTTTCTTTTTTTTACTGTGTGATGTCATGAAGTGGTAGTTTTGAAGTTGAAAGCTACCTTTTATCTTCAGCTTTTAAGTTCAGCAGAGATGTTCAATTCCAGGGCTGAAATTATCCAAATGATTCTAGTGAAGGTGTATGGAGTTTAAAAACACAGTTGAGAACTTCCTGTATTACCACATGACAACACGAGGTAAAATGTGAGTGTTTTCTGTCTGAGAGAAGAACTCAGTCTAAATATGCAGGGTTTTTGTGTTTAAATGTGCGAATGAAACAAAATGCAACTCTAGATACGTTTCTGATGAGGAAACAACATTATAACATAGATAGAAAATAGCGTAATCTGGACCCTTTAAAGAACGAGAGAACATCGCACTCCCAGCCAGATCTTTCAACAGATAACATCATACATACTTTGCCATGAAAAATCTGGCCCCATCTGTAATATATTTGACAGATACAACGCCCAGTAATCAATAAACCTTTCCAATATGTTTTTAATTTACATTTCAAATAAAAGACCTCAAACTAAGACTGGTTTTCCTTAGTGTCCTTCCCTCCTTTTCCGTTCCTATTTGCTTGTTCAGTCATTGTTGTTTCTTCACTTGCTTCACTTCTGGCCATCTGTCCTTTTTAACACTTAAGTTAGCATTACAAAACACCACGAGTCTGCCTTCTCCTTTTTGCTGTAGCTACTGTTCACTGTATTCTACAAACCTAATGCCCCTTTCTGTATGCATTCTCCTCCGGCAGATTGAGCGATAATCTCCAGGGACAGGCCACAGCAGGACGAGCAGAGGAGCAGACAAAACACTGAGCAGTCACTAAGCCTGCAGTGAAAACTCATTTTGAAGCACGATACTTTGCTGAAGAAACTATAGATGATAAAAGATATTATTGAGACTACAGTAATTTGGGCCACTGACACAATAACACAAGAGAAGATTTAAACCACAAAAAAATACTCTAAAGCTACGTTTATATGATGACGGTCTGAACAGAGACACAAAAGTGGAGTTGCGTCTTCACTTTTTACTCCGCGTTTAGACGATCGTTTTCAGGAGGAAATCTGCATGCACACAGTGACGCAAAAATGTGTGGAATTCAAATGGGTGTGCATGCCAGGTTTCTGTGTACTGTATGTATGTGACGTAAACACATAGACGACGTGAGCAGATCTGAAGAGAGTTTTGCACTCCACTACAGCGGAGTGTATTCAGATTTTTGCATTTTTAAGCCCTGAAACGAAGGGCACTTCCGATTAAATATTTTGTTGTTTTACCCGCAAGTGTTCCCATGGGCCTAAATTTACAATACTGTTAAAAAAAACTGCAGAATTAAAAACTTTAGTTGTTTGTTTGCTTCTGTAATTGGTTGTTGATGTTATTAATTTAACCTTTTATGGCTTAAAGAAGCACTGCACAACTTTTCTTGTGGAGGGCCTGCCACATTCTCGTCTCCATGGAGATGTTATTGCTTTCCCTGGAACATTCCACGATATGATATTAAACATATTCATCGAGCATGTTTTTGCTACCGGTGTTTCTATTGCTCAAAAGCGTAGTGCTATAACTTGCTTGTCTCCCTTGTGATATTGTAGATAGGTTTAATCTATACTGTGGAACATTCTAGACAAAGCAATAGTGTTTCCATGGAGACTAGCAGATGGTAGACCCTCCACTAGGAATGTTACACAGTGCACCTTTAAATCTTATAGCCAAAAAATAACCAAAAACTCTCCAGAGGTACAAAGAAAATGTGCACATGATAAATATTGACCCCATAAAAATATCGTTCCATCTATCACATACTGAACAATAAGTCGATATTGTGATTATCGTGACAGGCCAAGCAGTTACAGTTGGAGCAGCAGAGGAGCAGAGGAGCAGAGGAGCAGAGGAGCAGAGGAGCAGATAGGGCTTAGAGCAATCACAGCTGAAGGACAGGACTTACCCTTCCGAGCTGGTGGGAACACTCCACACAGCCCACCTGGATGTTTCCGTTCTGGGCTCCGGGGATGATCTGTACACACTCAAAGTCACTGGCCAAGATCACCACGTCACAGCCCGAACCATAGGCCTGCAACAGAGGAAGGACAGGGGCAGTGAGTGAAACATATAAAGAATTACCACACACAATATTACAAGATGAGAAGGACAATAGGGTTAATTTATAGATTTTGATACTAAGTAGAGCTGTATGATTTTGTGATTAGGGTTTTGATTTGAAAAAGTGGGGTTCTGTTCTGAGTGGAAATTGTAAACAATTGCAGGAGCATTAATCTTAGTGAGGACTGAAATATGAATTGATAAATTAATATATGAATCCCCTGAACTTTAAAAACATTCAATATTGACAGTTTGTAGAGGTCTAAACTAAAGGTACAGCCAAATTAAAACAAAAAATCATCTTGAATATCACCATATCACCACCATTATACTGCTTCCGTTAGATCAACACCATTTTAAACCTATTCAGGAAAGGATCAATTCTGTTGGGCTGGCCATTGCCAAGGAGTTTCACTTCGTGGAAAACGTGTGACCTTGCAGCATTAGGATTCGTTCACTCGACGGTAGGAGGGTACTTTTTTATTTAACCAATCACTGCTATTTGGTCTTGACATATCTAATGCGCCAAATCTTGTAGGAAGAAGGGCAATAACGCCTTTCCCCTTGATAAAATTGACCAAACATTCTTTTTGTTGAGGCTTTAAATCCTCGAGCTCGGGAATCGTTGCCAACACAGAATGTCTGGCTTTGTCTACATCCATCTTGACCACTTTGTTTACTATTGTGCTGTACCACAAAAGGGACCCAGACAGGCGCTTGAGTTTGACATCTTGGCTTCACAGCTCTTCACTGATTGGCCGGTGCGTGGTCTACAACTTCTGGGGTTCTTGCAAACCAACTAGTGTATTCCGATTCCTGGCCTAGTCGCTGGAGAGAAAGGAAATTGAGCGGAGGCCCTAGGTGGTGCCAGCCTGGCTGATTCCCAAGTACCTGACAATAAAATATCTGTCACAATACAAGGTTCACATACGACACATATTAAAAGTTTATTGTTATATTACATAGAATAAGAAAATGTTCATATTCACAGTGTCCTCAATGTCAGTATAAACTGTCTTTTGAATAAGTCATATTTTCAGCCTAGTAGTTAATCAGTTATGGACTATAGCAGTTTGACAAGAATGTTAATTGTGTTTTACATTGTATAAAGTAGAGCTACACCAAAGCCAAATGGGCAAACCATCACCTGTCATATTGGCAGAACACCTGCCTACTGAACGAAGCCCGATACACTGACATAAACTGTATTGTAGTCCGTAGCACCTTACATCAGAACCAACATTGACCTTTTCAACAATGTTACGGCTCCAGTAGTCTCAGATCTGCTTTGTTCTGAGCAGCACTGCAGTCTGGGATCTCTACAAGAGCTACATTTAAAGAGACACTCTGAACCCACTGGTTTTGCAATTACAATTTAGCACAACATGTTCCTGCTTCAAAAAACAGTGAGGACATGGAGGACAACGTTTCCCATCCAATAACAGATACACAATGAGCAAATCTGCATGTGGTAAAGTAATGTTTTTTTCTTCCCTTTGTCAAAGTCATAATGTTCATAGGAGTCCTACATAGTGCTTTTCAATTTCTTGTCCAGATTTATGTTCCACTTCACAAAGCAATCCAGGGACTAAAATGAAGGTGTCAAACAAGCGAATGTTTTAGAGTTAGTCCTAATTTTTTCCACCCAGATATTGATAACAACATTGGTCCATACAAAATAACAAAAAATATTATCAGACTGATCCAAATATGCTATGATATTTAGTTTTCTTTAGCCACAGTCACATAGTTTTATCACGTTTCATGTACTACAGCTTTAAACAGTATTATGTGGCCACTACTGTATTTTTCAGACTATAAGACACTCTTTGTTTCATGGTTTGGGTGGCCCTGTGACTTATACTCCGGAGCAACTTATAGTCTGAAAAATACAGTATAATTATGCTGCTTTTGAAAGTTCACACTTCACTGTGATTGGCTAAATTCAACAGAAGCTGACCAATAGGAGGAGTGAGTGGGAAAAGTGTCTAAAATTTTGATAATAGGTACATTAAACAAAGTACTGAATCACAATATGATAAAACCACCAAAATAGTATTCTTTTCATATTATATTTTCATCAGTAATTCATTTTTTAAGGATTGGACCAGATGATGTAACTGAAGAACCTTTAGATGGATCAGATAAAGTTGATATGTAAAGGAAAACAAACAACCTGAATGCAAAAATAGAGTCAAAACCTCCCTTTGATCAGAGGCCAGAGAATAGAAGCCGTCAGCTATCATTTACACTACATTCCCTCTGATCAATACAGAGAGATAGAGACAGATAGTCTGGTGGTGCTCAGCTGTATAAAGAGAGGCAACAGAGAGCAGAGCCGCCTCCTCCTCAGTCTGTGTTTCATTATTCACGAGAACAGAAGAAGAGCAGGGCACATAACAGGACCGACCGCATTACAGTACACTACAGACGCTGTAGAAGAGACACGAAACAGTAAAGATACCTATAAGGCTTCAGGTACTTCTAATGAACACTTCACTTTGATTGGCAACATTCACCTGTCAGGCATTTGTGCGTGATAGACCAGGCCAATCTGGTGCAGAAACATGCATTTAAACGGAATATGTTATGTAAAATCAACTTTTATGAGCTTTTGACCATGTTATGACAGCCTTCTATCGTCAATAGCTTACTCAGAGTTATTGACTGAGTTATGAACCAACTCAGTCAATAACTCTGAGTAAGCTAATGACGATAGTTTGTTTGACTAATCCTGTATAGTCCTACTTTCAAAGGTTGAGTGCTCAAAAAATTGTCATTTTCATTTAGCCTCTATCCTCGCCCATTACTCCTACTTGCAAAAAAATGAAATAAAAATCTCCAGGTCAAACATGTAAGGTTAAAAAAAAAAAATCACTTTTTCAATAACAAAATTGACTCTTGTGAGCTTTGAACCATGTTGTTGTTGAAGTTGTGCTTTCTTCTCTCTACTTGTGAAGTGATGTGGCAATACAGAAAGTGCCCCAGTGTGTTTTTAAACTCCATCATTTCATTAACTACCGTTGTCAAAGTTTTCAGCTTGTCCAAGAAAGGGTGGAAGTAAAAGGCTGGAGACCAACTGGATGTCTTACGCAGGAGACCATCAATAATACAGGCCCGGGGGGATTGAAAAGTCAACATAGTATGATTTCAAAAGAGAACACGGTATGATCGTTGAGGGTTCAAGCCCCTTGACTCTGCTTCTGGAGGAGGAGGTTTATAAAGCAAGTAGTGAGACTATGAAGGTCAGTAGACACCGGTTAATCAGCAATATGCCACAATTTAGATAATGGTATGCCAAAGGTATGCCAAGGGAAGATCATGGTGTAAATATCGCTTTTGTGTCAATGTTAAACTGAGATGTACGTAGAAGATAAATTACTTAAATTCTCTTACAACTACCACTACATGACATCACTAGGTGGAACAGAGCATTTTGAGCTTTGGAAATACAGACAGGCTAATAACGATGCATTATTGAAACATTTGAATGAAACAAAACACAATCCAGGTATGTTTTTGAGAAGTATAACAACATTACAACATGGCTTAAAGCTCACAAGAGACCTTTAAACTGAAAAATACTGATTATCACTTAACAGTTACTTCATGCTTGGAGGTAATAATCGTAAAAATTAAAATCTTTCTTGACAATCATCTGAAGTACAACCAACGACGGTCCGGGAGAAATAGTGAAAAACATTAGAGCTGGTGGAGGAAACAATATGGGTGCTGTGCTTTACTGCGGCGCTCGGTTCTGCGCATTACGGCTGGAAATAAGAGCGGTCACCGTCACGGGCCTGGACCACTCTGCTCCTCCGTCACTGAAACACACACTGTACTCTGTCATGGTGCGAGCGCAGGGGGTTATGGGGCTAACTGTGCATGTCCACATTTACTGTAAAGACTGAGCAGGTGAGAATACTCTTTAAAGAGGATAGTTTTTGGTTATCTGGTGAATCAGCAGATGCAATCACAACAATACAAGAACATTACCAAGTTCCTGTATTATATTTGGCTCTCCGAGTAGCACAAGATCTAAACCAGAACTATGCACCTTATTCCGGAAGTTGCAGTGGGCGCCGTTATCATCATTCAGGTCGTATTATTTTGTGTGTGGCTGCCAATTTTGACAACAAACAAGTTCAATACGGACTACAAAGCTGTTTTAAAGCCCCCCAGAGTGCAGTGTTTACTTGTTAGTGCACATGAACATTGAACACCTACCTCTTGCTATATTTTTGCTACTTATTTAGAATTTATTATCACTTTTATATTTTTTCTCTATTATATTGTGATGTGTGAGCGACTGTGTCCAAATAATTTCCCTTGTGGATCAATAAAGTTTGTCTAAGTCTAAGTCTAAATGAACTGGCTTTATGGCATATTTAATCTGCAAAACGTCCATTGACATGAATGGGATCCCTGTTTAACTGGAAGTACCACCACAAAAAGCGTGATTTAGAAGTATTTAGAGACAAAAGTGGGTGAGGAGGAATAAGGTGGATACCAGGTCTAAAATTTGAAAGGTTTGAAATAGGACTACAAAGTGACTATTATGAGTCTAAAACACGAATTACCTCAAAAAAGGACAAAAAATATGGATAAACTGGATGAAAATTTAACAAAGTCAGACCTGTCACATTTTGAAGTACGATGTATTGCAGATATAAATATAGACGATAATAATACTGGTACTAATTTATGCCACTGACACCCAAGAGCAGATTTAAACCACAAAAATATTCTAAATCTACAGTATTGCTAAACAAAAACAAAAAAAACATGAGCTACAATAAACAGCAGAATGAAACACTTTTTAGCACATAGTTTGCATCTGTAATGAGTCATGAAAGTTCATAACTCAAACTTTTACAGCTCAGATCTCATCATATAGTCAAAAAATAACAAAAAACTTCCCAGTAATGCAAAGAAAAAGTATTGCCCTCCCAAAATATTGTTCCATCTGTC